GATCTCAGATCAAACTCTTGTAATAGATGTTATCAAATCAAACCTTATACCATCCAACTACAGTGTGACTTCAATCTCTGCAATTCATACAATCTGTACCAATTAATTCTACCCTCGATCCAAAATGTCACCTCACCACATTAACTCAGCAACATCTCCTCACCTTGTCCCTCTTAAACCCCAGTCTTTGTTACTAACGACTTCTAATCTCAACCTCCAGTGTCAACCAGAGTTTGGCTCACATGTCTTTGGATGTCAAACATCCTGCATGATGTCCACATAATGTTAGCCAAACATCTGGAGTGTGGAAAGGTGCGAGAGAGAAAGAGTGTAATAGCTTTAGTTGCCAACATAGGTTTCCGCTATTACACTTACCTTGTCTACCGCGAATTCCAACTTGCTGAAAAGAAAGGATACAAATATACTAAGGTTTCCACAAAACCACACTTACCGTATAGGCCAAATTCGCAACCAGCACGACCCAAGCTCTGCTGTAAATAAATTGGTTGTGTCCCTACACTGAACCATCCCTGACACTGACCAACTCCCATCAAATACACTGAACCAATCTCAACATGAACTACATCGATAACTACAGAAGATTCTCTGATAAACCAACTCAGCAACACAAAAGCAATCCCGTCTCACAACACCTCAACTTCACTACACCAGCCCTGACACTGACCAACTCTCGTGATCTTCACTGATCAAATCCACAGAAATTCATTCTCAACAATTCTACTAATCCAACCTTGGCCCCACTCACTAAACTACTGTTACTACACTGAACCTGCCCTGATACAAGCCAACTCTCAAACACCCCCTCAACTGAACCCAAATCTCAACTACTCTAAGGAAACACTGAGAGAAACCAACTCTCAACAACTGGACTAACTCACCTCGACAAACCCAACTCTGAACCAATCTCAGCATAAACTGACTCGACTACACTAAACCAGTCTGAACAGAACCCGACTCGTGGCAGCCACACTGACCCAGACCCGGCAGCCACTGACTCTCGGCAGCTACACATTGCCGGTCACTAGCAGACCAGCTGTGCAAACTGCTCCGACCCAGCCCTGGCAGCGACTGACCCGAGGCAACTGCACTGAGCCAGGCCTGAAAGACTCTAACCCTCAACAACTGCACTCGACTGGCCTCGACAGACAGTCACTGACGCTACACCTGCCCTGAACCAACTCGCACACAAACTGATGCTCCACAACCAGCCCCAACACAAACTAACTCTCAGCCACTAAACCCAACCAACCTTGACAGACACTGGCACTGAGAAAATATACCAACCTTCACACGGAGACTCTTATTACCCAACACACAAATTCAGTCTAATTTCAAATCAAACTATTATAACAGATGTTATCAAATCTAAACACAAATCTGACCATCTAATTACAGTGTCTGACTTCAATCTCTGCAATTTGTATACTCTGTACCAAAAAAATCTACCCTCGACCCAACCTGTCACCTCACCACATTAATCCAGCAATATCTCCCCATCCTGTCCCTCTCAAACACGAGTCTGTTATTAACGACTTCTAATCTCAACCTCCAGTGTGAACAAGAGTTTGGCTCATACATGTTTGAATGTCAGACATCCTGCATGAAGTCGACATAGTATTGCCAAACCTCTGGAGTGTGGAAAGGTGTGAGAAAAAAAGATACCACCTTTGCTGTCATCACAGGGTTACTACTAGTACAGACTTGCCTGATCCTCCACAAGTCCCAAGGTGCTAGAGAGAGAAACAGGCCACAAACTTCAGTTGCGTCCCCATTAATCTAGACTCACCTTCAGGTGATGACTGAGCTCTGTGCATTAATGACTTACATCTCCCATGGGTTTCAGCTGCACCTCATCTCCAAATGATTTCCAGTTGGACATCTTCAGCCAAAATTTAGATGATGGCTCAGGTTAGTTAATTAATGCTGAGATTAATCCTAATTAACACTAAGCTGCAACTGCAAAACAAAGATTCCACACAGTTATTCTGTCATTGCTCTTCTAGAGATGGGTTACACGATAAAAGGAAGCCAGACAAGTCAATAGTTGGTCACAAACTACATCAAACAGATAGATGGGGACAAGGTCTCTTAAGTTCATTGATGTATGACAATTCAGTGATCATCTGGTATGAACGAGCATTAGCCCAGCGTTCAAGAGCAACACAAACCTGCACTGATTCCAGGACAACCTCTCACTCAAGTGGAAACAGTAAACAAAAGACTGAGAGAAGAGCAAACGTTAGAAAACAAAGTGATAAATAATAGTTCCTCCAGAAAGAAATGTTTTTTGGAAATAAACACACAAAAAAAACACCATTGTGCATACGGGCAAGTGATGATAGTTAGCCTAATAAGTGTCTGTCCAGAAATACATATAGTATAAAAGAATAAAACAAATTAGAAACACAAATTCAGCTTAAACAGTCTGATGTAGCAGCCATTACAGAGACTTGGCTACAAGCTGGGCATTACTGAGAGCTAAATATTCCTGGCTGTAAGATCTTTAGAAAGGATAGGGAAATTGAGAAAGGAGAAAGAGCAATGTGGATAACATTCAAGTACAGCAGTAGATAGAAAGAACTTCAGTAAAGGTGATCAGGCCACAGAAACACTATGGGTAGATATAAGGAACAGTAAAGGAAACGAGACTTTGGTGAGAGTTGTCTATAGACCACCAGATAGGAATTAAATAGCAATTTTTTGAGACAAGTTACACAATAAAAGGAGAAGCCAAACCAGCCAAGTTTTATTCACAATTTACATCAAGGGTAGGTGGACAGTGATAATGTCTTTGAAGCTCACAGGACAGACAACACCCAAGGTTTGGACACTTTCCCTTCACAAAAGAAAATCAACATTGCAGACAATTCACAGTCCACATGAAGATTCTCATAAATACAGACTTACCTGATATAGTCCATAAAGAGACCAACCCAAGCCCCACCACGAGCAAACTGCCCATTGCAATGCTCTGAACCACAAGCCTCCAGCAACTCTTCTCCTCCCTCTGGGCTAATAGAGTGACTCTTTCCTCGGATGATTGGACTATAATTGAGCTCAGCCTCTGGGTTAAATACCCACAAGTTCATTTCAGTCATGTGGCCAGTGAGGGAATCCCATTCCGCACAAGGTCCAGTTGAAGGTCCTCTCTTCACAGCTGGAACCAATCAGTATCAGCACATGTGTTGTTTGCTATTGGCTGGTTTAGATAATTCAGATGGGTTTATATAGATCATCTACAGCCTATCTCCTCTCCCCCACCAGACTCTGTGACTTTACCACCCTTGCCTGACTCCACTGGCTTCCCATCACACAGAGGTAGGTTATTGTTGTCTGTGTAGGAAAGCTGACTGTTGAAGTGGAGAACAACTTGATGGTGACATTTTACTACCATTTTATCTGCTATTCACATTTCCTGTGATTATATTGTTCCTTGTATTACAACATCTCCTTCCCATATCTCACCTGACATTTCATTCCTGATTATCTTGTTAACAACCACTTTACCTCAGTATTTTAATTTGGTCCCATCTCGCTTTGTGTTTTATTTTTCACTAATTTTGGCTCATGTTAACTCTAACGTTGGCCTCTGGGAAATCTTACACTAATTATAGTAAGTCTTTGGTTAATCTGTCAGAAACACTCTCTCCCCAAACTGCAAGTTTGAGCTGTTTGAACCTTTTACTTTATTTCATCTCAACTTTTCAACCAATAAAACAGCCGCCCGCCCCCCCCCCCACCGGACGCTGGGCGCCGCCTGCCCCCCCCCCCCCCACCGGACACTTAGGGTTAGGGTCAAGTAGTAAACCTGAGGATTGGAAGAACTTTAGGGATCAACAAAGGAGAACCAAAAACGTGATTAAGAGGGAGAAAATGGAATATGAGGGCAGACTAGCGAGGAACATAAAGACAGACTGTAAGAATTTTTACAAATATATAAAGAGAAAGAGGCTGTCAAAGGTAAATGTGGGTACGTTAGAGGCAGAGATGGGGCAGAATTATAGTTGGGGACAAAGACATGGCAGATTCATTAAACAAGTACTTTGCTACTGTCTTCACCTTTGAAGACACTGAAAACCTACCAAGAATAGAGGGGAAACAAGAAGACAATGTTAGCAAGCAGCTTGGGAAAATTAATATATGTAAAGAAATGGTTTTAGGAAAATTGTCAGGTCTTAAAACTGATAAATCCCCTGGACATGATGGCCTATATCCTAGCGTTTTAAAAGAGGTGGCTACTGAGGTAGTGGATGGCTTGTGTTTGATCTTCCAAAATTCTCTGGATTCTGGAACGGTTCCCATTGATTGGAAGATTGCAAACATAACACCACTAATTAAGAACGGTGGGAGAGAAAAGATGGGGAACTATAGACCAGTTAGTCTGACATCAGTGGTAGGGAAAATTCTTGAGTCCTTCATTAAGGATGATATGGGATTCCTGGAAGACCATAACAAGATTAGGCAGAGTCAACATGGCTTTACAAAAGGGAAGTCATGCTTATCTAATCTTTTAGAGTTTTTTGAAGATGTATCTGCAGGTTAGATAGGGGGGAACCAGTAGATGTGGTATATTTAGATTTTAAGAAGGCATTTGACAAAGTGCCACACAAAAGGCGATTGCACAAGGTTAAGACCCACAAAATGGGAACATATTAGCATGGATTGAAGAGTGGCTAACAGGTAGAAAACAGAGAATAGGGATAAACGGGTCATTTTCAAATTGGCAGGATGTGACTAGTGGAGTGCCACAAGGATCAGTGCTTGGGCCTCAGCTATTTACATTGATGATCTAGACGAGGACAATGAATGTATCTAAATTCGCGGATGACACTAAACTAGGAGGGCGAGTAAGCTGAGGATGATGCATAAAGATTGCAACGGGATATAGATAGGCGAGGGGAGTGGGGGAGTAGGTGGCAGATGGAATTTAATGTGGGCTAGCCTCCACCTGCCCCACCACACACACACACACACACATGTTCTGACTCCAAGTCAATGAGTTTTATTTTGTTCAGATATTTCATGACCCACATCTCTATATAATCATTGTTTCACAAACAGTATTGACGAGCCAGGTTCAGCTGCAGGAAGCTTGTTGGTGGCTTGGCACAAGAGCTACAACCTAGAGAAAAAAAAGGGTTAAAATGTAATGAGCAACAACTTACATTTATATAGTGCCCTTCGCACAGGGCGGGCGGGGGGCTGTGTGCGTGCGTGTGGGGCGGGGGCTGTGGTGTGTGTGTGTGTGTGGTGTTGGGGTCTGGATTGTGTAGTGGGGGCGGGGAGTGCGGTGGTGGGGGGGAGAGGCTTGAGTGCGAGCTGAACTGAGGAATAATCCACATTGCTGCTGTTATATCGCGAGGATGTGTTTTTCCTGTGGCTTGTGTTTAGTTTGGCTTTAGCCTGTGCCAAGACATCCAGCACCTCACAGCCTCCCCCCACCTCACACAACCAGCCTCCCCTCCCCCACCTCACACAAACAGCTTCCATCCCCCCTCACCACACAGCCCTCAAAATAGACACTTACGTGACCTCTCTAAACGTCCTCTTTTCAACATATTTCAGCCGATATTTCCTCTTGAACCTAAGAGCCAAAGTAGAAATGCAAATCTTGAACTATTGGGAAGATGAAGGTTTATGTTAATTAAAGGAAAGAATCAAAAATATTAAGCTTTTCCCAAAACCATCTTTATTTCTTTTGAAAAAAAATTAAACGGAAAAGTCTGTTGATTCAGTGTTTTGTCCTGTGGAAATAATTTCAGAAGTTCACACGAGGGGCTTTGCAACTTATAACTGTTTTGAATGAGGTGAGAATACAGCAAACGACAAACAGCAATGACACGTGAGCAGTGTTTTTCACATCACGTCCCAGGAGCAACGTGAGGTTTATTCCCCGCAGACACCAGAGAGATGGGAAAATTCATTCTTTTTGCTTAATTTCTTGTCTGAAACAGGGAGGCGGGCCCTAATCTTAATGTGTCACTCAAAAGGCCCTGCCCCCACCCTGACCAGAGCATCAGCCCTGACCAGGCTCGTGTCCAAACTCTGGGCCTGACACACACAAGTTTGATGGGATCAGTGCCGCGGTTTAAACAAGACTGTGATTCATACTCAAGTGAAGCCTGGATAATGATTCACATTTTAAAAATAAAACTAACGGAACGGTCAGTTGGAGGCACTTACTTGGCTCTCTGTCTGGGTTCTATTAAATTCCTCTTCTGTAAACTCTTAAACCTGTCGGCCAGGACACTGCCCTCAGGCTGGGAAAGGAATATTGTCATTAGGGGATACATCAGAACATTGTCATGTGACCAGATGCCATCATCTCTTGCGCAGTTATTGTATCGCAGGGAATAGAGATTTTACAATGGGAAATAGGTATACACTCCCACAAACACAGCCACGCACTCTCCATACACCAACACTCCCCCCACACACAGTCACACTCTTCCTATAAAGTGCCTGATGTTAGTTAGAGAACGTTAAGTGTCACTAACAGCGATTGTTGTAAGGTGATGATCTCTGCCCTCAGCTCCCAGAGTAAGGCCCACTCGGTCCAGCCTGGGAGACCCTGAGCTCTCTTCACATTCCCAGCCGAAGACTGGCAATACTTTGTGCGCAAGGATGGCTCTCGTCATCGGGCAGGTTACAGACCACTTAAGCCATTTAACCCAACAACATCGACTAGCATTTATATAGTGGCCCTCACGCAGGGGGATGTCCCAGAGCACTTAAATATCCCGTTAGAGAGAAGTCAAGAAGTTTTTTTTAAAGGATTGCTTTCTGGTAGTAATAATTCCATAAAATAATAATTTGGTCACTCAATCATGACTGTTTGTGGGATCTACTCAATCCACGGCTGTGCGGAATTGGCTGCCACATTTCGCCCACAAAACAGTCACTACACTTTAAAGTATATTCTGTGAAGCGCTTTGAGATGTCTCAACAATGTGATAAGGCGTATCAAATGCCTGAATTATTAGTTTGGTTAATCAGTGAACATGACCGAGTATAATTTCCAGTGTTCTAATCGGTTACGCACACATATCACCTCCCCCACACGACCCTCAAGTCAATGACCACCGCGCCCCCTTCCTCTCACTAACCTTCAGTTTCCGCAGTGAATCGGACAACTCGTCGCTCAGCTTCAACTCAATGTCTGGTTCTTCGTATCTGAGTAAGAAACAGTGTTTGTTGGGGGTGGGAATTTGGGGTGAGTGAGTGGTCTGTGTGAGCGGACATGATCTGCAAGCGGTCGGGCGCGAGTGTGGGTTTGAGCGTGAGTGGCCTGTGTGTGAGCACGTGCGGCCTGTGCGGTGCGAGCGGCCTGAGCGCGAGCTGCCTGTGCGCAAGTGCATGCAGCCTGTGTGTGGATGTCCATACGTTTCCGAGGGTCACTGTAAGGCTCTGAACCGCAGTATAACACAGTATAAAGTGCTAACAGACAAGTGTAATTTGTTGTTGTTGACAGACGTACCGGAGCTTGCCCAGCCTGCGGGGCTTATGAGCCTCTGCTTGTCGCTTGGCCAGTCGCTTGGCTTTGCTTGACGCTCGTCTGAGCTCCACCTGTTTCACTTCTCCTTTGATGGAGCGAAGCCGGAACAGCTCCTGCCTCTGCCTCCGCGCCTGCTTCTCCTCTCGCAGTCGCCGCTCCTGCACCACACAGTGATCAGAACTGAGACCACTGCCCCAGTGTAGTGCTGAGGACACTCGCCTCACAAGCCACTAACAACCGGGTTCCTACTTACTGTTCAGTAAATAGAGGTTGTGTGTGTGGAGTAAGGAAACTTGCATAAGGTTTCACCCTGACCTGACCTTCTCAGGATTGAAACCCAGGTCCTCGCTTATGAGGTGAATGTGCTAACCACTATGCTACAGGCCTCCAATGTTCTAAGAACGCGCGCAGGAGCTCAGTTTAACAGCTCCCGACACTGCTGCCCTCTCCCCCCAGACCAGAAGCTCACTGAGCCACACCCACCTGTGTTTTGAGGGCTTTCTCCCTTTTCCGATCTCGTTCCGTTTTCTTTTCACAACGAACAGCGCTGCCCATCGGCCCAGCTTCCGTCTCATCGTCACATTTCCTGCTTGGCTCATCTTCCTCTTCCTCCGACTCCACCAGTCCCTGACATAACTCTTCAAACAACATCTCCTGCGGCCGACCGAGGGTAAAGGGAGCCATCATCAACAACAACTTGCATTTACATAGCACCCTCACGTGGGGCAGCTTGGTAGAGATCGTTACAGGCAGCGACAGCGATCAGGCCGACACTCAATACAGACAACAGGGGAACGAGCCAGAGACGGGGTTTAAAGACCGGACAGAGAAGGCCACGCCACACCCACCTTGGTTGGGAGTTTGTCTAAGGTCGGGAAGTTTAGCTGCCGCTCGATCCGCTCTTCGGCTTTCAGTCTCTTCACTTCCACGTCGTGAGCCTTCAGCAGCAGAGCCTGATGTCAAGGTAACAAGAGTCAAAACCACTATTTTACAATACATGACATTTAAACAGCGCCTCACATCTGGAGGACGTCCCAAGGCGCTGGACAGTGAAGGGTTGCACCCGAGCTGAGGGTTGAGATCGGGGGGGAGGGGTGTGCTTAGGTTGGCCAAAGTCAGTCGAAGAGGAGGGTCTCATCAGTCTCAGGAACCCTGAGGGGGTCAGGGGATCAGGGGGGAGGGGGTGGAGAGCGAGGTCAACGGTAGCCCTGAGGCTAGCACTGCCAATATCAGAGAGGCTGTAGTATTAATCAGCAAATTGGCTGAGTAACTGTCCTCTCCAATTCCTGTACCTGATGAGCTTCAAACGTTGGGTTATAGGAGCCACCAGGATCAATGACCTCCACCGCTGACACCTGGGAAGGTTTCTGGTTGAGTCTGGCCGGACGCTGCATGAAGTAAACAAGAGACAATTAAAAGCCCAGAGACGTCGCTGAGTATAATTTGGCTGCTGTGAATCAGCCATGAAATACAGTTACATTTATGAAGTTACAGAGACTCTTCATTGTGTATTCAGGATCTTTAATACCTTCCTGTAAGGGGTTAGATGTGACCTTGGTTTGAAGTCTCACCGGAAGGACAATACAACCATATAGGAGTGTCAGCTTACCTACAAAACACAGTCAATTCACTTTACAGTGTATCCTGTGAAGCATTTGAGGCGCCTTGAAAATGTGACAAAGCGCTACATCAAAAACAAGTGTTATTATTATTGGTGTGAGATCCAAGTCCTGATGTAGGGCTTGAACCCACAACCTCTGGAAACAGTTTTTGCTAAAAGCAAAGTTAATCGCAATTTCAAGTTTCAACTTTATATCATCCAAGTTTCTCTCGTGTGGGGAGGAAGCTGGGGAGTGGGGTTGTCTCCAGCCAATACTGTTATGATATAAAACATGCAAAAGAGACAGACACACACTGACAGACACAGAAGCAATAAATGAAACTTAACCAACCACAAGCCGTTTCTGTTTGGTCTGCTCCAAGTACCAGGCGTCTTTGCCGTCCAGTTCCTCATCCAGAGGGTCTGACAGCAACAAGGACACACAATGTTATGATCAGAACATCAATAATAATAATCCTTACATGTGATATAGCGCATTATCAAGTCTTTGAGACGTCTCAAAGCGCTTCACAGAATATAGTGTATCCTCCCGTCTCTCTCTCCTAATCCCAATTCAGTATGGTTTGAATTGACTTTTGGACTGAAATGGCATTTAGCTGCCAGCTCTCCCCCACGTGCTCTGCCTAAACAGGCTGTAGTACTCTCTCCCCACTCCCCCCATCTTACTGCTGTCCAACCACAGGCTGTAATACTCTCTCCCCCCCTCCCCCCACCTTACTGCTGCCCGACCAGGCTGTAGTACTCTAACATAACATGTAGGAGCTCTTCGAGCCTGCCCCACCATTCAATCATGGCTGATCTTCTAATCTAACTTCAGCTAATAACCTGACCCTGCCTTATCCCCATATCCCTTAATCCCTTTTGCAATAAGAAATCTATCTATCTCAGTCTTGAATATGTTCAAGGACTGAGCGTCAACAGCCCTTTGTGAGTTCCATACATTCACCATTCATTTAGGGGAGCACAATATAATTAGGCCAAGTCAACATGGCTTTACAAAAGGGAAGTCAAGTTTAACAAATCTCATAGTTTTTTTNGAGGATATTTCCAGTAAACTAGATGAGGGTGAATCAGTGGATGTGGTCTATTTGGACTTCCAGAAGGCATTGGATAAGGTGCCACATAAAAGGTTAGTCCAAAAGATAAGGGCCCATGGAATTGGGGGGAAGCATATTAACGTGGATTGGGGAATGGTTAACGGGTAGGAAACAAAGAGTAGGGATAAATGGGTCCTTTTCAGATTGGCGGGATGTGACTAGTGGAGTGCCACAAGGATCAGTCCTTGGGCCTCAGCTATTTACCATCTACATCAACGATCTAGATAAGGACATCGAAGTTAATATATCTAAATTCACGGATGACACAAAACTAGGAGGAAGTGTCAACACAGAGGAGGACATTAAAAAAATGCAGCACGACATAGATAGGTTAGGTGATTGGGCAGGTAGGTGGCAGATGAAGTATAATGTAGGGAATTGCAAAGTCATCCACCTCGGTAGCAAAAACAGTAGAGCGGGTTATTTTTTAGAAGGGGAGAGATTGGAATGTGTTAGCGTCCAGAGGGACTTGGGTGTCCTTGTACACCAATCACAGAAAGTTAGTCTGCAAGTACAGCAGCAATTAGGAAGGTGAACGGTATGTTAGCATTCATTATGAAAGGATTAGCATATATGAGTAGGGAAGTCTTGCTGCAACTGTATAGGACCCTGGTGAGACCACATCTGTAATACTGTGTAGTTTTGGTCTCCTTATTTAAGGAAGGATGTACTTGCCTTGGAGGAGGTGCAGCATAGATTTACTTGGTTAGTACCAGGGATGAAGGGGATGAGTTACGAGGATAGGCTGACCAATGTGGGCCTATCTATATTCTCTAGAATATAGAAGAATTAGACGGGATCTTATAGAAATCTATAAGATCATCAAAGGGCATGATAGAGTAGATAGTGGGAGATTGTTTCCCCTGTTGGAGAAACTAAAACCAGGGGTCACAACCTTAAAATCAGAGGCTAGCCCTTTTGCACTGAGTTGAGGAAGAACTTCTTCACTCAAAGGGTGGTGAATGTATGGAACTCGATACCCCAAAGAGCTGTTGACGCTCAATCCTTGAACATATATGTTTCTTATTACAAAAGGGATTAAGGGATATGGGGATAAGGAAGGGTCAGGTTATTAGCTGGAGTTAGATTAGAAGATCAGCCATGATTGAATGGCGGGACAGGCTCGAAGGGCCGAATGGCCTACTCCTGCTCCTACACGTTATTTTAGTGTCCGACCACAGGCTGTAGTACTCACTCCCCGCACTACCTCCCCTTACTGGTGTCCGACCACAGGCTGTAGTACTCTCTCCCCAATCCCCTCTTACTGGTGTCCGACCACAGGCTGTAATACTCTCTGGATGGGTTATTGTTGGCCACTGGTCTCACTCTCACGGCTGGGCTGCGCACTCTGGCCTGCAGGAGGCGCTGTGAGCGAGGGACGATTCCCAGACGCTTTTCCTTTTCCTGTTTCTGTCGCAGCTTCCGGCTGTTTGGAATCTGATGTGCGAGGATACTGGGGAGATCAAGGGGCACAGTGAGATACCAAACATCAAGGCGCTCAGAGTGAGATTGAGCGGGAGATTGAGGGGGACCGTGAGATACTGGGGAGAGTAAGGGGACACAGTGAGATTGAGGGGGACAAAGTGATGTTGTTTTAAAGCCAACTTTGAAGAACTTGAAGAGAGCTCTTTATAAACTAGAACACATGGTATAATTTCACAGTTTACGGTGCAACAGGATCACCCCAGACAAGAACACACTCTGCTGATATGTGGAATGATTAGACAAAAGGGGCAGTGGGTGAGAAGTGGAAATAAAAGATATGAAAAGAAGTTTTCAGAAAGGAACATTTTACACATAACCTGCCAAAAAGGAAGTCATTAAACTTACTTTTTGGGTGCAGGAATCTTGGAATCTGGCTGCAGAATTAAGTCTATTCGCAAAGGTTTCAATTTCCTTTTGTTTGACACCAGATCTATTGGCCGGGGGAAAATCATTTTGTCATTAATGTGTAATTACTTAGATAAGCATTTGAAAAGTAACGCAAAATATTGAGAAAAGACAGCAGAGAAATACAATTAAATCATTTAAGAGCTGCTCAGGACTAAAGATATAGCACCTTCTCTTCGACCGTGCCTTCAGCTACCCTCTCGACTCTCTACCCCCTCCTCGCTCCTTCCCTCCTCTCACCCTGACCACTTCTCCCCGCTCGGGTTCCGACCCAACTGTCCAGCGCCTTGGGACATCCTCCCGACGTGAAAGGCGTTCTATAAATGAAATCTTGTTGTTGTTCCATTTTGGGAAGATGTCTCAAAATGCTTCGCACTAATAAAGGAAGTGATTTGTGTTTTTTNAGGTGAACATGTCAGCCAATTGCACGTACCAATATCCTACAAACCACCATCAAATGAATGAGCAATTGTATCCGGACAATTGTTTATCTGGGAGATTGTTCAGACCTTGCGAGGAGGGCGCTATATAAGTACAAGTTGTTGTTCATCCTGCTCTTATTCCTAATAGTGTTCCGGGACACTACCCCGTGTGAAGAGCGCAATACAAATACAAGTTGCTGTTGCTGTAATAAGAATGCAAATGTGTGGAGGAAATATTAAAACCAATCTTTTGGGAGTATGTGGATAGCAACAACTTGCAGTTATATTGTGCCCCTCACGCATGGCAGCGCCTTAGAGCTTAACTGTGGCAGAGTCTGACACCAAGCCGGGGGAGGGAGGAGGTGACTGTAAACACACTCGAAGAGGAAGGTCTTCAGTCACGATCTAACAGAGGAGGGGGAGAGAAGCCAGAACACGGTGACACAAAACAAACCTTTCTTTTCGTCCTTGGAATCAACCTTCCCGACATCAACCTCTCCGGTGTCAACAAAGAACAGGTTCTTGTCCGGCTTCTCGGACACGAGGCCCCTGGAAACAAACAGGAAAATCTCTGAGCAATTTCATACAATAAAACAGCTTCTCATTGTCATCTCATCCACAACACACGTGACTCTGGATTTGGTTTATAAAATATGGTCAACCCCCCTCCAACCCCTCACCCCCTCCCTTCCCCCTCACCCCCTCCCTTCCCCCTCCCTTCCCCCTCCCCCCCTCCCTTCCCCCTCACCCCCTCCCTTCCCCCTCCCTTCCCCCTCACCCCCTCCCTTCCCCTCCAACCCCTCCCCCCTCCAACCCCTCCCTTCCCCCTCACCCCCTCCCTTCCCCCTTCACCCCCTCCCTTCCCCCTTCACCCCCTCCCTTCCCCCTCACCCCCTCCCTTCCCCCTCACCCCCTCCCTTCCCCCTCACCCCCTCCCTTCCCCCTCACCCCCTCCCTTCCCCCTCACCCCCTCCCTTCCCCCTCCCCCACTCACCCCACTGTTCGCTGTTGGAATCTCACGTCCTCCAGAAAATCCTCCACGTCGCGGACATCGCTGAATTTGCTCCAATTTTTCTTCTTGTTCTTGTTGCGGCGCTTCCTGCGGGTCCCGGGGCCGCGCGGTTGGAGTTTGAAGGAAAGGAAACTCGGAGCCGAGACCGTGTGGCCCTTCGCCGCCATCTTGTCTGTCTGACTGCCGCAGCCGCACATTCGCCACATCGCTGCAGCCAACACCCCTCACCCCACCCCCCTCCGCGCCCCCAAAATTCCGTTCTGACACTCTCGCAGCCGCCTTTCTGAAGGTCATTTTCAGCTTTTGTGTCTCCTTCAAACGCGCGGATTTTTTTCTGCTCTGTAATGGGCAAGTGGGGAAAGTGCTTTGCTGTTCGCGAGGGCAGATTCGTCTGACTCCCCACAGCCGCTACCACGTGTTCCTGACAACGGAGCAGCGCTACCTGCTGACGAGAGACATGCACTGCAACTACGAACAGTGCAGCGCCACCTGATGGTGGGAGCTAGCACAGTCGCTGCGCTTAGGCGTAATTAACTGTGAAGCCTCAAAGACTTTTTGGCAATACCGGCAACAAGAACTCATAGTTCCTTTAACGACTGAATGACGTCTCAAAGCTCTTCAAACTGGGAGACGAGGCTGGGGGAGAAAATGTGGAAACAGTTGTGTTTTGAAGAGGGAGAGGCAGAGAGGTGGATACCAAGGGGTTACAGTGACTGAAAGTTTGGCCATTATTATTATTAAACATTACTACGTTTGAGTTGTTTGTTATTATTAAACATTACTACGTTTGAAATTGACAAATACCCATTTCCATCACCAGAGGACAGTGTTTCACGCAACTGTACAATATAATGATTTATCCGATCGCATTACCACAGGAGGCCACAGGGAGGCAGTGACGTTCCATTTAAACAGTGAATTTATATTTTGAAACTTCTCAATGACAACAAAATTACATTTGTAAAGCGCCTTTCACGTCGGGAGGACGTCCCAAGGCGCTGGAAAGACAGAGATTACTGACCCAAGCTGAGGGTAGGGGAGGGGGGAGGGCAGGGGGGAAGTAGGGAGATCGAAAGTACGGTCGAAGAGGAGGGTCTTGAAGGTGGCGAGAGAGGGGGCGAGACGGAGGGACTGCGGAATGGAGTACCAGAGGGTGGGTTCAGAGTGATGGAAGGCCCGCCTGCCGATAGTGGGGCGAGCGAGGCCAGGGACGTGAAGCAGGCTGGAGCCCGCTGAGCGGAGGGAGCGAACAGGGTGGTAGGGGGTGAGGAGGTCGGAGAGGTAGGGAGGAACAAGACCATGGAGGGCTTTGAAGGTGAGGACCAGGATCTTGAACTGTATCCTCTGTGTGATGGGAAGCCAGTGGAGTTGGGCGAGGATGGGGGTGATAGGGTCGCAGATTCTAGTGCGGGAGAGGACGCAGGCTGTTAAGTTCTGGATGATCTGCAGCCTGTGGAGGGAGAAGTTGGGGAGGCCGACAAGCAGTGAGTTTGAATAGTCGAGCCTCGATGTAATGAAGGCATGTATGAGGGTTTCGGCGGCCTGCGGTATGAGACGGTGTTGAAGCCGGGTGACGTTGCGGAGGTGGGAGAAGGCAGAGCACGTCATGGCGCAGATGTGGGGTACAAAGGATAGTAGAGAGTGAAACAAGGCCCCAATGTTCCGGACTGGCTTAGCAAGGTGAAGTGTGCAACCATGGATGGTGATGCTGTCAATGACGTGATAAAAGCTAAAAACAAAAGCCTTGATTATTATAAACAAAAGCAGAGAGAGCTGGGAAAACTTAGCAGGTCAGGCTACATCTATGGAGAAAGGAAAGTGAGTCAACGTTTCGGATCCACAACGCTTCGTCAGAACATGATTATTTTTATTGTAATTGTAGGGTTATATTTTTTGGTTTGTGAACCCCTGAAATCTGACAGCCGAAGGATGCGATGCAGGTAGTTTAGGTGTGGCGTGGGTCGGGATGGGATCGAGGGAGCACATGGTGGGTTTCATGGGGGAGAAGAGGGAGCAGAGGGTTGAAGTACAGATGGTGTCAGAGGATTAGGGTGAGGTTTGGGAGGATTGAGCCCCAGGGAGATGTGAAACTACAATTCCCAGCACCACAATGACGAAGCTGCGCATGCGTATATAATCTGCACTACATTTCCCAATAAGCAGTGCGACACGAGAGGACCCGGATGCGCCTCTTTCCGGTCAGTTTGTGAAGTGGTGAGTGAGGCCCGACCTGGCCCTGGTCTGGGGGAGACACAGAGAGGGAGAGAGAGGGGGAGAGAGAGGGACACAGAGAGAGAGAGAGGAAGGGAGAGACAGAGAGAGGGAAACAGAGAGAAAGGGAGAGACACAGAGAGAGGGACAGAGAGACAGAAAGAGGGAGAGGGACAGAGGGAGACACACAGAGAGAGGGACACAGAGAGAGGGAGAGACAGAAAGAGGGAGAGACACAGAGAGAGGGAGAGACAGAGAGGGACAGAGGGAGAGACACAGAGAGAGGGAGAGACAGAGAGGGACAGAGAGAGAGAGACACACACACACACACATAGAGGGGGGGGGGAGAGAGAAACACACACACACAAAGACAGAGAGGGAGAGAGAGACACAGAGAGAGGGGGTTAGAGAGAGACAGAGAGAGGGGGGAGAGAGACAGAGAGAGGGGGAGAGAGAGACAGAGAGAGGGGGGGGGAGAGACACACACAGAGGGGGAGAGAAAGAGAAACAAGAGAGAGAGAGACACAGAGAGGGAGGGAGAGATAGAGGGAGAGCGAGACACAGAGAGAGAGGGGGGAGACAGAGAAAGAGAGGGAGAGAGACACACAGGGTGGGGGGAAACACAGAGAGGGGGAGAGAGATACACAGACACAGAGAGAGGGGGGGAGAGACACAGAGAGAGGGAGAGAGAGACACACAGAGAGAGGGAGGGAGAGACACAGAGAGAGGGCGCGAGAGAAGGGGAGATAGAAACACACACACACACAGAGGGAGAGAGTGAGACAGATAGAGAGACAGAGAGAGGGAGGGAGATAGACACAGAGAGAAATAGACAGGGAGAGAGAGACACACACACAGAGGGAGAGAGACACGGAGAGAGGGAAAGCGATAGACAGAGGGAGAGAGAGAGACACACACATAGGGAGAGGGAGAGAAAGACACACAGGGAGAGAGACAGATAGAGAGAGGGAGAAAGAGACACACACACACACAGAGGGGGAGACAGAGAGAGAGGGACAGAAGGAGAGACACAGAGAGAGGGAGAGACATGGAGAGAGGGACACAGAGAGAGAGGTATAGAGAGAGTGAGGGAAGGAGAGAGATATAGGGAGAGACAGAAGGGGGGGAGAGAGAGATATAATAGAGATTCTCACATAGAGAAATTGAGAGACAGTTAGAGGGAGACAGAGAGAGTGCTAGAGATATAATAGAGACGTTCACATAGAGAAACTGAGAGATAGAGAGAGACAGATAGAGAGAGAGCGAGACAGATAGGTAGAGAGAGAGACTCACATAGAGAAACTGAGAGACAGAGAGAGAGACAGACAGACAGATAGATAGAGAGAGAGACTCACTTAGAGAAATTGAGAGACTGAAAGAGACACACACAGAAAAACTGAGAGGACTGAGAGAGACACAGACTGACAGAGAGAGACAGAGAGAAAACAATTCAACAAGTGACTAACTTTATTAAGAAATACTATCTTTGTTTTTTCAGAGCTGTGCACTGACGCACATGAATCATGCAGACTATAAAGTGTGTTGTCGTTGGTGATGGTGCAGTTGGAAAGACGTGTCTTCTCATCAGTTACACAACAAATGCTTTTCCTGGAGAATATGTGCCAACTGTATTTGATAATTACAGCGCACAGATGACTGTGGATGGACGAACAGTGAGCCTAAACCTGTGGGACACAGCAGGACAAGAAGAGTACGACAGACTCCGCACTCTTTCATATCCACAGAGCAACGTCTTCATCGTGTGTTTCTCCATTGCCAGCCCTTCCTCCTATGCCAATGTGCGTCACAAATGGCAGCCAGAAGTGTCTCATCATTGCCCCAATGTTCCTATTCTTTTGGTTGGAACGAAGAAGGATCTAAGGAATGACTCTGAAACTATAAGAAAGTTGAAAGAGCAGAGCCTTTCCCCTACAACCCCACACCAGGGGGTGACCTTGTCCAAACAAATCAGAGCAGTTAAATACCTGGAATGTTCAGCTCTCCTTCAGGAAGGGATCCTGGAAGTATTTGCAGAAGCAGTGAGAGCTGTTCTCTACCCTTATAAGGAAAAGAAAAGCCGAAGTTGTGTTCTGCTATAGTTGAGCTCCTGAATATCTATGTTGTACAGTGGAGTGGAGCGGTGTCTGATTTGTGGTAATGCACAGAATAAGTGACTAAAATGGAATTTGTTGAAATGCTGCTTTTGCTCAGTTTCTTTCTCTAATCGCAGATAACTATCGAGATTTAAATCTTGGGTAACCTTGGATTCCAGTTTCCAATCCCAGAGCTGGAGGGAAAGCTTTATTTTGGGTGTCACTTGAAAGACCCCTTTTTTTAAGGCTCCTGCTAAACTGTTATGAATCTTACACACGAGGCTTGTCATTTTCGAAGCAATGAAATGGCTATTTTTTTATTAACACAAATATTTCCTACACATTTGATTGGTGTACTTTTCTGTTTTTATGACAATTCACTGATTTTTTTTTCTTGATGCTCAGGTGATTGTTCACTGCTGTTTTATTAAGTAACACAAGGTAGTGCAGCACTCATTGACTGATGTGTCTGAAGAGGCATACATCGGCACAAATTGGCACAAATGTTGAGTTCAATATGAAATCTTGTACTGAGCAGTTATGCCTTTTGTTATTTTAACGATGCTTCACACAACCTTGCTAGCCTTATGTGTTGAAAACCTGTTATTGGCAGCAGGATATGTACAATAAACAATGAAAATAAATAATGCTAAGTATTCATCATTGAAGAAAATGTATGCCAGTGTCATGAATTCCTGGTGTGTTAAGTGGAGATCTCTGTGCATTAGCTTTTTTGTTTACTGAGAGACACTGCTCTGTATGAAGGACACTATATAATAATAATACTTGCATTTGATATAGCGCCCTATCACGTCTTCGAGATGTCTCAAAGCGCTTCATAGAATATACTGTAAAGTGAGTTGACTATATTTGTGAGCGAAACGCGGCAGCCAATTGCGTACAGCAGCGTCCCACAAACAGTCATGGATTGAAGTGAACAATTTTATAATTGTTTTTTTTTCTTGGGGGATTATTATCAGGTGTGTGGAGTAAGGAAACTTGCCCAAGGTTTCACCCTGCCGGGAATCGAACCCAGATCTCTCGCTTGCAAAGCGAGTGCTCTAACTACTGAGCTACAGGACTCCATATAAATGCAAGTTGTTGTTAGCTATGCATTTAGAAAATCTTCAGTGGGATAATTTTATATTCTATAGAGTTGATCACTACAGCCCATTTACATTGCACCTGAAACTCACTAACTCTGGGTTTCAATGAGTCTTGAGTTCAACATGCCAGCTCTTTGGTGCCTTGTTAACTGATGTAAAAGCGTTTTCCCATTTATTGGAGATGCTGTTTTGCAATATTCTTGCACTCTGGCTGTCATATAGGGAGAGATGTGAGTTTTTGCATTGTATTTATATAGATGATGAAAATTCTTCCATTTGGTGTAGAGCATTTGGGAGGAAGTCACAAAGTGAGTGCAGTGACAGTTTTAGATGATATGCTAATTGCATGGCATTACTAATATGCAATAAATTTGCTCATCTTACTACAAAATAATAATCCTTGCATTTATATAGCACCTTTCACATCGGGATGATGTCTCAAAGTGCTTCATAAGATTTAGTGTGAAGTGTAGTGATTGTGATTGCACTTCGCAAAAGCCTTCAGGGTATATTGTGTCAGGTGATTGTAGGCTCTCTGTTGCATCTACTTCAAATATTCGAGATCTTAAAGGATGTAGGAAAACTGAACCAAAATGTATTTAGCACATCTAATAAAAGGGGGCACACCCTCAAACTCCAAAGAGGGAAGGTGAGCAGACAGTTCATATTTAAGTACTTTACCCAAAGAGCAGTGAATATGCAGGATAGTTACCAGGACGGTGGTGACGTCCTCTCCCTCTGTCTCCTCGTCCTGGACCTCCACTGCTTTCGACACTGTTTACCTCGCCATCCTCATCCATCGCCTCTCCATTATCCACCTCAGTGGGATCGTACTATCCTGGTTCCCCTAAAAACTGCCATCATCATTCCCACTTTTAAAAAAACCCTCCCTTGATGCGTCGCAGCTATCAAGCTACCGGCCCATCTCCAACCTCCCCTTCCTGTCCAAGGTCCTTGAAAGAGTTGTCGCCTCCCAACTGCGCTCTTTCCTCTCCACCCATTCATTATTCAAACCCCTTCAGTCGGGTTTCCGTGCTGCCCATAGCACAGAAACCGCCCTGGTCAAGGTCACCAATGACATCTTGACCATCTGCGACCAGGGCTCCCTCAGCCTCCTCGTCCTCCTCGACCTATCAGCAGCATTCGATACGGTCGACCACGCTATCCTTCTCCACCGCTTGTCCTCCCACCTCAACCTTCAAGGCCCTGTCCTTGAGTGGTTTAGGTCGTACCTCTCCCACCGTCTTCATTTTGTTTCCACAAACGGCTTTTCCTCCACCCCCGCACTGTGTCGTGCGGTGTCCCTCAGGGCTCTGTCCTCGGTCCCCTCCTCTTCACCCTCTATATGCTCCCCCTGTAGTGACATCATCCGCAAACATGGGGTTAACTTCCACATGTATGCGGATGATACCCAACTCTACCTGTCCTCCTCTACCCTCAACTCCACGACCACCGATGTCCTGACAGCTGCCTGTCTGACATCGAGTCCTGGACGAGAGACAACTTTCTTCAGCTCAACGTGCATAAAACTGAGGCCCTCCTGATTGGCTCGCGTCAGCGCCTCCGCACCTCAGGAGCTGACAGCATCAGCATCCAAGGCTGCACTCTCCACCTCTCAAAGCCATCAGGAACCTCGGGGTTCTGTTCGACCCTGAGCTCTCCTTTCTTCCTCATATCTGCGCCACAACTGGCACCGCCTTCCATCACCTCCAAAACATCACCAGACTACGGCACTACCTCACCCCTCACGCGGCTGAAACTCTGGTCCACGCCTTTATCACCTCAAGGCTGGACTACGGGAACTCTCTCCTCTCGGCCTTCCCGGCCCTCCCTCCACACTGCAGGTCATTCAGAACTCTGCAGCTCGTGTACTGTCCCGCACCAGACACCGTGACCACATCACTCCCACCCTCGCCCTCACCCTCGCTCGCCTTCACTGGATTCCCATCCCCCAGAGGATCGAATTCAAGATCCTCATCCTCACCTACAAGGCCATTCACGGCCTTGCTCCCTCCTACCTCTCCGACCTACTATCCCCCTATCTACCTGCCCGTAACCCTCCGTTCCTCTGGCTCCGGTCTGCCCCACATCCCCCGCCCCAACCACCCTACCATCGGTGGCCGGGCCTTCAGCCTCTCATCCCCAAGGCTCTGGAACTCCATCCCCCAGTACCTTCGCCGCTTCCTCCCTTTCCTCCTTCAAGGCTGGTCTCAAGACGTTTCTCTTTGACCGTGCCTTCAGCTCCCCTCTCGACTCTCTACCCCCTCCTCGCTGCCTCCCTCCCCTCACCCTGACCATTTCCCCCCTGCTCGGGTCCTGACCCAACTGTCCAGCGCTTTGGGACGTCCTCCCGACGTGAAAGGCGCTCTATAAATGGAATCTTGTTGTTGTTGTTGTATCTAACAAATCGCCTTCACTATCTTCTCAAACGGTTTCTCGTCCCACCCCTGCCTGGGCACCTGTGGTGTATCCCAGGGCTCCACCTTTGTCCCTCCTCCCTCCTCTTCCTCATCTATATGCTCCTCTTTGCGATATCATCCATGGACATGGGGTAAACTTCCACGTGTATGTGGATAACACACAAATCTACTCCAGCTGTGACTCCAGGTCTGCCAATGTTCTCTCAGCTTGTCTGGCCAATATCAGGGCCTGGACGAGCTAAAACTTTGCACAAATCAATGTTGACAAGACGGAAACCATACTCATTAGTTCCAGTCAACTTCTTCTATCCTGAGGCTCTGATCTCCTCAACCTCCTCAGCCTATCCTTCAGATTTACCGAACCAGTATGCGACCCAGGCATCAAGTTTGACCCACAGATGTCCTTCCTTCCCCACATCCGGTCCCTGACCAGGATTATCTTTCTCCACCACCGCCTCATTGCCGGCCTCCGACCCTACCTTACCCCGGACACAACCGAAACACTCGTCCATGTGTTCGTCACCTCCCGACGGACTTCTCAAATGCCTTCTTTCCTGGTCTCCCCAGCTCCACCATGCACAGGATCCAGCTGATGCAAAACTCTGCCGGCTGCATACTCACCTGTGCTAAACTTATCCCCATCCTACCAGTTCTTGACTGGCTCCCCATCACTGAATGGGTTGATTTCAAGATCCTCACACTCGTTTGCAAATTCCTTCATACCCTGGCACCCCCCTACCTCTCCAACCTGTTTACACCCCCCCACCACCCCGCCAGTCCACAACCCTCTGCTTTCGTTCGACTGGCTCCAGCCTTCTGCATGTCGCTCGTGCTTTCCTTTCTACCATTGGTGGCTGTGCTTTCAGCTACTACGGCCCCAAACTCTGGAACACTCTTCATCTATCCCTCCGCCTTGCCCCCTCTTTCCCCATTTTCAGGTCACGCCTGAAGATCTTCCTATTCGACCATGTCTACGGTCACCTCCTGCCTCCCCTCAGCTTGGAGTCGTGCTCTACCACTGTCAAGTTCTCTGAAACCCAAGCCTGCGTGAGGGGAACTATATAAATACAAGTTGTTGTTGGTAGTGGAGGCATATTGTGTCAATTGAAGAAAATAATTTAAAAAATCAATAGTTTTTTTTATCAATCAGCTAGATTGACTGCAATACATTTATCCAGCCATGATCATGTATACAAATCTAACTTGTTAGTGAGCAATGATAACATTTCTTTTATGATACAGGCTAATAGCATGGAATACACCCAGAATTGCTGAATGCTGCCGCTCTTGATATTACTTGTGGCATCTGCCACTGCTTGTGGATTTCTTGGAAATGTCCTTCTTACAACAACAACAAAATTACATTTGTAGAGCGCCTTTTACGTCGGGAGGACGTCCCAAAGCGCTGAACAGTCAGATGTCGGGGTCCGAGTATGGGGGAGGGGTGGTGTAAGGGTGAGGGAAGGCAGGGAGGTAGGAGGGAGACCAAAGGCACGATCGAAGAGAAGGGTATTGAGACCGGCCTTGAAAGATGCAAGGGAGGAAGCGAGGTGAAGACCGTGGGATGGAGTTCCAGAGTGTGGGGGCAGAGAGGCTGAAAGCCCGGCCACCGATGGTAGGGCGGATCGGGCGAGAGACATGGAGCAGACCAGAGCCTGATGAGCGGAGGGAACGAGCAGGTTGGTAGGGAGTCAGCAGGTCAGAGAGATAGGAGGGGACAAGGCCATGGATGGCCTTGAAGGTGAGGACGAGGATCTTGAACTTGATCGTCTGGGGGATGGGGAGCCAGTGGAGTCAGACGAGGGTGGGAGTGATGGGGTCACGGAGCCTGGTGCGTGAGAGTACACGAGCTGCCGAGTTTTGGATGATCTGCAGCTTGTGAAGGGAAGAGTTGGGAAGGCCGATGAGGAGGGAGTTTCCATAATTGAGCCTTGAGGTGACAAATGAGTGGGTGAGGGTTTCGGCAGCCTGAGGAGTGAGGCAGTGGCGGAGTCTGGCAATGTTGCGGAGATGGTGGTAGGCAGTGCCAGTCATGGCGCGGATGTGGGGGAGAAAGGACAGTTCAGGGTCAAACAAGACACCCAGGTTCCTGACTGGCTTAGTGAGGTTGAGTGTGCAGCCATGGAGGCTGATGCAGCCAGCGCCTGAGGTGTGGAGGCGCTGGCGCGAGCCAATCAGAAGGGCCTCGGTCTTGCTGATGTTGAGTAGGAGAAAGTTGACCCTCGTCCAGGACTTGATGTCCGACAGGCAGTCAGTCAGGACCTCAGTAGTCCTGGAGTTCAGGGTGGAGGCAGAGACTTAGAGTTGGGTGTCATCCGCATACATGTGGAAATTTACCCCATGTCTGCGGATGACGTCACGAAGGGGGAGCATGTAGAGGGTGAAGAGGAGGAGACCGAGGACAGAGCCCTGAGGAACACTGCACGAGACAATGCGGGGGCTGGAGGAGAAACCGTTTGCCACGACGAAGTGGAGGCGGTGTGAAAGGTAGGACCTGACCCAGTCAAGGACAGAACCTTGAAGGTTGAAGTGGGAGGAGAGGTGGTGGAGGAGAGTAGTCCACGGTGTCAAAGGCGGCGGAGAGGTTAAGAAGGACAAGGAGGCAGAGGGAGCCCTGGTCACACATGGTCAGGATGTCGTTTGTGACCTCCGATTGGAAGGGCTCATGGAGGGAGTGAGTGGAGAGGAAAGAGCGAAGCTAGGAGGCAACAGCTCTTTCAAGGATCTTGGATAGGAAAGGGAGATTTGAGATGGGCCAGTAGCTGGATAGCTGTGATGGGTCGAGGGAAGGTTTTTTCAAGGTTGGGGTGATAGTGGCTGTTTTGAAGGGGAAAGGAACAGCGCCAGATGACATGGAGAGGTTAATGATGTCGGCGAGTATTGGGGCGAGGAGGTGGAGCTGGGATTTAAGGAGATGGGTGGGGATGTGGTCGAGGGAGCAGGTGGTGGACTTCATGGAGGTTACTGTGTTGAAGCCAGAGGAGGGGGTGACAGGTTCAAAAGTGTGGAAGGAGGGATGGGTAGTTGTCGGATGGGTACTTGTGTGGGGTAGGGGTAGGGAGGGGTTGGAAGTTGGGAGGGCAGTGGCAACTGAGTGGATTCCCTCGATTTTGGACTTGAGGAAGTGCAGCATTTTCTCGCAGTGAGAATCAGAGGAAAGTATCTGCGAGGCGTGTCGGGAAGGGCGGAGGAGCCAGTTAGTGGTGGAGAACAGGAGCCTGGGATTTCCTTTCACCTCCAGGATTAACCTTTAATAGATGGATGATTTGGCTGAGGCGAAAGCGGAGTGGTAGTTCTTGATGAGGTCCAGCCAGATGTGGTGGTGAACCATTCTTACTGAACATTATCCAGTCCGTCTCATTCTAATTTACACAAAGGCCACGCTGGATTCTTAATGTGATCAAATTGTGATTTGACTTTGAACTTAAAGAGAAATTTTGCACACTGAAGCTTGTACCAGTTTTGTACAGTTCATTGAAAAGCTTTATTTGTAATTTGTTTTGCTCGATTTTCTCTTTCTCCAATCTCTAAATTGTGAGTTCATGTTCATTTCCACACATCCCAGTGAAGTAGTGAGTGGTGAGCGATCCTGGATGCAGTACTCAAGGTGCGGTCTGACCAGAGCACAATACAGTCTGAGTATAACATCTGGGGATCTAAATTCAACTGATTTAGCAATATAGCCCAGCATCTTTTTGCCTTGTTTATTGTTGCCTCCCACTGTTTTGACTTAGTGAGAGACAATCAACCAACTCTCCTAGATCTCTTTCATCTTCCCCCTTGACATTCCCACTTTGAAAAAACTCTCCCTTGATGCATCACAGCTATCAAGCTACCGGCCCATCTCCAACCTCCCCTTCCTGTCCAAGGTCCTTGAAAGAGTTGTCGCCTCCCAGCTGCGCTCTTTCCCCTCCACCCATTCATTATTCAAACCCCTTCAGTCGGGTTTCCGTGCTGCCCATAGCACAGAAACCGGCCTGGTCAAGGTCACCAATGACATCTTGACCATCTGCGACCAGGGCTCCCTCAGCCTCCTCGTCCTCCTCGACCTATCGGCCGTATTCGATATGGTCGATCACTCTATCCTCCTCCACCGCTTGTCCTCCCACCTCAACCTTCAAGGCCCTGTCCTTGAGTGGTTTAGGTCCTACCTCTCCCACCGTCTTCATTTTGTTTCCACTAACGGCTTTTCCTCCGGCCCCCGCACTGTCTCGTGCGGCGTCCCTCAGGGCTCTGTCCTCAGTCCCCTACTCTTCACCCTCTATATGCTCCCCTTGGTGACATCATCCGCAGACATGGGGTTAACTTCCTCATGTATGCAGATGACACCCAACTCTACCTGTCCTCCTCTACCCTCAACTCCACGACCCCCGATGTCCTGACAGCTGCCTGTCTGACATCGAGTCCTGGACGAGAGACAACTTTCTTCAGCTCAACGTGCGCAAAACTGAGGCCCTCCTGTTTGGCTCACGTCAGCGCCTCCGCACCTCAGGCGCTGACAGCATCAGCATCAAAGGCTGCACTCTCCACCTCTCAAAGCCAGTCAGGAGCCTCAGTGTTCTGTTCGACCCTGAGCTGTCCTTTCTTCCCCACATCCGCGCCACAACTGGCACCGCCTTCCACCACCTCCGGAATATCGCCAGACTACGGCACTACCTCACCCCTCACGCTGCTGAAACACTGGTCCACACCTTTATCACCTCAAGGCTGGACTACGGGAACTCTCTCCTCGCCGGCCTTCCCGGCACCTCCCTTCACAAGCTGCAGGTCATTCAGAACTCTGCAGCTCGTGTACTGTCCCGCACCAGGCTTCGGGACCACATCACTCCCACCCTCGCCCTCGCTCGCCTCCACTGGCCTCCCATCCCCCAGAGGATCGAATTCAAGATCCTCATCCTCACCTACAAGGCCATTCACGGCCTTGCTCCCTCCTACCTCTCCGACCTACTATCCGCCTGTACCCTCCGTTCCTCTGGCTCCGGTCTGCTCCACATCCTCCGCCCTAACCGCCCTACCATCGGTGGCCTTCAGCCTCTCAGCCCCGAGGCTCTGGAACTCTATCCCCAGTGCCTTTGCCGCTTCCTCCCTTTCCTCCTTCAAGGCCGGTCTCAAGACCTTTCTCTTTGACTGTGCCTTCAGCTCCGCTCTCGACTCTCTACCCCCTCCTCGCTCACTCCCTTTCCTCCCCTCACCCTGACCATTTCCCCCCTCCTCGCTCCCTCCCTTCCCTCCCCTCACCCTGATCATTTCCCCTCTGCTCGGGTCCCGACCCAACTGTCCAGCGCCTTGGGATGTCCTCCCGACATGAAAGGCGCTCTATAAATGAAATCTTGTTGTTGTTGTTCTATCCCATCTATGGGATACTGTGTTTCCTATTCTTGCATCCTGTAAATAGTACTTTGCAATAGTTTGTATCATTAGATTGTCGCTAAGAAAAACAGGTAGCAATGGCCTCCTTTATTGAAAATAAAAATATTTCCATACTTTAACCATTGCCGCTGTATTTTTATTTCCTTGTATTCCCCAATCAGTCCCACAGAGTCTTCTCACCTATTCCTTTCTGATCAATGAAGAGCTGTGTTCAAGGCTATTGAGCTGATTTGCAGGTGGCGCTGTGACCGGAGGTGGCGCTGTGGCCGACGGTGGCGCTCTCCTGGGTCACTGCCTGTTTTGAGTTCCTCTCCCGCAGGTTTCAGCTCTTTGGTGCCGGTGGGGCCTTGGTGCAGAGTGAGCCGGGCTGAGGTGAGTTGAGCCGAACATGTTGGGGTGGGAGAGTCGGTCGGGGCGGGGGGTCGGTCGGTCGGGGCGGGGGGGCGGGGCTGGGGATGCTCCCGTGTCTGAGGCTAAAGAAAGTGAAAATCAAGCAGAAGGCACCAGTCACTGGGGCTCGGGCTGAGGGGCTGAGGGGCTGAGGGGCTGAGGCTTCGCTCCTGGGAGGAGGCGCTCCATAAATGAAATTTTGTTGTTGTAAATGGGATTAGGTTAGCATAGTCTTATTAAATGGCGGGGCAGCTCGAGGAGCCAAATAGCCTACTCCTGCTCCTATGTCTTATGGTCTTATTATCACTAGTTGGTCATTCAACATCCGACAAATGCGGATTTGAGGCCCTCGCGAGGTGGATGGTAGGTACCAGGAACAACCTACGAGCTTCTTGGTGGGCAACACATCTCAGCATGAAAAGCCTGAGAGCATTGCCACCATTTTCCTGCCTATAACTTGGATACACATCCCTTACCATTGAGCAATGGTTCCAATAGTTGGAAGGAGTAGAGTTTGAGTAGTAGCTGCTTACCTCTGCGAACCAATCAAGGTGGATTCCAATAGCTTGATGTATGGACGTACATTTGTACGGACTTTCACAAACTTGGATTCCAGGTAAAGTCTTCTAGCAGCTGTCGTCCCAAGCCTCAAAGTATCTTTATCAGCTATCTAACGGACATCTGCCTTCAGCACGGTAGGAGAACCTTTACAGTACAGTTTGTGATGTCTTGCATTTCGTCAGAAACGCAGGAAAACAGGAGGAGGCTAATAAACTATTGAGCCTGTTCCATTAGTTTTAGCTTTTAGCAGATCTATTAATCCCAGTGTCCTGCCCTTTTGCCACACCTCTTAATATCACTACTTAAGGATTTACTGATATCACTTTTAATTATCCCTATTGATTTCACCAATACAGTTTTCTAGGACGGATCAGGCCACATCTTCACAACTCCATGTGTGAAGAAATGTTTTCTGATTTAAGTTATAACTATCTTTGTTCTGATTTTACAGCTATGGCTCCTTGTAATGGATCCGTCAACTAAAGTGAAGAGTCATCCAATATCCAACCTGTCAAATTACTCCATAACCTCTTTCTTTTCAAAGGAATATAACTCCAGTGTATCCAGGCTCTTATCATAGCTCAGCTACTTCAGCCCAGATATTTTTTGAGTGAACTGTTGTTGGACACACTCCAAGGATAGTATATCTTTTCTAAGATTAGGTGCCAACCAAGTACTCAAAATAAGGTCTTAGCAGTGCTTTAAATAACAGGAGCAGCACCTCTTACTTTTATATTCCCGTCTGAGCTCATCAAATCTTTTCAATTATAGGAACTTCTTTCTCTCCTCGGAGAGATGCCTGATGATGTCAGACTCTGATAGCGATGAGGATCATGAACATCCATTCTCACTCACCGGTTTTTTGTTTGGGAATATTAATGAAGATGGACAGTTGGAGGATGACAGCATCCTTGACAAGGTAATCTCAACAACCTTATCTTTCTAGGTGTCTCTAAATATTAATAACTTCCATTTTCTGTGTTCCCGTTAGTCTTTAAAATCAAACTGAACAGGATTGCCTGTAGTATGAAGAAAACTAGCAGTGTGAAGCACTTTGAGACATTCTCCCATGCTATGTAAATTGTTTGTGTATGGATTGCCTGTAATGCCAATGTGTGAGGAGTGGTGTCGGAGATTCACTCTCAGTGAAGCTTTGACATAAGTTGGATTCATCAGCTGCAGATATCTGTGCTGGATAAAAGTTTCCCATCATCTGAGGAACAGGAAAGGGTTTCAATATAAGGCTTTTAATTTTTCTCACAGCTCTTGTATAAACGCAGGTGCATCTGCACCAATTTCAACCATTCTCAACATTGCATTGAAGTAGATGATTAACTGCTGCTGGTAAATTAAGTCAGTTGTAAGGATGTTGGACAGCAGGGCTGCAGAGGTAGTCATTGTATCTATCCTGGTGGACTTTTTATTCTAAATGCATTCTTTTAAGAAGAATAATCCCTTCTCAAAAATAATAATAATAATAATTTGGTCACTTAATCCACGACTGCTTGTGGGACATTGCTGTGTGCAATTGGCTAGCGCGTTTTGCCCACAAAATGTAGTCAATTCACTTTACAATATATTCTGTGTAGCGCTTTGAAACGTCTAGAAGAAGTGATAAGGCGCTATATCAAATGTAAGGATTATTAGTATTATGAGCCACCCAGAAGTTGTGTACTTTACAGAGCAAGTACTTCTCTACAGATTCAAATTCTAAGTAATCGCTAGTCAGAGAAATGTCTCAACTGACAATCTATCTGGTAATTACTGTGGCTATAACCTCTGCATTGCCTTCTCACAGGAGTCAAAGAAGCACTTGGATGGACTGGGAACGCTGGGACTTGGGACTCTTATCAAAGAGATTACAGCTAATGAGGATGATGCAGTGGACTCGGATGAGGGGAGCAGCAACACCAAGGGTAGGTGTTCTGTAAAGGCACTAATCTAAGTGGTGCTTTGGATAGTCACATTGGAGGCTTGTGGTTTGATCAGGAAGGAGCAGTCTGGATTCTGTTCTCATGAGAAATGTGTGGGACAGGTTGCAGCTTAGTATGAGATAGCAGAACGTTGTAAAGCTAAGGGAAAACCCACTGATTCTCACAAGACTTTCGACCTGGTGCCTCTCCTGATAAAACTGGAAGCCTTAGGAATACATGGCCAAATTTTGTATTTTATCCGGAATGTATATTCCAGCTCTAAGATCTGTATAAGGGTTGACAGTGGACAAACTGAGCCCATCCCTCTAGAAAGTGGGTACGGCAAGGCTGTCCATTGCCACCTACCCTATTCGATGTATTCATCAATGACGTGTTGGATGGCATCAAGGGTGGGGCAGACTTGAAATATCTGTTCCAGGTCTTTCTGACAGGACAGTGGTGCTTCTGTTTGCTGAGGGCCTTTTGTGCTGCACCCACTAGCTTGAACAAAATGCTCCTAAATGTGGAATCATGGTTCTGCATGGCTCAAGAGAAGATATTGAGAGGGATTTATCTACTCTAATAATGGTTCTTTTCCACTGCAGGCTGGGTGCAGAGTAAAGAAGATGCCATTGACTACTCGGACATCACTGAGGTGGCAGAGGATGAGACCCGCAGGTACAGGCAGGCGATGGGAAATCTTCAGCCAATCAGGAAATTGGGTAAGGATTATGTGTAGGTAACTGAAAAGTGAGCTCAGGATTGAATAAGGAATAAAGGCAAACTTTGCAGGTGTTTAGCATTTCAGCAACAAAACTGGGGATTGAATGCTGCGTGTATGAGAAATGGCGGCGAGTGAGTATGTGAAGCATGAGCAGGTTCATGAGTGAGGTAGCAGAGGATGAGACTCGGAGTTACAGTGCTTTGGGATGTCCTGACGTGAAAGGCGCTATTCAAATATAATTTCTTGTTGTTGAGGCAGCAAATACTAACTGTTGTGTCTGAACCAGGGGGCGATGATGACGATGATTATGATGCAGACAGTGAAGATGTGGATTCCAAGCTCATGCCTCCTCCACCACCTCCTCCACCGCTCAGTAAGGATGAAACACCGTCACAGGAATTGAGTGGTGAGTTACACTGGTCATCAACACATCTGGATCCAACTGGGGCACTATTTCCAGGGCTCCGTATTGGGTCCTCTTTTGTTTATAGTCTCCATCGACAACATTAAGAGTAAGGTAAATAGCACTGTTGTCATTTTTGCCTATGACACTAAAATAGGTCCCAAAGTGAAATTAAGAGAGGAGGCTACCAAGTTGTAAAATGATCTGAGCGGGCTATTTGAATGGGCTGAAAGCAAAAAGATGACCTTTAACGTGGGGAAGTGCAATATAATATACTTTGGGCACCAACGGTTTGACAGCCTTATGGGAATGGTTCCCACTGACAGTTGACCAGCAAAGAGACTTGTGGATGATCATTGATCACACACTTAAACCTCACAAGTAATTTGCAGCCATCATTTGAGGGATGCTACCCCGCGTGAATGGCACTATATAAATGCAAGTTGTTTTGTATTATTGCCAAGGCTAAATGAGTACTGTGATATTGGCTTTGATAATAGATCACAAATCTAAAGAATCTAACTTGACCTGCTCTGGTGCAGCCCCACCTCACGTTCTGGGTATTATACTTAGCTAAGCATATAGAGGCACTGGAGAAGGTGCAAAGACTAGCTAATTCCATTCCTTAAAGAACATCCCCACAGAGAAAGGCTTGAGAAATTGTGTCTGTTCACACTGGAGCAGAGGCGACTGAGAGACAATCTTACTGAGGTGCTCTTGTGTTGGTGGTGGCTTAACTCTGTCTGGGACCTCATTTTACTGCCTTCGGGGGTCGAGGAAAAATTTTACAGGTAAGTTCCCTCCCGTCTCTCACCAACTATCTCTGTATTTTTGCCTCCCCTTGAGCCCAGGAAAGATGTAGAGGTGAATATTGTGTGAGAAGTGGTTTGGGAGATTGCTCCTAGAAGCAAACTTGATGTTCCTTTGGATCTTTTTTTCTCTCCTTCCCATTTACGTAGCAAAGTAAAAATATGGCAAAGACATAGAAGGTGTGACGGAAATCTTGACTTCTGCTGCACATGCCAGTCATATAATTGATAAGAAGCAGGTTGACATTGCACATTACACATCAGCTTGTTCCAGTCTGCAATTAACGTTTTTATTTTCTTCCAATAGTGAATGGGCTAAATTCAGCTGCAGCCACTTCCTGCCCAGCTAGTGGTCCTTACGCAGCTGATACCCTTTTCCCTCTTTCAACAACTGATGATAATGATGGGATCATTTTACCATCGATAATTGCTCCCTCGTCAACTTCAGACAAAGTGGAATTTAGCAGCTCTTCTGACTCAGAATCTGAAATGGACAGGCAAGTGCCCCGACTGAGACAGAAAGATTCACAGAAGGAAGATAAACTCACACTGCCACTTGCGGGCATCATGCAGCGAGATTCAACCAAGCAATTACCCAGCGTCACGGATCTCTTCCCAGAATTTCGTCCAGGAAAGGTTAGAATAGGAAATGCGTAGACAGTTGTGAATAAGCTTTAATAATAGTCTATTGTCGCTGTTCTGATATCACAAATCTCCTGTCTTTTTCTTGCATTTAAAAAAAACTAGAATGCATAGTTTTCCTTCCAAGTGAATAGATTCTGTAATCAATATAAGTAGGTGTCCAGTTCGTTATCTCAGGAGGTTCAGTTAACTTCAGTTCATAGAATCATAGAATCGTACAGCACAAAAAGAGACCATTCGGTCCATCGAGTCTGTGCTGGCTCTTTGAAAAGTCTTTGAAAAGTGTCGCAGGCAAACTCTCAGGAACTCCACTCGTTTCCATCTTGCATGATGTTGGCAGTGTAGCAGAGATTGAGAGTTGGTCTGCAACAAATGTGGGATCGCTAATCTTTTTGTAAATCGCACAATTTAGACTCCAGTGGCACCAAGAGTGGATTATTGTGATGAATGTGATTATTTGTTCAGGCATTGATAACAAGAAACAGGATATTTTGGTTGGATTAATGATCATAGTTAAAAAAAAACTTGCTTCCAAATTAAAAGTAAATTTAAGTATTTTGAAAAAATTCTTTGCAATCTTAAATTGTAGGCAATGATCCATGAGGTTGTGATGGCAGGACCAGGTAACAGTCATGTTTAATATATTGTTTCTTTATGTTGCAGGTGTTGCGTTTTCTGCGTCTGTTTGGACCTGGAAAGAATATTCCATCAGTTTGGAGGAGTGCCAGGAGGAAAAGGAGGAAAAAACATCGGGAGCCACAGCTTGAGGCTCCAACCCGGGAGGGAGAGGAGGCAGTGAAGGAGCAGAGATCTGGGTGGGAGTATCATTATGCACCAGCTCCACCCCCTGAACAGTGTCTCTCTGATGATGAGGTATATTACGTGTAGTGCACAAAGCAGCCGATGGGATGCATGTGGAGAAATAGTGTGAGGAAGAGAGGGATGATTGGTGCAAGGAGAAGGATTATGGGAAGGAGCAAAGTGTAGAAGAGGGGATATGGGGAAGTTGGATGGAGAGAAGGGAGAGGGGAAGGGCCCCATGAGGAAGAAGTGTGATTAAATAATGAATTCTGATCTAAATTCAATGAGATTGTAGATACATGAACAGGAATAAAGGGATCATTCAGGAATTATTATTTCACTCTCCTAATTGTTGCAGATAACAATGATGGCTCCTGTGGAGTCTAAGTTCTCTCAGTCCACTGGTGACACTGACAACATAATGGACATGAGGCCAAGGATTGCTGAATGGCGCTATGGGCCTGCTCAGCTCTGGTATGATATGCTGGGAGTGGCAGAGGATGGAGATGGATTTGATTATGGCTTCAAATTGAAAGATGAAAATGAGGAGGATGTGGATTTTATTACTGATGCACAGGTAAGGAATAGAACTGATGGAAGAAGAATTCTTTTGAAAATTTTACAATGTTTGAGAGCTGGAGTTTAGTGGCTGAATATTCTGAGGTCCAGCCCACAGCTCTGACATTGGCATTGCTGTCTTTGGGCTAAATCTAGTTAGTCAATATATCTCCTGTTTGTTACTTCAAACATATCTTTTTTGTAAACACATTCAAAACATTCATTAGCTATGCAATACCCATCTTTATGAAAGAAATTAAAAATAATCTTTCAGTCTGTAGAGCAGAGGGGTAGAGGAAATGGTCCAAGAGGTAAAGTTAGGAGCCAGTGGCTTCTGCACCTTTGCTCTAAAGGCTGAAACAATCGATTGTTCCTTTTGGCTTCACTTGCTATGATCATCCTGTAGCTCAGTGGTTAGAGCACTCGCTTTGCAAGCGAGAGACCTGAGTTCAATTCCAGGCAGGGCGAAACCTTGGGCAAGTTTCCTTACTCCACACGCCTAATAATAATCCCTCCAAAAAACCAAAAACAATAATTAAATTGGTCATTTTCAATCTACGACTGTTTGTGGGACATTGCTGTGCGCAATTGGCTGCCGCGTTCGCCCACAAATATACAGTCAATTCACTTTACAGTGTGTTCTGTGAAGCGCTTTGGGACGTCCTCCTGACGTGAAAAGCGCTATATCAAATGCAAGGATTATTATTATTATATTATTATCATCAGTACCCAAGTGTTCACCTACCATCTACTGAGTATTTCCCAATGTTGAATAATTAGGAAGAACCTTAAAGCTGATGGCTTTAAGACATTCCGAGATACAATTTTGCATGATGGGTGGGTTGATGGAGAGGAAGCTGCCCTCCCACATTCAGGATGGGATCTGAAGCCAGGTAACAGGTTGCTCAAAGTTAGGAGGCACAGTAAATGTGTAGATGGGAACAGGAAGTTACAAAGGGACTGAGACAGATTAAACCAATGGGTAAAACTGTGGCAGGTGGAATTCAGTGTGGGTAAGTGTGAGGTCATCCACTATGGATCCAAAAATAGCAATTTATAGATATTTTCTAAATGGTGAGAAACTGTGGCGGAGCAAAGGGATTTGGGTGTCCACTTACACAAATCAAGCTCACAGACACAAAAGGTTATCAAAAAGGCTAATGGGATGTTGGCATTTATCTCAAGGGAGCTAGTATATAAAGGAGAGGAAATGATGCTTCAACTTGATAGAGCCTTGGTCAGATCCTATTGGAGACTGGGTTCAGTTTTGGGCACCGCACCTCGGGAAGGATATATTGGCTCTGGAGGAGGTGCAGTGCAGTTTCACCACAATAATACCAGGGCTTTGAGGGTTAAATAATGACGACAGGTTGCATACACGTGGTCTGTATTCCCTTGAGTTTAGCAGGTTGAGGGATGATCTAATTGAGGTGTTGAAAATAATAGAAGGATTCACTAGGGTAGCTACAGAGAAACTATTTCCGCTGGTGGGGAAATCCAGAACAAGGGGGCATAATCTTAAAAGTAGAGCTAGGCCATTTCGGATTAAAATTAGGTGGCAGTTTTTCACCCAAATCTGGAACTTACCCCCAAAAGGCTGTAGATGTTGGATCCATTCAAATTTTTAAGACTGAGGTGGACAGATATTTGTTAGGTAGGAAAAACATAGGAACAGGAGTAGGTCATTCAGCCCGTCGAGCCTGTTCAACCATTTAATTAGATCATGGCCGATCTATATCTTTACAAGAATTTCAAATCCAATTTCCCGCTTTCTCCCCGTATCCCTTAATACCCCGACCTACCAAAAATCTGTCAATCTCTTTCTTGAAGGTGTGGATGGATTCAGTATCCACGACCTTTTGGGGAGAGAGTTCCAGATTTCTACCACCCTTTGAGTGAAAAAATGCTTCCTAATTTTACTCTTAAATGGTCTGGTTCTAATTTTAAGACTGTGCCCCTTGTTTTGTATTCCTCCAACATAGAGTAGATGCAGAAAAGCCATTTCCTATCAATTCCCTTTATCATCCTAAATACCTCTATCAAATCACCCCTCAATCTTCTAAACTCGAGGGAATACAATCCAAGTTTATGCAGCCTTTCCTCGTAACCCTTAACCCTTTTTGGCTTGGTAACATTCTGATGATATGGGGCAAGGGAGGGTAATTGGAGTTGAGGTATAGGTCAACCATGATCTCATAGAATGGGGCTGAATGGCCTCCTCCTATTCCTGTTTCTATGCTCAGGACAGTCTTGGTTCTGTGGGCTGGGCAGACGCCGGATTGGAGGGGCTCAAGCAGGGAGTGCAGGGAAAGGAAAGAGCAAAACTGGGAAGCAACGACTCATTGCAGTATCGTGGAAGGGTAAAATGCACTACTTTAGTGTTGTATATTTATCCCTAATACATTTCACCTCATGGTGTGACTGACTCGTAAATATTTATGATTTAGAAGAGTCTTGAGATTCCAAAGAAATCAGCAGATGAGCAGGAGGTCCACGAGATGGAAGCTCTCGTGGGGGAGCACTTTCTGATGGTTACCCAGCTGCCGTGGGAGGAGGACATCATCTGGAATGGCGAAGATGTTAAACATAAGACCACAAAGTCCCAGCGAGCCAGCCTTGCAGGGTGGCTGCCCTCCAGCATGACTCGAAATGCTACGGCTTACAATGCACAGCAAGGTAGGCACTCGCTCTCTGTCCCAGCTCATAATGATGGTAAAGCCAACATTGGAGGAGACTCCGTAATACACATTTGCCTCTGGATAAATTGGTATTTAGAAAAATAGGAAAACTGGAATATAAGGAGACTATTCAGCCCATTGAGTCACTTCCACCAATTTTTAAATCTTGGCAGATCTTTTAATCCAAAGCTTTGTCCTTTTCCATATCTCCTGATAACCTTTAATGTTTGTTTTACTATATTCCTTTATTCTGATATAAGTAGATTTACAGTTTTATAGTAATCTGTGTGTGAAGAAGACAAAAGCGTGAACAAAATCATTGCAGACAGGTTGTCATGAAAACTGGTTTCCTGTGTGTTTGCTGCTGCTGCTAAAACCAGCTCTGTCCATCTGCACCATATTCTTACCTGGTCTATCACTCTCTTTTCAGGACTTAATCGTGGTATCTCTTGGCTGTCAAATCCTATCCCACAACTTCCTAGTCAGAAAAACACACCAACGGGGCTTCCACTACCAGCCAAGGGGAAGGACAAGCACATATCAGAACAACAAGGTTTGGCAGTCAGGGGGAGGGGCATGTCTGGGGCCAGGGCATCATTTCTAGCTTGGTGTCTTCCGTTTTTCCTGTCTATCACAATATAATCATTTCTCAATTCTACCCAGACAGTAACTGTATCTCTTATTCCTATTGTATCTCAGTATCTGACCTTTACAGGTGAGCTGTGCAAGAGAGATGTGCAGCATTCTCAAGTTAGCAAAGTGGAGGGGGCAAGCAGAGAAGTGGGGTAGAGAGAGAGATAGGGAATGAAGGAAATTGAAGATGGAGATGTAGATCTTGAAATTAATCCACAGGTAGCCTGTGGAGCCTAGTGAGGTCTGGAATCAGGAGTCATGTCATGCAGAGTTGCTCCCTGGCTGTGGGTTCAACCCCACTTTGGAATTTTGAGCTCACAGATTAGGCTGGCTAGGGAGTGCTATATTGTTGAAGGTGTTGCCTTTTGGTTGAGATGTTAAACCAACATCCTGTCTGCCTGTTTAGGTAGGTGTTAAAGATCCCATGGCACAATTTCAAATGAGAGGGGAGTTTCTTACAGTGTCCTGGCCACCATTCCCCCAAATAAAATAGATCATTTATATCATAGCTGTTTATGGTACTTTGCTGTGCACAAATTGGCTGCCTCATTAATTTACAAAATACACAGTATACTGCACAATTAATCCTTCAAAGCGCTTTAGACATTCTCCCGATGTGAAAGGTATTTTCTGCAAGGATTATTGTAATTTATGTAATTTTAGTCTTTTTAAGCTAAACGTGTAAGTGTGCATTTGCGCAGCTCAAAATGTACTTCCGGTTGACTTTGTGCATGAAATGGGTGTTTCTTGTGTCTTGATGTGAATATTGGATGATGATGCTTTGGATAATTTAAATTTCTGTTGCAGGCTGCCTGTAGTGCTGTGATTTGATATTCTGTTTTCTTTCCTCTTTAGCGTCCCAAGAGGATGATAAAACTTGGTATTCCATTTTCCCTATTGATAATGAAGAACTTGTGTATGGAAGGTGGGAAGACAACATCATCTGGGATGACCAAGCTATGGACAAAATCCTGGAACCACCTATACTAACCCTTGACCCCAATGATGAGAATATCATACTCGGTACATCCTGTGTCATACATTTTAGAACCAAATAAGTACTTCAGCACCGGAGAAAATAAAATAACTTTTCAAAATAGGAAATGGAAAAAGGGATGAGCATTTTTTTATTGTACATCTTTGTAATAGCCATTTTCAAAAAGGAAGAATAAGTATGCCTTTGCCCACAAAATATGGGGGCCACAATTGACTTTACAGTATTTTCTGTCTATTCTTTGAGATGTCTCAAAGACATGATAAGGCTCTGTATCAAATGCAAGGATTATTTATTATCAAGAAATAATAATAATTATTAAGTAGCCTGTGGCTTATTATGAAATGCGGAGGCTTTGTAAATCCCAGCATTCCAACTGGAACCGTCTGAGGTGAGGGAGAAGGAGGCAAGACATCTGATGTTGTTTAATTGGGTAAATTAGTGTCAGCCTGGCTCTGATGGTGGCACTCTCGCCTCTGAGTTACAAGGTGGTAGGTTCAAGCCCCAAATTGGGACTTTGAGTTCATAGTTTTGGCTGACACTCCAATAGAGTGTTGGGAAAGCTCTGCATTGCTAGAGACGCCATCTTTTCAAAGAGGTAGATGTTAAACTGTTCACATGGCCATTATGGGTTGCATGGCATTATTCAAAAAGAATAGGCAGTTTCTCTTGGTGTTCTGGCCAACAATCCCCAGATAATAAAATTGTGTTTGTGAGACAGGATAGAAAGTACAGGAGCACCTTTTTTTTAAAAGGGGTGATAGCTTCTGGAGCAATTACCAATGAAGGAAGCTCTAAAATTAAAAATTTAATTGAAAGATTTCAGAAACCTAGAAATGAAAATGTTTTAGGATTATGAAATAAAATAAATCTTATAAATTTGAAGAAATATTTTAGCAATTTGAATGGGCAGCTAGTCTTCTGACTGAAACTGTTACTGTGCTATGAAGTAGATGGATAAGTTCAGAAATATTCCGTCCAGGAATTATCAATGGACTTGATGAGTTTTGCAGAAGGAAGAATTTTGCCATTTGGTATTAACGATGGTTTGGAGTTCACCATTCTTTCCTGCTCTGCTCGACTCCAGAGATTCCTGATGAGAAGGAAGAAACAACGTCCAACTCTCCTTCCAAAGAGAATAAGAAGGAATCGTCAGCTCGGAAGAGTCGCATCCTGTTGGGAAAAACTGGAGTCATCAAGGATGAACCACAACAGGTCAGTAAAAGCAGAAGTCAAAGAATGTAGACAGATTGCAATGTGGTGAAGTAGGATTTTTTTCCACTGATTTAGCTTTGAACAAATTACATTAATTACATTGTTTATAGCAACAAACTCCAACCCTGGAACTTATTGCTGCATCCATCCAGACAGTCACCTTTGTTTCCAAACAACAAACCTTGCATTTATTTATATAGCACCCTTGATGGAGAACATCCAGTACACATAAAATAAACCATCTACACCAGTGGGAATTCTATTCAAAACATATTCTGTAATCTTATATATCCTGATCCATTTATTTGAGTACTTTCCCTTTTCCCTTACTGTTTGTTGCACTGTGGCAGTTGCTTATGTTTTTACCAGGTGTAGTTAGAGCACATGTAATACACATATACCTGCTCTCTCTCAGTATGTATTGAGTCATGTATGCCAGTAGGGTTGTTCTCTCAGTCTCACCCAATTTGGATTGGACTATGTAGCACTGCACACACACACACACACACATAAAAACACCCACAAGTGCTCACTCACACTCTTGTCTCTTCCTGTTTTGTTTTTGTAGAATATGTCACAGCCAGAAGTGAAGGATCCATGGAACCTTTCAAATGATGAGTTTTATTATCCCAAACAGCAGGGACTTCGAGGAACCTTTGGAGGCAATATCATCCAGGTGAGGCGAGTGGATCCCTTGCTGCATTGCTAGGTTAACTCCTCCAGGGTACGGATTTCATCCTGTCTGCATTCCAGAGCTCGATAGTCTGTCTTTCATTTGTGCTTGTAGGGAGGGTAAAGGAGGGCAAGAAGAATAAGGAAACCAAGTTTGCTGGAGCTGCTGAACACATTGTGATTTTTCCAGCAACCTCAACCACTCCAACTACTGTTGACCACTCTATTGTTTCCATCCTTGGTTGTTTTCCTCTTTCCTCCCTGCTTCACCTCGATGGCTCTGTCCTTTCCTGGATTCACTCTGACAGTCCCAGAGCCACTTTGTCTCTAACGGCTTCTCCGGCTATCGTAGTACAGTCCCATGTTGTGTTCCTCAGCTTTATCTTTGATCTCTCCTATTCATCTATATATGTTCCTTCTTGGTGACCTTATCAGTAGATATGGGGTCTACTTTCACATGTACACAGATGACACCTACTCCCTTTTCTGAGCAAATGCTTGTCTGTACTGCGCTCCATCAATTGGTGAGTCTTCAGCCATTCCGCCCCCCTCACCCCCATTCTCACAATACTATGCCCCAGAGCACCATGTGGTACATTATCGTCTTGCACAGCTCTGCAGTTCCATGCAGCGTAGTAATCTGATGTGTTTACCGTGCTACCCTGAGCCGCACAATAATATCCCATTTTGTGTCTTGCTATTTCTGTGTTGTAAGGTAGCACTCCATGTGATATCATTGCAGTATAGTACCATGCTAAATAGTGTCCTGTCATATATTGCATTGCTGTGCAGTATATTATGCTGATTGCCTGGTGTTGTGGGAACCTTCAATAATTTTACACGATACTCTGATCACAGCATTCCATTCCCGCAGTGGAGCTGCGGCAGCCATTCTTCCCAACTCACATGGGCCCAATGAAGCTCCGACAGTTCCATCGACCTCCATTGAAGAAATATTCCTTCGGGACATTATCACAGCCAGGACCCCATTCAGTGTATCCCTTGCTTAAACACATCAAAAAGAAAGCAAAGGTAAGCTGTTTGAAGCTGATCCCAGACAGGAATAATGGGATGTCACTCTTTGCTTTCCTCTTTACAATGGCCTGAATTTGCTGCTTGTAGATGCGTGAACAGGAGCGACAGGCGTCTGGAGGTGGGGAGATGTTTTTCATGCGAACGCCGCAGGATTTAACTGGTAAAGATGGTGACCTAATCCTGGCTGAATACAGCGAGGAATATCCACCTCTTATGATGCAGGTTGGCATGGCAACGAAAATCAAGAACTATTACAAACGGGTGAGAAGTGATATTTCATAGTTTATATTTAAAGGGATCCTGGTGCTTCTGATTCTAAATATGGAGAGACGCTTATTATTGTAAACGGGCAGAGAAGTTTATATTTAAAAGGTGCAAATGTAGTGCCTGAGAATTGGATGGATCCGTCACTTAGTTATTAACTTAATATGTCAATTTATTTTGAAGTTTAAAATCCCAAATCTGAAATGAAAGTGTTTTACAGAAACCAGGGAAGGATCCTGGTGCTCCTGATTGTAAATATGGAGAGACAGTTTATTGCCACACGTCACCGTTCCTTGGATCTCTACACCCTGGACAGTTACTGCAGGTCGGTGTGAGTGGGAGGAATGCCAGTTACTTTGTGTGAGGGTGAACAGGAGGTAGGAGTTAGCTGGAGATGAGAGGTCAGATAATGGGAAACCACAGAATTTACTGTATTCATAGTTTTGCTTTCTTTCCTATTGTTCACATGCCGACCCTCAGCCGTCCTTCCTACCTCATTGGGTCCCTGAGTTTCCTTAATCCACAGGCCTCTATTTACCTAGCAGTAAGAAGGAACCCGGTTGTTAGTCGATTGGTGGATCGCTTTTCCAGGGGTAATAATTCTTTCAAAAAAAATTGGTCACTTCAATCCATGACTGTTTTTGGGACACTGCTGTGCGAAATTAGGTGTTGCGACTTGCCCACAAAATATACAGTCAATTCTGTGAATTTACAATATATTTTGTGAAATGCATTGAGATGTCTCAAGGCCGTGATAAAGCGCTGTATCAAATGCAAGGATTATTATTATTATCCTTGAGATCCAATTTATCCAAACTCCAGCGTTCGCAGCCTCACCATATCCAACTTTGCAAAGTCATCACCAACAATCCTCGTCAGGCTCCACTGGTTCCCATCTCTGAACGTATCACGGCAAGATCCTCATCCTCATGGGGTATCCCTTCATGCATTGGCATCTCCCTATTTCTCTGATCTCCTTGTTACCCCACTCTTCTGCCTGCTGCCTCTGCTCAACTGACACAGGCTTGCTGCACGTCCCCTGCACTAACCCTAACCCTCTCTGCATCAACAGTAGTGGCTGTGCCTTCAGTCATTAGACCACAAACCTCTATAACTCTCTGCCTGTATCCATGCACCAGCGCCCTGCCCCCTCTGTCAAAATTCCACCTTAAACATAGCAAAAANCATACTTCTTTGTTCCCGCCTGTGGTCACCTTGCTTCTAGCTTGGTGACAAACCATGCCACTGTGAAGCCCTCTGAGATGTTATTCTATGTAGAGGAGCACAATATAAATGCAAATTATTGTTATATTTTGCTGTTAATTTGGTTGAATTTGATAGAGGTGAGAATCCCTGCGATCCTGTTAGTTCTCAAAGCTGAGTTTACTCCAGGCAAGAGGTTTACTAATGGGCCTTTTGGAAGGTTGTTAGTATCTGTGACTTTTTTTTGCTTTTTAAAAATGTCATTATTAATAAAACCCAACCATTATAACTAAAACAAGATTTCTGTGATAAATATTTACAGAGCAATTTTAGAGTGCTGTATAATTAATTATATGATTGTGAATGTTCAAAATATATACAGATTTCTGTGTATTGACAGGCATTTGAAAACAATCTCTTCCGCTCTCCAATTTACTTACACAAGATGCCAGAGACTGATTTCTTGATTATCCGAACCCGTCAGGGCTACCATGTCCGAGAGTTGGTTGATATCTTTGTTGTCGGACAGCAGTGCCCTCTCTATGAAGTCCCTGGGCCAAACTCCAAGCGGGCAAACACTCATGTCCGCGACTTCCTGCAGGTACCGTGTGACACAGATTGTTAAAGACGGCTTCTCAAGTCTTGACTTAGACTCATTCTATATTATGATCTTTTATAGGTCTTCATTTATCGTCTATTTTGGAAAAGTAAGGATCGTCCAAGAAGAATACGTATGGAGGATATAAAGAAAGCCTTTCCGTCTCACTCTGAGAGCAGCATCCGAAAGCGACTGAAGCTATGTGCAGATTTCAAACGAACAGGTAAAGAGGCCTATTATAGAAGAATGGTGAATAGTAAACTCATTTGTGATGCATATAGCTGATGTGGCCTCTTAGTGCTGTGGTGTAAAATTTATCTTGTTAATACTGTAGTGAACAACAGCTGATATTGTGTTGGTATTGTAGTTTAGCGTGCTATCGCTTCCTCCTATGGGTTATTGCAATGGTTCCTCATTTGTCTAAAGGGATGGACTCAAACTGGTGGGTGCTAAAACCGGATTTCCGATTGCCCACTGAGGAAGAGATTCGAGCCATGGTATCTCCTGAACAATGCTGTTCATATTACAGCATGCTAGCAGCAGAGCAACGCTTAAAGGTGAGTTGATATATTGCATCTTCTGGTATAGTCGTTGAGAATGTTGTGCTGATTATCCAGCTAGAATACTCACAAGGTCTTCATGGCTCAGTTAGTAATACATAGTCAGTTATAGTTACATGTGGTCTTCTACTCGTTCAACGCTCGTTCACCTCTGCAGCATCACCGTCTCTGCCAGTACCTTTGCTGAGACCCTAAATGAATATGCTATGTAAATGTTGTCATAATACTCTTGCTTCTGCGTCAGAAGGTTGTATATTCAAGCTCCACGTTGAGACTTTGAGCTCATAGTCTAGACTAGGCTAATTCAAACTTTTGGCTGCTGAGAGATGGATTTGGGATTTGACAAACATTCGTGGGCCTCATAAGCAATATTTTTGTGTTTCCAGAAACAGAACTTGTAGGAATCATATAGAAATCCTATGTTTTAAATTGTGTAACTGTATTACTTATTTTCACTCTATTTTTAGTTACAATGCAAACTTTAAATAGGCAATGTAAAACTTCACAAAAAATTGCAACCCACAATAAACAAACCTCGTAGGGTTTGATTGAATTGAATGTAAAGTACATCATCCCAGAGGAATGAAAATTAGCATCAAACAGGACCACATGAATTTAAGTTACATGGGATGTACAGGATGTTTTCCCAATTCCAATTTATCCTGCAACCCATCTCAACTAATGAGGCCAAAGTCGCCCCAAACTGACTCAGTTACCTTTCCTTTTTTCTGATCACGAAGCCCAATCCACCAATCACAGCCCCGCCCTCCCTCCGACCTTGACTGACAACCAATTGCCAATCAAAGACATTGCCCACAGCCATGTTGTGAGAGGCAGGGGTGGAGCCAAATCTTGACCTAGACCTAGATCTGCCCCTGCACCACTTGGATGTCCTCTTGATGTGAAAGGCCATATACAAATGTACTGTAATTTTGTTGTTGTTGTAATATCGTATGTAAGTGGTTTATTGTATTCGCTTGGTGGACAATGAAGTTAGAAATGGTTCTCTGGCAGGATGAAATCATCACCCAGGCCGGATGTGGCCTGCAACCCTGGTCTAGACTGACTCTAGAACAGTTGGGAGTGTTGTAAGAGAATCTCTTTCAGATGAGATGTTAAACAGAAGTTTTGTTTGTTTGTTCAGGTGGACTATGTATACCGCCTATACTTCAAAATTTCATTGTATCTCAAAAGTTCACTCTCTCACTGGAGGAACCTACCCAACTTATCTAAGTTGGAGCCTCCTTCCCATTTTAACCCTGTGCTTCGAGATCTTACCCCACATGAGGGGCTGTTACTGTTGAATCAACCTTCAACAACAGTGACAAGAGTGCTACCAACTGAGTCAGGTTGACACCCGTTTGTGTTTCTTTCTGTTGCTCTCAGGATGCTGGGTATGGGGAGAAATCCTTCTTTGCCCCAGAAGAAGAGAATGAGGAAGAGTTCCAGATGAAAATTGATGATGAGGTATTTTGTTACATTAATGCAGTCATAACTCATGTCATTTTTCACTTATGTTTCAGTACTTTACCACATGATCCAAAATGTTTTGTAACACTGAATAATCAGGTCTTTGCAATACATTTTGTTCTGATTTCACATCAACGCATTTGTAGTTGCAACTTGTTTGAAACATCTGCAAAGAGGAACCATTGGGATTGTCTTCAGCCCAGTGGGGACAAGCTAACCTGAGGCAGAGAATCATTTGATTCCAGTGGTGTGAGAGTCTCTCATGCCAGTTTACGATGCAACATCTCTTGCTTCCAGTGTGCAACTCAGCATTTTTAATCTTGCTTCTAATGTATAGGGAGTCTCTCTTCCCAGTGTGTGACAGTATCTCTCTCCCTCTCTCTCGTCTCTCTCCCCCAATTTGTGACTCATCTCTCACTGTCAGAGTTTAATTTGGCTTCATAGATGTCTGAGAGGGTGGGGTGGAGGATACATTCCAAATCAATACTTTGTGGGTTTCTAAATTAAACTGCTTATTAGATCTACTTTATCAAACATTCTGCTAAATGGTGTTTTCCGGTACTGAATTTATGAAGTGTTCCAATTTTGGCCCCTTGCTGCCTGTTATCTCGTGGTGCATCTAATCTGTAGTGATAACAGTACACTACAATAATAATAATCCCTCCAAAACCCAAAACAATAATAAATTGGTCATTTTCAATCTACGACTGTTTGTGGGACATTGCTGTGCGCAATTGGCTGCCGCGTTCGCCCACAAATATACAGTCAATTCACTTTACAGTGTGTTCTATGAAGCGCTTTGGGACGTCCTCCCGACGTGAAAAGCGCTATATCAAATGCAAGGATTATTATTATTATTATAACAGCTGCCTGATAGACATCTTTAAGCCGATTGCTTAAGGTTAAAAATTATAAGTAATCATTAAGCATTTCAGTAACTTGCTTCTCATCTTTGGGAAGCTCTGGTTTACCTGCTTTCTTCTCTTTCCTTTAGGTCAGAACAGCGCCATGGAACACCACTCGGGCATTCATTGCCGCCATGAAGGGCAAGTGTCTGCTAGAAGTCACTGGTGTTGCTGACCCCACTGGCTGCGGTGAAGGGTTTTCCTACGTTAAGGTTCCCAACAAACCCCAACAGCAGAAAGTAATAAGTCAACTGCTTTTGTCTGATCTGATATGTTTGTTTATAGGATTAAAACCTGGATTGATTTGAATTAACATTGAGAGTCCTTCCTGCAATTTGGGCTTGATGTGCGCCCCACCCTCTCTCTCTATGCGACCAACGGTGGCTGAGGTTTCAGTTCCTGAGCCCCTCTGTGACTTCCATAAACGCCCCTGTGGAACTTACATAAACTTCTGGATCTTCCTCCTTCTTAGCCTATAAAGTGCTCCAAGACATTATCCTACGCAAAAGGGGGCATATAAATCAAGTTGTTGCAATTCCACGTATTCATATTCATTGAAGAATGCCTGTCCTTATAATTACAAAGTGCGCTAAGCTATAATTGTTACATGTTATGTAATTGCAATTTGTGTTGTTGCTTTAAATTGTCTGGTTATTTCTAGAGATTTGGAAAACAAATTTTCAATTTATTTTTTAGGATGACAACCAGCCACAACCTGTGAAGAAGACAGTGACAGGAACAGATGCTGACCTGAGACGGCTGTCTCTGAAAAACGCTAAACAACTCCTTCGGAAGTTTGGCGTGCCAGAGGAGGAGGTCATTGCCCCCATTTTCTATTTGATTCTGTTGTCTGTTCAATTTTGTACATTAGGTCTTGTTTTTTCTATTTAGTGGAAGCAGAATTCAAATTGGTTTGAGGTATAAATCGTCAAATGCAGTACAGGTAAACACTTGTAAGATTTTTCTATATTATGGTAAGTGTCACAACATTTGGGATATTTGTTCCAATGGGATCTTTGTTTGTAATAGATCAAAAAGCTGTCCCGATGGGAAGTCATTGATGTGGTGCGCACAATGTCGACGGAGCAGGCACGGTCTGGTGATACGCCAATGAGTAAGTTTGCCCGTGGTTCCCGTTTCTCAGTGGCTGAACATCAGGAGAGATACAAAGAAGAGTGTCAGCGTATCTTTGACCTTCAGAACAAGTAAGCAACTGTGTCTTAAGTGTGTGGTGCTGCGCGTGCAGAGTGTGATGCTGAAGCTCACAGGACACAGAACGAACATCTCTGTTCCTGTTTCAGGGTGCTGTCTTCAACGGAGGTGCTTTCAACTGATACAGACAGCAGTTCAGCAGAAGACAGTGATTTTGAGGAAATGGGAAAAAATATTGAGAACATGTTACAAAATAAAAAAACCAGCTCACAGCTTTCCCGCGAACGCGAAGAGCAGGAACGTAAAGAATTACAGAGAATGCTAATGGGGGAAGAAATTGGAAATGACAAGGACCGGGATAAGAAGGACAGGAGAGACAAAAAAGGTTCATGTGAGTAACATTCAGCTGGCATTTCTGCAAGAGAGGCACCATTTCACTGCCACCTCAGTAAAGAGCTGTGGGAGGGGTCAGATGCTGAATAGACATTGTGTGTGCATTACCCCCTTTGCTTCCTCACTCAAATCCTTGAGTTTTTATCGTCTACTGTGTTATTGTGCAGCCTGCAGCCCAAACCCCGGCATCTTCCACAAGGACGATGACACTGCCTCTGTCACCAGCCTTAATTCTTCAGCAACAGGACGGCGGCTGAAGATTTACCGCACGTTCCGAGATGAAGATGGGAAGGAGTATGTGAGGTGTGAGACGGTTAGGAAGCCCTCTGTCATTGATGCGTATGTTAGAATACGGACAACAAAGGATGAAGACTTTATGTAAGTGAATGTTTAATTATTTACAGCAGCCCTAGATTCAACATTCACTAATCTTCAGGGAGAGTGGATTTTTTTTTATTCTGCTTGTGTGGTACAATGTTCTCAGCAATGGACCCAACCAGCAGTAAATGGTTTCTAAAATAGGAAATTGGAGGACTGTCAGAGGGACATGGGTGAGCACCAGGACTTGCCTACAACATGAGCATCTTCACCAAAAATAATCTTATAATTGTCTTCAAAGAAAAGAACAAAGAAAATAGGCTCAAAGCTCTTCACAAAATGAATTAATGTAATGACTGCTAAATGGCAGATGTGAACAAGGAGAGTCCCACAAAGAACATTGAGATGAACAACAAATCTAAGATTTGGTGAATGTTTGGATGAGGAAGGAATCTCATCCATGGAAAGAAATTGAATTAAGGATAAATACATATGATGCATTGGTGGAAATATTCTCATGCTCACTGGATATGTTGGGTACAGAGGATTGGAAGATACAAATGTGATTGTGATCTTTTACATGGTTCAAGAATTGTGGATCTGAAAACTCATAGGAACCAGGGAAAAATATAAATTGAATTATTAGTTAGATCATCAGAAGCAGTATTTGTTTAAAATGGGCAGCTGTTAGTAACCTGGGTTTAGTCCTGTGATTCCTGTTCATTACTAATAAAGTACTGGAAGTTGAAGCATTGGTTTGTTAGGATAACACACAACACTGGGAAGATAATTAGCAAATTACATTTAATATTGATAACTGGAGGCTAATGCAAAATGGTGCTGGAAATAGCTAATTATTATTCAGTCATTGGTACTGGAGAATGCATAAGAGGAAAAGGTTTTGATGTATTGGTTGACCAAATATTGGAATTATTGTATTGATGGAATCCAAGTTAAGAATGGTTGTAAAATCAAATCCATGAAGCATGTTCATGGAGGTTATACTGAGAATTGGTGAAGCTCATGAGTGTTCATCTTCTTCGCCATACTTCTGAAAAGATCAATATTGGAAACAGTTCAAAGATGAGCAACAACAATGGAACAAAGAAAGAATGATGAACAGGTTTGGGGGAGAACACAGCCTAAAACACAGAAATCCCGAAGGGACTTGGTGAATGTGGAAAAGTTTTATGTATGGAACCAAAGAGAACAATGACAATATTAGTAAAGATTGAACAGACCTTAAGCTAAATGGAATTTAAGGAACACTGACTTTGATTCAGATTCAGTTTATGGATGAGGCTGTAAAGCACTTTGAGATATTATCCTACATGAGAGAAGCTATGTTTGACCAAGTTGTTGTTACCAAACTTAGAAAATGCAGAATTGATTGAAGCATTTGAAGAAATGTCGAGAGTGATGTTTGGAGTAAGCAGCTTGGTAACATGTTAGGATGGGCTGGATAGAGCCTTGTATAATTCTTACATTCTCTTGTCTTCCATAGCCGTAAATTTGCTCTGTTTGACGAGCAACATCGTGAGGAGATGCGTCGAGAAAGACGCAGGATTCAGGAACAACTACGGCGACTCAAACGGAATCAGGAGAAGGAGAAACTGAAAGGCCCACCAGAGAAAAAACCCAAAAAGGTTAAGGAAAGGCCTGACCTTAAGGTAACCAATCTGATCAAATGGTTGCTAGGGATACACAATGAGAAGAGAGATTGACATAATATTCCACCAGTTCCTTGGATGCCTTTAGAAAATTGGATCACATCATAGTCCATTCACCAATGATTTTCCAATGAGAACAGATTTCTGACTCCATGGTTTAAAACGATAAAGACTGTGGCTTTAGGTGGTGCAGGTGGAAAATTATCCAAAGATTTAGGTTGAAATCATCTTTTGCAATAGAGGGAATGTTGACTCTGCAGATGAACATGTTCTGAGCAGTTCCTATGTATTTGAATCTTGGGGTCAGCGAGATCAGATGATATTGTTCTGTCTTATGTTTCTGTAGTTAATTGAATGAAATTTAGTGTATTTGAGCTGTTTACAAAGCATCTTCACTTTCAAGGAAGTAAAAACCACGATGACTAGAAGTGATTCAGCCGTCAATCAAAGAAATTGAGGAAAAGTAACCAGACGCAGAAAAGCAGCTTATCAATAGCACCATGAGAAATCAGATAGCACCAGGAAAAGAATTGCTGTACCTCTGGAAGAAGTAATGTTTAGACAATTTAGAACAAATAGTGTAAGTCATGAAATGAGTAGAAAGATTGTGTAGGATTTGATTATTTTCTTTTGTCTTCATGGATGAAGACTGAATCAATTCTAGATCTAGTCAGACTGGGATCTGTAACACAAGAAGAAATCTTATGAAGAATTTTAAAGCATTAAATGTCCACAAGGCATCTCTATATGTTGTCCATTTGCAAAATGCAGTGGATCTGAGATAGGATATTTTCAAATAGCATTCCATAATGTACCCTTTGGCTCAAAAGAGGGAAAGAGAGAGTATAACTCTGAAACAAATGAGTGGGTGGGAGAGAAATAAAAACAACTTGTTTGTTGGCCCGATGACTCAAGTGATCTAGGAGTCTGCAACTTTCTCTGGGGATTTGGCATATGCAGGTACTTTCTAATGTTCAGTTTGGTTTACTCAGAAGTAACCATATTTATTGTTAACCTATAACTCTATGCTCACTGGACTTCCCAACTCTTCCCTTCACAAAGTGCAGAATATTCAGCTTGTGTCCTCTTCCACATCAGGCTCTGTCCGCCTATTAACCCTATCCTTGTTGGGCTCTACAGGCTTCCCTTACCCAAGAGGATTGAGTTCAGAATCCTCGTACTCACTTCTAAATCCCTACTTGTTCTTGCCCCACCCTACCTCTGTGACCTTGTAAAACCTAACCAACTCGCCCACTCCCTGTGCCTGATAGGCAGTGGCCTGCTTCTCGTCAGTTGATGGGCCTTCAGCTTTTCTGCCCCCACTCTCCATCTGCACTGAAGGAATGTGAACTCTATCCTAAAGTCCCTTCACCTTGCCCCTATCCTCGCTTAATTCAAGGTCTGTCTCAAGAGCCTCCTCTTTGACCGTGCCTTTTGTCATCTTTCCACCCCTCTCGAATCCAACCCTCAACCTGGGTGCAAACCATCGACCTTCCTGTGCCTTGGCACATCCTCCTGATGTGAAAGGCTTATACTGTATCAATGCAATTTGTTATTGTGTTATATACTCAGCTTAATCCACAAGAGGATTAAAAAAAATTGTGATGTTTGCCTTCAGAAATTCTGGAAAGGATTAAAAGATGTCTTTTTGTCGCTGTTCACAGTTGAAGTGCGGGGCTTGTGGTGCTATTGGACACATGAGAACCAATAAGTTTTGCCCTCTGTATTACCAAACAAATGCTCCGCCCAGTAATCCAGTTGCTATGACAGAAGAACAAGAAGAGGAGCTTGAAAAGACTGTAATACCCAATGACAACGAGGAACTTATCAAAGTTGAGGGAACTAAGATTGTACTTGGCAAACAGCTCATAGAAAGGTGAGTGAAGAACTGTACATCATTTACATAAAGGGAAAAAATCATCCAGTACAGTATTTGTGTATAGGACCTGAATGGTTCCATAGCCCATGTATAGTACAGGAAAAACTGTTCTTTCAAAATACCCTATTTGTGACTGCACAACTAGTCACCGAGTCCAATCAATTGAAGCTTAGGTTATTACAACATTTCAAAGGAAATTTGAAAGTCACTTGAAGAATAAAACTCTAAATCTATGGAATTAGAATAGAGTTCCAGAGTTTTGAGTCAGAACAAGAATAACACAATGCAATAAAGAATTTACATTTGTATAGTGTCTTCCATGTTTTGGGTTTAGAGACTGAATAAGGAATTTAAACCCAGTATTGTGATTCTGATCCAAAGCATGAAAAAGACGAGTGGCCTATTTAATGTATTTGAATTTGCGAACTCTGCAGCCCGTGTCCTCTCCCGCATCAAACTCCATGACCCATTCTCGCCCTGATCCAGATGCTGATCCTGGTCCTCACTTACAAAGCCCTCCATGGCCTCATCCCACCCTACCTCTGCAACCTCCTAACCCGTTACCAACCTGTCCGCTCCCTCCGCTCAGCCGGCTCCGGCCTGCTCCACGTCCCCCAACCCACCCGCCCGACCATTGGTGGGAGAACCTTCAGCCACTCTGCTCCCAACCTCTGGAATTCCATCCCTCAGTCACTCCGCCTCGCCCCCTCCTTAAAGTCCCGTCTCAAGACCCTCCTCTTCAACCATGCCATCGGCCACCCCCCTTCCCCTCCCTTCTCTCCCCCTGACCCCAGCTCGTGTCTGAAATGCTGTTCACTGTCCAGTGTCTTGGGACGTCCTCCCGACGTGAAAGGCGCTATACAAATGTAATCGTGTTGTTAATAAAAAATTTCAGCCTAATTTATGTAACTATTAAATTATGTATTTTTTAAACATTCTTTTAGTGCGGATGAAGTTCGAAGGAAATCTCTGGTTCTGAAATTCCCCAAACAACAGCTTCCTCCCAAGCGACGACGGCGGGTGGGCACCACAGTCCATTGTGACTACCTCAATGTAAGACTGACTGGGACAATTGATCATTGTTGCGTGAACAACATTGTACCATATTGAAAAATGTTCACTGAATGATTTGAAGTTTCAGAGCCTGAAATTTTACTTAATCGTAACTTTTAAGACAACAACAAATTGCATTTTTTTGTTTTGAGCTGTAAAATAGTGCAGAATTGTGGATACATCCTAAATTCAGTATTAATTTTGGGAGCTGGTTCTGAGAGCTAAGAATTTCCACATTTCGGTGCTATCTGAAATTTAAGGCGAAATGGTTTATAGGCTAAAACTAGGTAAAAATTTGGGCCTCAGAGCAGTTACTTCTGCACTTAAGCTCAGTGATGGTCGGTGGCTTGTTGTTGATTCTCTGTTGAAAGCAAAAAATAAACCTTTGATAAATCGTGGAAGATAGCACATTACACAGCAGGAAATATCCATTTGGTGATGAAAGCATTATTAATAATAATCTTTTCATTTGATATAACGTATTTCAGTCAGGAAGATGTCTCAAAAGAGCTTCACAGCATATACTGTAAAGTGTAGTAATAATCCTTGCATTTGATATAGTGCTTGATAATATCTTCGAGATATCTCAAAGCTGAGTTCAATTCCAGGCAGGGCGAAACCTTGGGCAAGTTTCCTTATTCCACACGCCTAATAATAATCCCTCCAAAGAAAACCAAAAACAATAATAAATTGGTCATTTTCAATCTACGACTGTTTGTGGGACATTGCTGTGCGCAATTGGCTGCCGGGTTCGCCCAAAAGTATACAGTCAATTCACTTTACAGTGTGTTCTGTGAAGCGCTTTGGGACGTCCTCCCGACGTGAAAAGCGCTATATCAAATGCAAGGATTATTATTATTATTAAAGCGCTTCACAGAATATACTGCAAAGGATAGTGACTGTATATTTTGTGGATATTTTTATTAATAGCCTTTAATCATTCAAAGAGCCGGCACAAACTTGATGGGCCGAATGGCTTCTTTTTGTGCTGTACGATTCTAGGATTCTACGATTCTATGATAATAGAAGTGCATTGCATTGGTTGTAGATTTAAATTAGGTTTTGTTTCCAGTTTAATAGAAATCTTTATTTCATAGAAATTAAAATCAAAAATAATCTTGCCTTACAGAAGGAAGACTGATTATTGATACATTGATTCACATCTTGTCGTTCCTTATGTCAGCTATACGTGGCGGTGAAATATCCAGCCTCAACCCAGCAAATACCCTGCTCCAAATTACCCAAATCTCAACACACATTGGCACCAAATAGGCCATGAGATTATCTGAAGCTTTAGCACAAACATATTGTGAGCTCAGAGAAAAGGAAGCTTTTCCGAATCTAAAATGTCTAGGACTTGACCTAGGATTTGCTTCATCCTAAAAACTTGGAGCAAAAGGTGGAAGAGCGGTTAGCACTGTATCCCTCTTCATCAATTAGCACAAACACTTATGAAACTTTTTTTTAATGAAAAACTCACTGGAGAAATAGCCGGCAGAGTTTAAGAGATTGGAGAGCGACTCAAATCATAGAGAGCTACGCTTATGATTAAGTACACTAGCAATTATAGCTGATCTTATCAGAGCTGATCTTTGCTTCCTTTCCCTGTAAACAGAGACCTCACAAGTCCATTCACCGGCGTCGGACCGATCCTATGGTCACCTTATCATCCATATTGGAGGGAATTATCAACGACATGCGAGATCTAGCTAATGTAAGAGCTCACAGCTTTTCTTCTTTAGTTAATAATCAAGTTTGATTAGAGAAGTTAGGTTAACATTGGAAGGAGGGATAGGATGGTGAAATGGTTAGAACACTGTCCTTTCACTGTTTGGACTGAATATATACAGACCCGAATGATGAATTAAAGGTGGTCTAAATGTAATCTGTTTCACAGTCTTGGCCCACTGCCTTGTAGGTAACTCTGTAATGCAAAACTGCTTGTACAAGTTGGAAATATCGCTCCAAGAGGAAATAGATGGTGTGTGAAATATTGTGACAACAACAACAACAAGATTCCATTTATTGAGCGCCTTTCACGTCAGGAGGACGTTCCAAGGCGCTGTACAGTTGGGTCAGGACCCGAGCAAGGGGGAAATGGTCAGGGTGAGGGGAGGGAAGGGAGGGAGCGAGGAGGGGGTAGAGAGTCGAGAGGGGAGCTGAAGGCACGGTCAAAGAGAAAACGTGGGTAACATGGAAGGATATATAGACTGCTGTTGCCTGTGCTGTATTTGAGCTTGCAGTGTCTTGATGGTGACATTGGGGGCCTGAATTGGCTCTGTTACAAGCATAAACATTCTTAATTGGATGAGCACATAATTCACTAACTTTTTAAAATAGGAAAAATTAATGTTAATTAATTCAATGGAGTTTCAGTGATTATCTTGAATATAATGTGTACATCAGGATTCTGCTGGATGGCTGCGCCAACAAGCATGTGCTGTTAAATATCACATTTTATTAGTTTTGTCACATTCTGATGATGAAGAAGTTCAAACAAAGACAATATTATGTGCTCTCTCTATTGCTAGACCTATCCATTCCACACTCCAGTTAATCCAAAGGTCGTGAAGGATTATTATAAAATCATCACTAAACCCATGGATCTGCAGACTCTGAGAGAGAATGTCCGCAAACGAATGCACCATTCACGTGAGGAATTCCGGGAGCAAGTGGAACTCATTGTAAAAAACAGCAGCACTTACAATGGTAAGAGCTAAGTTACAATGGTAAGAGCTAAGTTAGTTCAAACTATTTATTTCAACTTCATGAAAGTCCCATAACATGTGTTTCAGTGGGCAGAGCTTGTGCTTTTGAGCAGAAAAAACTGTAATTGCATTAAAAAGACCTGAAAGGTAAAGAAGACAATGTGAAGGAGCCTGGGGATATGAAGAAGAGAATGAAGGAGCACAGTTGATGGGATGCTGAGAGTGGTTGTGCTAAGTCTCTGTTTTTTTCCAGGAGTGAAACACCCTCTGACTCAAATTGCCCAGAGTATGGTGGAACTCTGTGATTTGAAATTTAAAGAGGTGAGTATGGTGATCCTCCTCTTGCGACCTATCTCTTGCAGCTTTTGTTCTTTTGAACTCTTCACAACTGCAATGTGTATAAATTAATAAACCTTACATTTGATATAGTGCTTTTCACATCGGGAGGAACATCTCCCAAAGTGTTTCACAAGATTGTAAAGTATAGTGACTGTATTTTGTAGGTAAACTTAGTAGGTAATTTGCACACAACAACTTGCATTCACGCGGGATAGTGTCCCGGAGCGCTTGAAAGTGGTGGAGACTGACCCCGAACCAGAGGCAGGGGGGAAGTGACTGTAAGCATGATCAAAGAGGTCGTGCGCAAGCAGTGTGAAACTATGAAAAGAATGACCAATTTTATCTGGAGGATTGTTGACCTGGACACTGGGATTGGCAAAATATTACTAATAATATGAAAAATCGGAAGGAAAAAATTATAAAAGAAAATGAAACCTCAGCTTATTGTTGGAAGAAATTTTAAGTGTCTGGAATAATTTTATAAATGTTGTAGTTTTCCAAGGTAAAAACATCAGAAGATTCTGAAACCCTAAAATCTGTAATTACCTCAGCAATAGGATAAGTCTATTCCTTACACTATTGGACTTGAGTGTGACAATCTGGCCCCTCTCCAGTGGATATCATTGGAGATTCAAGCCTTGTTTGTCCTATAATTGTCATTAGGATTTGGCTGCTACATAGAAATTACAGGGTATAGGAAGACCATTTGGTTGATTGAGCTTTTGCTGATGTTAGCTCCCCTACTGGAGTAATACATTCTAATCCCATTGCTCAACTCTTTCCCCAGACCATAACCAAAGCATGCATTTATATCTCTATAATGTGATTGCTTCAGTGCTTGAGATTTCAGCTCTTTGTTTTTATTAGAAAGAAGATAAATTGGTGCGACTGGAAAAGGCCATCAACCCTCTCCTGGATGATGATGATCAAGTTGCTTTCTCTTTTATTTTGGATAACATTGTCACTCAGAAGATGATGGCTGTGCCAGATGTAAGTCAGACTCTATTCTTTTTTCCTTTCATAACCAAAAAAGTTAATATTCTTGTCTATATTAAGATTACTATTCTATTATATCTTCTTCTTAGTCCTGGCCCTTCCACCATCCCGTTAACAAGAAGTTTGTGCCTGATTATTACAAAGTGATCACCACTCCGATAGATTTGGAATCAGTACGCAAGGTATGCAAATCCATCAGAAACCTGTTTGAAGCTGATATGATTTGTGATCTATTCTATTGTTGCTAGTTACTAAACCCTTTAATCTCAACAATGTGTTGCAGAACATATCCAAACACAAGTACCAGAATCGTGAGGCCTTCTTGCAAGATGTTGAACTCATTCTGAACAACAGCATCAAATATAATGGTACAAACAATTTAACCTCACCTCAGCATTTTATTTACTTTTCCTTGTTATAGCTCTATAATGTGAAGGGATCTAAGATGATATCAGAAGGCAAATATGCTAAGTGAATTTCCAGCTGTAAGACTATGTCCAGCTTTATGTCTTGCTGACAGACAGTTTGCTCATAGAGTACACACACTAAGGAAGCTTGGACCTTGAGTATATGATCCAGTCACAGCAGTAACAAACTTGAGCTTCAGTAATTCTTTATATGAGGAGATTAAACTACCTTTCAATAAGAGGGACATCTATGGTTGGTAACCTAATATTGTTATTTGTTCATTGAATTTTATTGTACAGGAGGAGGTCATTTAGCCCATTGTACCTAAGTGGGCAATAAAAGGGCTAACAATTTAGTCCAATACCTATGCTATTTCCCACAGTTTATTTTTCCTTTCAAAGATTGATCTAATTGTGTTTTAAAAGCTATTATGAATTCTGCTTCAAACATCATTTTTGGTTGTGGCGTGCATGAGAAAACCTGTTATTTATTTGTTGTTTCTAACACTGGCAGGAACAGATAGTCCATACTCCAAGACTGCACAAGAGATCGTCAGTGTCTGTCACCACACACTGTCTGAGGTAGAAATCTTTCTACAATCCTTTTAATTCATTTGATTTCACTGTGCTCTAACCTGTCCAATCTTTTTTGATAGCTGGATTTACTCATCCCTAGTAACATTCTAATAAATCCATGCTGTACTACATGTTTCACCCACAAAATAAACAGCCAATTCATGTTACAGTATATTCCGTGAAGCGCTTTGAGACGTCTCGAAGACGTGATAAGCTGCTATATCAAATGCAAGGATTATTATTATATTATAATTTCTGTAATATGGCTACCAGTAAAAATAAATAAATAAATCCTTGCATTTGATATAGTGCTTTTCACGTCTTCTAGACGTCTCAAAGCGCTTCACAGAATATGCTGTAAAGTGAATTAACTGTATATTTGTGGGCGAAACGCGGCAGGCAATTGCGCACAGCTGTGAGTGTCCCACAAACAGTCGTGGATTAAAAATGACCAATTTATTATTGTTTTTTGTTTTGGAGAGATTATTATCAGCCGTGTGAGTAAAGAAACTTGCCCAAGGTTTCGCCCTGCCTGGAATTGAACCTACATAAATCAATATAAAATATAGGCTGCTCTTGATATATAAACATATATTTATAATATAAATATACGTATAAATAGTACTGCTTACAGTACTCCAAATGTGCTCTAATCAACATTTCATATAAACTTAACATCACTTCTCTACTTTTGTATTCTATTCCTCTGGACATAAAGCCAACAACAACTTGAATTTATATGCATCAAACTACTCCATTGTTAAGCGCTGCAAGTAGCTTGTCGAAATACTGAACAATGGCGTAGTTTGATGCTAATCTGGCGAGGTCACCATAGTCACAATTGAAGAGGAAAGTCTTGAGGTGTGATCTGAAGATAGGCAAAGAATGGAAAAGACAGAGGGATTGAGGCACGGAATGCCAGAGAGCCTGGCAGAGTGGCTGAAAGCACAGCTGTCCATGGTGGCACTGAGGAATGGAGAGACATGCAGAACGCCCGAGCTGGCTAAGCAAAGGTGGCAAAGAAGAGTGTTGTTACCTATATTTATTTTAGCTTCATTTTGTTTTTAACAGTACGATGAACATCTAACTCAGTTGGAAAAAGACATAGCATCTGCAAAGGAGGCTGCTCTTGATGCTGCAGAATTTGACAGTCTTGACCCCCTGACCCCAGGGCCTCACACTCCTCAGGTTAGTCCTTAACAGGTTAAATGCAATTTAATTGTTTTATTCCTTCCTCTGCTGAAAAGCCACAATGCAAGTATTTATGAACTCTTTTTGTGGATGTTTCAGCCACCAGAAATAGAAGATGGAAACACATCTATGAGCACTTCTCGAGATCTTTCTGTGTTTAATGAGGAGGGCAGTATGTCTCTGACTGTCACCCCAACAACAACACCAGAGAAAATGCATCACAGATTGGCTCAGGTGAGAGCCAAGTGTAGTTTTCCTGAAATGTTTGCTTCCTCTCTGTGTCTGTGGGAGGGTCTGTTTCACAGCTGCGTTGTATTGGTCACACTACACTATATAAAGATGGTGTTCAGTCGGCATTTTATTTTCTCATTGATTATCTCCTCTACTGAAGACATTTTCTGGCAGTTCGTTATTCAGATATGATCCTTGGCAGTGAATGCTGACTGGCTATTTGATTGCAGAGAGATCATAGCCAAGTCTGATGCTGCCCTTTTCCACTGTCCATACACATAATACCTCCAGCAAAAGTTGCTTAAATGGGAAGCCCAGCTGAGATCATCTATTTTAGCTCAAACTAAGATACCTACTCAGTCACATAGACGTGATAGTCAGGGCTCCTGACACCTGGTATAGTACAAGTGTCAAGCAAGCCTGGCATACACAGTGAAGGGCGCTATATAAATGCAATTTGTTTTAACCTTCCTGCAAAATGTGTTTCTTAGGGTCAGATGCGTGAGGGACGAATGAGGACTGGTGAAGAAGAGTCTGACGTGGATGTAGAAGGTTTTGAGGAAGATGACGATGGCAAACCAAAGACCCCAGCTCCAGCAAGTGACTTTTACCATGCTCTGCATCTAATTAATGCCCCTTACAACCCCTCAGTCTGCATCATTCTCTTTTATGCATTTTCCGTTTTGTGCTGTAAAATTATGTTATTTTCTGCAACAGGAAGCAGATGAGGGAGAATGTGAGTTGGAAGATGAGGATGAGGCCTCTGTGCCACGTCGTCAGGCGAGTGTGTTGTATGAGGATCTGCTCATGTCAGATGGAGAGGATGAGGATCACAGTGAGGAGGAGGAAGGTGACAATCCGTTCTCCTGTGAGTTACAAAGTGATAATAATAATAATCCTTGCATTTGATATAGCGCTTTTCACGTCTTCTAGATGTCTCAAAGTGCTTCACAGAATATACTGTAAAGTGAATTGACTGTATATTTGTGAGCGAAACGCGGCAGCCAAATGCGCACAGCAGCGTCCCACAAACAGTCATGGATTGAAGTGACCAAATTATTATTTTTTTTCTTGAGGGATTATTATTAGGCGTGTGGAGTAAGGAAATTTGCCCAAAGTTTCACCCTGCTGGGAATCAAACTCAGGTCTCGCACTTGAGAGGCGAGTGCTCTAACCACTGAGCTACAGGACTCCACAAATATTCTCAGGAATTCTAAAATAGGCACAAAAAAGAGATCTTTTCTCTATCCCAAAAGTCAGTGGACACATCTCTGATAATTCAGGACTCGCTAGACATTTCTCTGGACTGTCAGTCCAGACTATTAATCTCAAGATCCAATATTGGGCTTTGAGCTCACAACCTTCTATCCCAGAAGTGAGGGAGGAGCAATTCCAATTTGAGCCACACTGACATCCTAAAATAATTGTATTAGTATTATTATTAGTATAATTAAAATTACCTTTATTAGCAACAATGTACAAAAAATATTGGGTGAGACTTGACCGATGTCAATTCTATTTTACATAACCAGATTGGATCATTAATTTAAAGATGTTTCAAAATAAAATAGAATCTGGATTAGCAGAAGCTACACGTACGATACGTTTTGAAAACTGTTTCAGCGTCTGTAAGCAATAGGGAGAATGAGGCAGTTGAAGAGGTTTAAATAACCATGAGAAGGATTCCTGTGACAAAGGGTGTTTTCTGAGTGGAATAGTTGAGGGAGCCTGGTATTACCATGTGGAAAAACAAAAATCAGTTACAAAATTATTAGGTTTATTGCACTATGAAAATCTGATTCAAATCAGAATCATACCAAGTTATTCAAAGAATTCTCCCAGGGTAACTATATTATAGGCCAACCCTTCTATAATAACGTGATTCCACAAATTCAGATCCTACAATATAATGAGGCTTAAAAAAAAAACACCTGTCATTACTTCTGGGTCACTTACTGTGCGATGATGTTTTTGTAGTCCAACCCACTTATGTCGACATAGCTGCTCACAACCGGACAATAGATATTCTGTGATTACAATATCGAGAGTAGATTGTTTATTTACATACATTTCTATTGACTCAGTTACAAAAATAGTCGTGTAAGAGTACACTGTTGACATGAGTGACAATAAACCAAGGCCTTTAATACTATTAGGGATCCAAACAATTGATCAACATAAATGTGCCGGAGTTTCTGTTGATGTTGATATAGACAGCCATTCACGGCCTTGCTCCCTCCTACCTCTCCGACCTACTATCCCCCTACTTACCTGCCCATACCCTCCGTTCCTCTGGCTCCGGTCTGCTCCACATCCCCCGCCCCAACCGCCCTACTATCAGTGGCCGGGCCTTCAGCCTCTCAGCCCCGAGGCTCTGGAACTCTATCCCCCAGTGCCTTTGCCGCTTCCTCCCTTTCTTCCTTCAAGGCCGGTCTCAAGACCTTTCTCTTTGACCGTGCCTTCAGCTCCCCTCTCGACTCTCTATCCCCTCCTCGCTCCCTTCCCTCACCCTGACCATTTTCCCCCTGCTCGGGTCCTGACCCAACTGTACAGCGCCTTGGGACGTCCTCCCGACGTGAAAGGCGCTCAATAAATGGAATCTTGTTGTTGTTGCTGTATGTTTTTAGTATTAATCTGTGGAGAAGATTAATACTAAACTTTTTGTCAACATTAGCAGGATGTCGACATAAACAAGTTTGAGATAAGTAGGTAGGTTTGTATTTTTATTGTTAACGTTTGTGAAGGTGTTACATAAATGTAAGTTGCTACAGACATGAAGAGGCCATCAATGTGCAGCAGGAATTTTAGCATCCGACCTCTTACCAAGTGACAGCATTTAGAAACATAGAAACAGGAGTAGGCTATTCAGCCACTTGAGCCTGTTCTGCCATTTTATGGCTGATCTGTACCTCAAGTCCAGTTACCCATCCTTGCCCCATATCCCTTAATAGTCTGACCTTAACAAATGCCTATCCACCAAAATATTAACCCAAAAATTCTCTAATTAACACTCATGCACATTTATAAATCATGGATCATCAGTATCTAGAGTACTTTCCTCTGGTCAAGCCATGCATTTGTTTTCCAGTGTCTGTGGGTACAAGCTACTTGAACAAAACATTCTTTCGGTAGTATTTTGCGTTTTATTCTTTAGGTAACTTGTGTAATTCATGTGAATATTGCTTGTTTATCCAATGTCTTCCATTGTTTTAAACAGCTATACAGCTCAGTGAGAGCGGCAGTGACTCTGATGTTGAAACCACTAATATCCGCCCAGTGAAACCTCGTCTGATACCCGAGAATACATGTATGGGAATGGAAAATGAAGAAAGCATGATGTCCTATGATGGAGATGGTGGTGAGACCTCGCAGATCATGGAAGACAGTAATGTGAGGTATGATTATTTGGGTTAATTGGCTTATTTGAAAACAGAGAACAAATGTGTCACTAATGTCATTTGCTTCACATACACACTATAATAATCATGGATACACTCTATGTAGAGGAAGGACTGATGACATCACTTCTCAGTGATGGCTTTTCACGTGGGATGAGGTCTCAGAGCACTCCACAAAGACTGGTAAACGAGGGAGGAAGGGGAGGTGACCAGAGGTCGAAGTGGTAGATATTTTGATGAGATTTAAAGGTAGATCGAGAGAAGCAAGATGGAGAGGTTGAGAGAGGGAGTTTCAGAGTTTAGAAGTATTGTTGCTGAAGGCTCAGCCACCAATGATGGTGCAGAGGGGGTGGAGGATACGCAGCAGGCACAAGTTAGCCAAGTGGAGGGAGTGAGCAGAAGACTAGGATTGAAGATCACCGAGATGGTAGGGACGTGCAAGGGTGTGAAGGTATTTAAAGGTGAGGATAAGGTCCTTGAAGGAGCTCCTTTGGAAGACGGGGAGACAGTGAGCCTGAGGAGGACTGGGATGATGGTGAGCAATTCTTTAGCCACTATGCCCTGAACCCCTAAAATTCTCTCTACTAGTCCCCTCTTTGCTGATCTTCAGATTGTACCTGAAGACATCCCTATTCGACTGTAGCTAGGATCACCTCCCCTTTCCCCGCAGTTCAGTGCCAAACTACACCATTGTTAAGCTCTCTGAGACACTATGTGTGAAGGCCACTCTATAAGTGTTAAGTTGTTGAAGGTACTGGCTGGTGTAGCACTAAGCTATACAAAGCAGGTCATAGCTGGGCTACGGTAAGTTACAAATATTACAATAATCCTTGTATTCAGTATCAAATAACTGCAGCTCTCCTCAGCTGGAGGACAAAATATCAGCTAGATTCATATATCGATTGCTATCCAGTTGATCCTTCAGTGTGCTCAAGTGGATGTCAAGTGAGGGCAGAAGGGGACTTGGTTGTGCTTCTTCCTGTAGCAGAAACATCTGCTGCCACTCTGTCCAGATTCACACATAACGAGTGGCCATTTAGGAAAAATACTAGAGAGCAGGACTGTCGCCCCTAACAGTACTGAAGAGTCAGCGCCTTCATGAGAGGATGGTGAGAAAAAGGAAGAAAATATGAAACAAAAAAAAGCATTGAATCAAACTTTTTTTCTTTTCTCAAAGCTTTGAGAGCTATGAGGAACCAGACCTGAAGTCAAACACCCGCGACACAACATTCAGCAGTGGAGGGTGTGATTATGAACTGTCAGACGAGGATGAAGAGGAGGAACAGCACCATGGGCCAAGTGTTCTTAATGAGGTTCATCTGAGTGAAGACGAGGAGGACAGTGAGGAGTTCCATTCTATTGGAGCAGATAGTGATATGGACTCAGATATAGAGAGCTGAACATTAGAAAAGCCGTTCTAGATTACAAAACATGGAGGTTGGCAAGATCCTCAAGTCTGAATATTCACTGAGTTGGAGGCAGAATTATTGACTAATGCACAATGAGACTGCTACGATATCAGAGGATTACAAGCTCACAGGAGGAGTAATTATGCGGAAGCTGTATTGTGAGAATTCACCAATACATTTGACTTTATGCTGTTACAGATGAATCTCCTTAAACTAGAAGCCAGGTATGTAGCCCAATGATAAACATTCCGCTTAATACCAAAGTGCAGTAGTTTGGGAGCCACAAAAAAGCTTATGTTAAATAGGGGTTTGTCCAGAAAGGTTTAAACTGATTTTCTGTCGAAACAGCATTGTATTTGAGACTTTCAAAATTGTGTTTACTATATATAATTAATCTACATGAGGTGCTTTACATTACCTCCTGCTAGAGCGATCTCTGCCTGTCAAAATGCAAAATGCTCAGTGTCAGGGCTATCAAAGTTCAATATAATTTAAAGGAAGTAGAAATTAAAAGTTTTCTTTGGAACATTTTACCCAAATCTATAAAACATCATTCTCGCAAGTGATGGCCTTGCTTTCCTTGTTAATTCACCTCCATTTAATTACTGCTTTCTTTATTACTTTATTACTTTATTACTTTGTTGGAATATTTTGTCATATGTTTATTTTTAGCCACCTGAGCTTTCAATTTTCTGTTATCTTATTAACTAAGAATTATGGGCAAATTATGTATTTAAGTGGCAGGAGTAAAACAAACTGGTGCCAGATGCGTGATTGGCAGATTTTATTACTAGTGGCCAGTGAATGTCAATCTGCACAGAATCTCCTTAAAATTTATGGCTGACATCAACGAGCAAGTGGAAATGGCAAATCAAACAAAATTGTGAGACAGAAGAGTGGAAAAACCTCAATTTCTATCTCCCAAAGAAACGTAAGCAATATACTTACAGTAATTCTAAAACTTCAAGGAAACTGCTATTTTGGTGCTGAATCAGTAACTCGATGTTTATTTTTTAACCTGAAAGACATTTGCTTCCTCTGCAAAGTCCACCTCCTAAACCACTTTATTTAAGCAACAGAACTGGATAAGGTTTACACATTAGGGGTCTTCAAGATTTTAAAAAGATATGTAAATTTAATTTCCATTTATGTATCATGATTAGTGCTTTGATATATTACGAATGAAGAAAAGGATAATCTGACTTTTTTTTCAATTTTGTAATAGCCTGTGGAGTAATTATTTGCTCATAATGTAAATGATCTCTACAAAACCTAACACCATGCTGACTACTGAAAGGCAAGTTTGTACAGAAATGTCAGTCAGGGTTTCAATAACCAATAGCTTGTACCTGGACACGGCTGGAATGCTGTTTCCCCCTGCTGTGGACTTGTCCTGTGCAGTCAAACCTGTCCTATAGAAATACACATGGTTTGTTATTCAAATATTTCAATTAAATAGTATGTTATAAAACTAACGTGTTAAAAGCTGAACTGACCATTGTATAATCCTACAAATGTTGTGAACTTTGTTAAATCTCAGTTAAAAGAAAGTTTGATTTTAATTTTTCTGATTTTTTTTCATTGTGGCTTTTAATTGCCAATATGGCAGCTATCATTTTTGGCACTGTTTTCTGTATTTAGATACCAGAGGGGCAAGGTTTGTGCTTTTGGTAGTATCAGTAGCTCGGACATTGTTCTGTACAGAGTTTGAAATTCTTCAGCTGACAAATGCTTACAGAACCTTTATTTTATAAATAAATAATAAAATGAAACATCTCACCTGTCTCTTATAACAACAACAACTTGGATTTATATAGCGCCCTCCACGCCAGACGGCGTCTCAGAGCGTTTATACTGTATATTGCAAATGTAGCCCAGGCCAATGCACAAACTGGAACAATTTTGATTGTTGGCGCTACTGTCCTTCAGAAGAGATTATATGAAGGTCTGTCTACTTGTTCTTTTGGTGCAGTTGTATAAAAAGGTCCTATGGATTTTTAAGCAACCATTTTTTAAGTTTTTAAGCAACTTCAAGGCTGAGACTCGTTTTTTTTAAAAAACAGAGGTATTAGGGGATATGGGGATAGGGCAGGTAATTAGAGTTAGGTCTGAAGATCAGCCATGATCTTATCTAATGGCGGGGCAGGGCTCAAGGGGCCGAATGGCCTACTCCTGCTCCTAGTTCTTATGTGTTCAGTTCTTCCAGGTACATAGAATTATTCAGCACAGAAGGAGGCCATTCGGCCCATCGTGTCTGTGCCGGCTCTTTGAAACGAGCTTCCAAATCAATCCCGCGCTCTCCCCAGAGCTCTGCAAACTTGTCCCCAATTAATTATCTACTCTCTTAAAAGTTGTTATCGAATCGGTTCCCACCGGCCTTTCAGGCAATGCATTCCAGATCCCAACAACTCGCTGTGTGAAAACATTTCTTCTCACCTTCCTTGGTTTCTTTTAACAACTATTTTGAGTCGGTGTCCTCGGGTTACCGACCCACCCGCCAGTGGGAATAATAATGACAAAGTGGTGATCATTTTCAGTTATTGAACAAAACCCGTTTGAGAGAAAGGTAACGTAAATATTCCATAAGGATTGCAAACTTGTATTACACTTTTGGTGCCTGACTATGGTTTTCATGGAGAGGTGACCCGAGCCGGGGGGGGGGGGGGGGGGCTCGGGGGGTGCGGGCCAGTGGGGGGGGGGGGGCTCGGGGGGTGCGGACCAGGGGGGGGGGGGGGGGCTCGGGGGGGGGGGGGCGGACTCGGGGGGGGGGTGCGGGGCGGGGGGGGGGTGCGGGCCGGGGGGGGGGAGTGCGGGGCGGGGGGGGGGGGCTCGGGGGGTGCGGGCCGGGGGGGGGGAGTGCGGGGCGGGCTCGGGGGGGGGGGGGGCTTCACTCAGTCACTAACATGGTGCAGATCACGTGCCGCAGCTCAAGGCCGCGCATGCGCACGTGGTCACCGCATTGCTACCGTGTATGGATACTGCCTGTGAGGCGGTCATGAGTAAATCGTCCTTTTCGCGCTCGAATCTTAGTCCTTCCGCGAAAAGGCAACGAAATTTGAAATCAAATATGAATTTATAAATATGAATGATGTCATTAGCAAAATCATAACAATGTAACCAACTTTATCTGATGAAAAGAAGCGATTTTGAAGCTAAGATGGTTTCGGCCACTCTACTGGTGCGCGAATACGGACTTTTTATTGTGTAAGTAGTTCAGACTCTGTTGTCCTCACTTTGGCCGCCATCGCCGGTGAGGAGGAGCGACTCCGACACCGGAGACACCGACACCGGAGACACTCGGCCCCCGAACTCTGATACCGGCCCCGAGACAGTGACCGGGGCCGAGGCTTTAACAGAAACATTCCGCCCCGAGAGCAGGAAACGCGCAGTTCGGCTCCGGCCCCGCGGAGACCCCGAGCGGCAACATGGCGGCGTCTGTGGGTAATGTGAGCGACAGCACAGGTGAGAGACAGAGAGAGTGGGCGGGAAGGCCCCGGGACTCGGGCCCCGCAAACTGACAGCATTGTCTGCGCTCCTCCCGCCCAGTGCCTCCACACACAAACATCCCAAAGGCCTCCGCCATCGCAGCCTTTCTCTGTGCAAAACAGCCGCGCGATTCAGACACTGTATCTGGGAGGTTGTTAGTCAGAGGCTCGAGAGCCACTGGGCCCCGAGTCAGAGGCTCGAGAGCCACTGGGCCCCGAGTCAGAGGCTCGAGAGACAAACTGCAATAGTTTTGTTGTTGGATCCTAGAAATTTCCAGCGCAGAAACAGACTGTTCGGCCCCATTGAGTTTGCATCAGCTTTCAGACCGTTGTCCTGCCTCACCCTCATACCCCGTGAAGCCTCCATGCTTCGTGTTTCTGGCTTATTCTTCTTCTGAAACACCAAATGGCCTCTGCCTCTAACATCCACCTGAACAGGCAACTAGAACTAGGATTAACATCTCAGACAATGCCTCCCCACCCCCACAGCATTGCACATTGGGCCGAGCACATGAGCACCAGCCTGGACTGCGAGCTCACGGTCCCCAACATGGGGCTTGAACCCACAACATTTTTTTGGATTAGTGTCTCTCCCCGAGCTCTCCTTCTCACTAATTTGGTCTGTATCTCATTATGACTTCCTTTATCGCTCTGAGTGGCTTTCTGTTTCTTTCATTCTTATTGAAGTAGATTATTTAAAAAAAACAGCTCTCTGGTTGAACCATTGGCCACAGTAACCTTGTGCATGTGTCAGCTTTTTACAGCCCTGTCTGTGTTCCTTTTTTACAGTGAATATGTACCTTCTGTTGAAATGTTCAACCGAGGGCATTTAGCCCCTTATTTTCTGTGAGTGTTTGCTCCTCCAAGAAGCCAATCCATCCTAATGGAGCATCCGCAACAAGGCAAAAAAAAATCCATTTCTTCCTACACTTGGAGTCCTGTAACTCAATGGTTAGAGCACTTGCCTTGCAAGCGAGAGAACTGGGTTCGATTCCCGGCAGGGCGAAACAATGGGAAAGTTTCCTTCCTCCACACGCCTCTGTTTATCTAGCAATAAGTGGGAACCCAGTTGTTAGTCGATTGGCAGATCACTTTTCCGGAGGCAGTAATTCCTTCAAAAAAAAATCGGGCACTAAAACCACGACGGTTTGTGGGACACTGCTGTGCGCAATTGGTTGCCGCGTTTCACCCACAAAATATAAAGTCAATCAGTAATGTGTTTGCCCACTCTGGCCTCCATGTGAGAAATCGCATGTTCCTGATCAACTGCCTAAACACTATATGTAATAATAATAATAATCCTTGCATTTGATATAGCACTTTTCATGTCTTCTAGACGTCTCTAAGCGCTTCACAGAATATACTGTAAAGTGAATTGACTGTATATTTGTGGGCTACGTGGTTAAAAGGTTAGATATATTGGGCCATTCTTAGCAGATTCCCAGTATTGGTATTTTTAATGCGTTTCCCTACTGTCTGTGTCACCACCCGATAAGTGACATTTCAACTAAGACTAAAAACTAATGCCCTGTTGTAAATGGTTCATTTAATCCATGCATCAAAAATATCTGTTTTAAATTGCAGGGTTAGCAGAGCTGGCACACCGTGAATACCAGGCGGGAGACTTTGAGGCAGCTGAGAGGCACTGCATGCAGCTTTGGAGACAGGAACCTGACAACACTGGTGTGCTGTTGCTTCTCTCCTCCATCCATTTCCAGTGTCGCCGACTGGACAGGTAATGGCATAGGAAAACCAGAAACAGCTTTTTAATTGGGAACTCAGCTATTTTTCCTTTCAAATAGAATGAGGGAATATGGCTTTATAATTCATGGCCGTCCAACCTTTTGACTGGTGAGGGCCAGATCCAGAATTTGATAAATGTCTGTGGGCCACATAAGCAATATTTGTCTTGATTGGCCAGTCTCATTGCTGGGCAGAGCCTGAGCCCTTGATTGGCTCGAGCCTGCATGTCGCCTGTATTTGCTCATTTGATAATGAAGATGGAAATGATTTGCAAGCGGGATGAAATTCTCCCCTGGCCCAGATGTAGCTGCCTTAGTTTACATTAGGTTTGGTATTGGATTATGACTTTTGAGGGTGACTGTCGTTAACTACAGAGAAGTGGCCTTGCCTTGTAATGGATTGATTTCTGTCCCAGGTCTGCTCATTTCAGCACTCTGGCTATCAAGCAGAACCCAATGCTGGCTGAGGCCTATTCCAACCTAGGGAATGTTTACAAAGAACGTGGTCAACTACAGGAAGCTATTGAACATTATCGACATGCCCTAAGGTTGAAACCGGATTTCATTGACGGATACATCAACTTGGCTGCAGCACTGGTCGCGGCAGGTGACATGGAGGGAGCTGTGCAGGCTTATGTGTCTGCTCTTCAGTATAACCCTGTAAGTAATTTGTCATTACTATTTAAAAACTAAGGGATTAAGGGATATGGGGATAGAGCAGGTAAATAGAATTAGATTAGAAGATCAGCCATGATCTTATTAAATGGCAGGGCAGGCTCAAGGGGCCGAATGGCCTACTGCTGCTCCTATTTCTTATATTCTTATGTCATCTCTGTGCTGTTGGGACGCTGCATTATTCCCTCTCTTTACAAATCTGCCGGTGCAATATGCATTGACTGGAGTTAAATATTCTACATATATTTTGAAGCTTTTGACTAGTTTATGTTCTTTTACAGGATTTGTATTGTGTTCGCAGTGACCTGGGGAACCTTCTTAAAGCCCTGGGTCGCTTAGAAGAAGCCAAGGTAAGTGTCATATCAATAATTAGACCACGCTACTGCCCAGAAAATGTTTCACAATGATATACATATTGTATTATGACTGGCAGATAAATTGTTGACTGGAAAGTTACCAAACAAAATTATCACCCTCACAAACCAGTACCAGAGAGAGCAGCACTGTCGATGATGACCAACTATTACAATACCAAATACAAGACACCGTTGCTGAATAAAGGACACTTCAGGAAGTGGACTTGGTAACTCAGGCTGATTTGGCTCTGTCCAATCTTTTTATATCTGTTACAGAGACAAATGTCAGCTGTTTTCACCTTGTGCACCCGGCACTAACGAGAAGAAAGGCTGTATTAGCCACATGTGAAATTACAATTTGACCCTAAATCATTTCATTTATAGCTTTGTTTTGGACAATGCTGGTTTGGTCTTGAAGTGGCTGATGGAGTAGATCTGCTCAGTTAATAAGGTGGCTTCTAGCATTTGGATATAGTTTTGCTGTGATTTAGTCGTATATTTAAATTGTTGTCATCTAGATTTTAAATTCTCAGTTTTACTCATAAAAGTAAAATGCTGATGGAGAGTTAAAAGCCACCTTATGCAATGCCACTCAGGGGTGAGGAATGGGGAGGAAAAGGGGACCTAGACCTGAAAAGTCCCCTAGCCTGTCGTTCTGAGCCCCGCGCGCTTGCTAAGTGGAGTGTATGCGCAGGGTAGCTGTCCATTTGACTTTGTGTGTGTGTGTGCTTATGGGGGGAAGAGGGAAGGATGTGGCTGGGGTCGAAAGAGCAAAGGGGTAATGAATGTCTCAGCCCACAGGCCGTTGAATGGAGAGCTAACATTCAGTGCACTCCACTGCAGCTTCAGTCTGTTTAGAGTGAGACTGCGCTTGCACCTGGAAGCGACTTCTTTATTTCAGCGGTGAAGGCGATAGTTAGACCTTTTATTCAATAAGGATTAAAATGGATTTCATTTGATTTTTTAAAAAAAGTTGTTATCAGCTCATTTAAAAGACTAAACCAGTATATTCCCCGGATAGTTGTGCATTAAATCTGAACTAGTTCTTAAAACTATATGAAAGCCTTTCTTCTAGAACTGGAAGCGGTCTGGTACTTTGAGGGGTCTGAGAACTCGCACAGGCCCTCCCTCGTGTCTGGGTGTATTTCTGATTTGGAAAGGCAAACGCTTGTTTGCAGCCTGTCCAATTGGATGGGTGTAACAAGTTTATTTATGAATAGTTTTGACCGGTGAGGGGACACTCGACATTTACTTTTCTTTTACTTGCCTGTTCCCAAACCTCGTGCCTTGATGTGGCCTCTATGGACCAGTTGTATACTGCAGCACTTTGAATGCATGAACTGCAGCTAAACACTGATACATTTGTACAAAGCTAAAGTTTAGATGTGAGACGATTTCTGACCTTTCTTTCAGAAGAATTGCATTTTAGAACAATCCAGGAATGTTTTTGGACTTTTACTAATGATTTTGTCTTTCTTATTTGTCTTTTTCGTTTTCATGATTGATATTATTCATAGAAGGTTTCAGGCGGGTGAAAGCTCTCCCCTGTAGGTGCCTCACTGACCGGAGCTCGAGGCCTGGATCTAGGGGTGACACCGTCTGCTCTTCCCACCAGCGACTGCCCTGAAAATGAGATAATGGTAACGGGTTTGTAGCACTGCCACAAACAATTTGCCTCCATGCCTGAGTTCTTCTGTCTCGTGGCTTCCAAAAAAGAAGTGTAAATAACTTTATTTTAAAAAAGGGAAAAAAAAGTAATTTGGAAGAAAAATTGCTCAACTTGATATTTTAAAAGTAGTAGCTACTGTCTTAGAGAAAACTAGTTAAACAGTAAATTTGGCAATAGTTCTACAAAGTACCAGTAAAACGTCTAACTCCTGATTTTGTTAATATCTTTCCTCTGTTTGGTTTGCAGCATTCTGCTCTACTGATCGTGCGTGTGAGCCTGCAGCACCGCATAGGCTGCGCAGCGAAGCGCAGCGAGCGCTAGCGTTACCGTAGAGGGTCAGCCGAGAGTCCCATTATAGTTAGTTCAGCACAGTGACTGCTTCCAGGCCACCTCAATCAACAAACACACAGCGTCTGCAATGTGACCTGGTGCAACTGCCCAACCGTTATAATTCTGATTCTTTTCAATTGGTACCAACAAAAATTATAAATGTGATTTTATTTATTTTTTTTGGCTTGGGTATTGCTGATGTGCTGTTTGTTGGAAGATGAAGAGAAGCTGATGAGCCGCCTGTCTGCACGGTGTCTCTGGTGCTCGAGCTACACGATGCTGTGGACGAGCTGTGGTACATTCCCAGCTGGCCGTTTACTACTTTGCGCCTGCGATGCGCCTGCGAATTCTTTTTATAATTTTTTTTCAAACTTGCGCCTGCGACCTGCTGCCACTGCTTTGGCGACTGCGCTTTGCATTTCAGGGACCTTGACCTTCCTGCGACCCCACCATCTGAGGTTGTGGTTCTGCACTACAACATATTCTGACAGAAAGGAGCACGTGACCCACGCCTGCAGCTTGCTAAATAATATCTGAGATTAAAACGTTTTAAAATACTTAGAATGATGATCAATAATTTGTTTGGTTTGAGTCTAATAAATTGTTTAGGCTAAAGTTCAGTATCTGTTTATAAACTGCTGCATAAAAACTCAGGACTGGACGTAGAGTTGTGACCTTGGGTAGATTGATTGGTTTGAAGCCGCTCCTGCTGCTGGAGTAGTGCAGCAAAGCAGAATTGTTTCAAACTGATCGAGACGTGAAAGGTGTGTCAGGCTGTGGCCTTGGGGATCACCAGACTCTATAACTGAAGGATGGCAGCCGCACATGGGTTCAGGTGTTTTTTGCGCTGCTCTCGTGGGGCCAGCGAGCGATTCAGCGCTAGCCTGTGCTGCAGGGTCACTTTTACCTGGTGTGAGAGTGAACACTAATAAAGTTTTCTTTTCCCTTCTTTCAATCTTTGTTACGAATCTCCCCTCCCTTCTTCCTGGCCCTTCTCTTTCTTTCAAATAACCTTATCAAGGCTTGTTACCTGAAAGCGATTGAAACTCAACCAAACTTTGCTGTGGCCTGGAGCAATCTTGGCTGTGTGTTTAATGCTCAGGGAGAGATCTGGCTGGCTATTCATCACTTTGAAAAGGTAACCACAAGTAGTATGCCTGCAGTCTGAGGCCATTTTGCTTAGAAACACATTTTGTGGGTGTTGATTGATATTTCTGTGGATGTTTTAAATCTTAAGTTTTTGAATTTTGGTCTATTAATTCTTTGCTCCTCATTTCCCCCATGTCAACCCTCACTCGCTGCCGCAATCCTTGTGTGTTAATCTCCTATTCCCATTATTGAGACTAACCAATACAGAGTTGTCAATCTTTCCCCGCATTTGGGTGGGGAGGGGTGTTGGCACCTGCTTACCTCCACTTGAAATTTGCCGGCATAGATTGCCATAAACCAACTCCTCAGCAACCCCCAAATGCACATTGAGTATTTCAGAAATGGAACCAGCTAAATCTGCTCAATTTACTAAGGCCTGTTCAGTTGTAATCACTCTATACTGTGCCTTAGCTCTTGAGGCATCTCATACAGGTTCCAGTCTACCTAGATTGATTAATATGGGGTCAGAAGGATTGGCAGTAAATGTGTTTTTTATTACTTCACACTGATCTTTGTAAAATGGTGCCAGAGTTTTGCTAATAATGATGAGAGGACAGGGAAGTGGGATAAGGGGAGATAGTTGTAGTACCTTGGAACTGTCTTTGACATGATGGTACATGCACGAAGGAACAGCCTTCTGTTTTTAAATTCCTGTCTCTAATCTGAAAAGCAGTGGAGTTGACTTTATATTTTAACTCTTATCTAGTAACACAATTCTCACTATTTAATTACTAGGCTGTTACCTTGGATCCCAATTTCTTGGATGCTTACATTAACTTGGGAAATGTTCTGAAGGAGGCTCGCATTTTTGACAGGTGAGTTTTTTATATATAATATATATATATTTGCTTTTTCTCTTCTGCCCCCCCTCGCTTCTCACCCTCCAGACTGGCCTCAACCCCCTCCCCACTCCCCGGGGCTAGCCTCATCCCCCACCCCGGGCTAGTTCCACAGATGCAGGTACTGTCTAGTAACGAGCATCTGGACTTTCTTCATATTACAAGATGATTATCGGATCAACAACAATTGGAACTTATATTTATACAGTGATTTCCTCGGAGGGTAGTGGTAGTGTCTTGGAGTGCCAAGCAAGCGGTACATGGCCATCAGCATCAATTTTCTTTGTCCCATTTGTTCTTATCCTTCCTTCCAGAAAACTTCAATAATAATAATAATCCTTGCATTTGATATAGCGCTTTTCACATCTTCGAGATGTCTCAAGCGCTTCACAGAATATACTGTAAAGTGAACTGACTGTATATTTGTGGGCGAAACGCAGCAGCCAATTGCGCACAGCAGTGTCCCACAAACAGTCGTGGATTGAAGTGACCAAATTTTTGTTGTTTTTTTTTTCTTGAGGGATTATGACGTGAAAGGTGCTATATAAATGTAATCTTGTTGTTGTTGCCCGGAATCGAACCCAGGTCTCTTGCTTGCGAGGCGAGTGCTCTAACCACTGAGCACTGGCTACTTGTCCCAGAGAGGATCGATTTCAAGATCCTCACCCTTGTATACAAGTCCCTGCACTCCTCTGCACCCCCCCGACCTCTCTGACCTCTCTCCTCAAACCAGTACCCGTTGCCTTCGTTCCTCCGGGTCTGGCATCCTCTTCGTCCCCCGAGACCTCCGCTCCACCCTCGGCAGCCGTGCCTTCAGCCACTATGCCCCGAGGCGAGGCTCTAGAACTCTGCCTCGCTCCCTCCCTTCCTATTTTCAGGTCTCTGCTGAAGACCTTTCTTTTCGACCGCGCCTTTGGTCACCTTCCTCCCCCTCCCCCTGGCTCCGTTACTGTGAAGCGCTCTGAGACGCCATCTGATGTGGAGGGCTCTGTATAATCCAAGTTGTTGTTGTTGAGCTACAGGACTAGAGTTCAACCTTGCTCTTAATATACATAAATGATCTGGACTTGGGTATAGCAAGTACCATTTCCAAGTTTGTGGACGATACAAAGTTAGGTAGGGTGGTAAACAGTGAGAAGGATAGTATCCAACTGCAGGAAGACATAGATAGAATGGTAAAATGGGCGACACATGGCAGATGAATTTCATTGTGGAGAAATGCGAGGTAATGCATTTTGGTAGAAAGAATGAAGGGAGACAATATAGGCTGGTAATGCAATCTTAAGGGGGGTAAAAGAACAGAGAGACCTGGGGGGGCAGGTAAATGAATCCTTGAAGGTGGCAGAACAGGAAGATAAAGCTGTAAAAGGGGCATTTGGGATACTAGGCTTTATAAATAGGGGCATAGAGTACAAGAGTCAGGAGGTTATGATTAACCTATATAAACACTGGTTAGGCCTCAGTTAGAATATTGCACCCAGTTCTGGGCACCGCACTATGGGAAGGATGTTAAGGCATTGGAAAGGGTGCAGAGGAGATTTACAAGAATGGTACCAGGAATGAGGGACCCTGATTATGAGGAAAGGCTGGAGAGGATAGGATTATTCTCATTGGAGCAGAGAAGGTTACGAGGAGACCTAATAGAGGTCTTCAAAATCTTGAGGGGATTTGATAGGTTAGAAAGGGAAAAACTGTTTCCACTGGTGGATGTGTCGGTGACTCGAGGTCACAGATTCAAAATAGTCTCTAAAAGAAGCCGAGGGGAGAGGTGAGAAGGAATGTTTTCACTCAGCGAGTTGTTCGAATCTGGAACGCATTGCCTGAAAGGGCGGTCGAGGCCGATTCGATAACTACTTTTAAAATCACGGTGGATGGGTATTTGAGGAGGACGGGTTTGCAGGTTATGGGGAAAGGGCTGGGGAGAGGGATTAACATTACATTGCTCTTTTCAAAGGGACGGCACAGACTCGATGGGCTGAATGGCCTCCTTTTGTGCTGTACGATTCTATGATTATCTGAAGTTTGAAAAGCTTCTTAAGACATAGTGACTGGAATTGAATGAAAAGAATGAAGGCATGCCTAACCAAAGGACTGTGCAACTTATCTAGTGTATTCCAAGACAATGGATAATGGTCGGCTAGTTGACATGGGTGGAGTGGATGTTCTGGGGATCACAATCGAGTCCAATCATTTCCTCACTCAATACCCACATGTAAATAGACTATTTGGCTCTAGCAATCAGGAGAGAACATTGCTTGCTGATGCCCTCCTCTGTCCTAGATTCGCTAAACATATTTACTTTACCCCCCCCCCCCCCAATCATACGGTAGCTGAGCACCTCCATTATGTGCTAAAGATTAGAGATCTCAGCAAGTTAGACACTATGTCAAGAGGAGTAATATTGAGGGGTTTAGGGGCAAGTGGGCGAATGGGATTAGAAATGCTCATTTGAAGGAAAGCATTAGCATGTAGTTTGTGCTCCTGTCTCTTTAATATTCTGTATGTAGATGATTTTTAACCCTGTTTTGTTTCCGGTTTCTCATTTAGGGCTGTGGCTGCATACCTGCGGGCTCTGAGCCTGAGTCCCAATCACGCTGTGGTTCACGGGAACCTTGCCTGTGTCTATTACGAACAGGGGCTGATTGATCTCGCGATCGATACATACAGGCGAGCCATTGAACTACAGCCTCACTTTCCAGATGCATACTGCAATCTGGCTAATGCACTGAAGGAGAAAGGAAATGTAAGTTTGTGGTTTGAGAGATTAGCCAAGGTATTGGCTGTACTTTGGGAGAGTGGGTACAGTGGAATTCCGTGTATCCACAATTATTGAATGTCCAGCTGTGGATGTGGGGCTGCAAGATACTGGCAAGGAGGGAGGCAGCAGCGTGAGATAGAGAAAAGCAGAGAATGTGAAAGTGAGAGAAAAAGGAGAGCCAAAGCGAGAGAGGCAGAGTGAGTGTGGTGGAATGAGCAATAGAACATTCTGTTGCAATTTTTGTGAAAAATGTGCAAGGCTCTGGTGTATGAGCAGTCATCTGTAAGTTCAAGAGATAGAACTTTAGTTACTGATGGAGATGTGCAGGCTCTCGCTCCCTCAGCTTTTCCTTAACTCCAGCATCACACGCTTCTGTGACACCTTCATCCATTTGTTTATCACATTCAGCCTCGATAAATCCAATACTCCCTAGCTCCACCCTACAGAGCCTCTGTCCTCCGTCACCGAACTCCAGTAGCCCATCACCCCTGTCCTCATTCGGCTTGATTGGTTCCCCACGTCCCCAACAGAACAAATTCAAAACCCTCGCTCTCATTATATCCTTCCACTGCGTCGCCTGCCACCTATAGATGGACTCACCCAGCCGCTCAGCAAACACAAATGCTGAGCCGCCCCAGCATTAGTGGATGAGATTTAAGCCATTCTACCTCCATTCTGGAACTCCGACCCGTGGTCCCCTCTGACTCTTGCTCCCTCCCACCTTAAAACCTCTTTTTCTGATCCTCACCTTTTCTCTTCCCCCACCGTTTTGGGCTCCCGGTCAGGAATGTGAAGCACTTAAAGATGTCCTCTTGATGTGAAATATACTATATAAATGTAAAGTGTGATTGTGTGCAGTAGATGCTCCTGTGTAATTTTGTGCAATATGTGACAGGTTGCTGAGGCAGAGGAATGCTACAACACTGCATTGCGTCTTTGCCCCACTCACGCAGACTCCCTGAACAACTTGGCCAATATCAAAAGAGAGCAGGGGAACATTGAAGAGGCTGTCCGACTGTATCGTAAAGCTTTGGAGGTGAGAAGCCTGTGTAGACATGTCCTTAACCCTGCGAGCCAAGCTCGTAGGGCTCCAAGTGGAAAATATACCATGAAGCAAATCTGTGTGGTAACAATTATAGGAGAGCTGATTATTGCAATGTTCTCTTAATATATTTTGTTTATCAGTTAATTTGGGCACATTTGTTTCTAAATTAGGCATTTGATTTGTGAAGTGCTATGTGACTATTTGTATTGTAGGTCTTCCCTGAGTTTGCAGCTGCTCACTCAAACCTGGCCAGTGTGCTGCAGCAACAGGGCAAGCTACAGGAAGCATTGATGCACTACAAGGAGGCAATCAGGTACGTGCCAGTATACATGGCAGTGCGCACATCTCATTCACCAAGACAGCAAGCTTGATTATCCGTACTAATTGAGACCAGTACCTTTGCAGATAAGCAAATAAATTGGAAAATTGGATACTTCTGGGACCACAGTAAGTTGTGTATGTGAGCAGTGTATGTGCTTAAGCAGATTGTAGAGCTTTGTAATTTACACATCTGCTGTATTTTAAAAACATTTTCAGATATTTACCAGAAAATTATCTTTCTTTCTTCGTTTTTTTTGGTCAGTTGATCCATGTGGAAAACCATCACCATCAACCAAACCACACTAACCAGTTCCACATATACCTGCCCCTCAAATGAAAATTTCTCTCAAAGTGATGCTATTATATGTTACAATCAACAATTAAATAACTCAATAAATAAACAAGAAATAAATAATGTTCAAAACGTTGATGCAGAATTCAAGACCTGTTTTGGAATAGTTACTGTGTGATTTGGATCCTGGCTGATACTTGTTGATATTATTATCTTCTGTTATGACAGAATCAGCCCAACCTTTGCTGATGCCTACTCGAATATGGGTAATACACTGAAGGAAATGCAAGATGTACAGGGTGCCTTGCAATGTTACACACGAGCTATCCAGATTAACCCTGCATTTGCTGATGCTCACAGCAACCTGGCCTCCATTCATAAGGTAAGAGCCTGCAGTATCTAGAGAAAAGGATTGTTGGCTCTAAATTATTTTGCAACCATCTCCTGATGACTTTGCTGAATCCTGAAGCACTGACATCCAACCACTGGCCTTTCTTCATGTGCCCCATATTATGGGCATCACCAAGATAGTTGCCATTGGAGGGCATCAAAGTTATAATATGTAATAATACTTGCATTTGATATAGTGTCAGGAGGTTGTCTAAAAACGCTTCACAGGAACTACTGTGAAGCGTGGTGACTATCTTGGCAGCCAATTTGCACACAGTAATGTCCCACAAACAGCTATCAAGTGAACAAACAATTTTTATCTGGTGGATTTCTTGCCAGAAACACCAGGAGATACTCTCTTCTCTATTTTTAAATAATGACATGGGATTTTAATGTCCACTTGAACAGACAAGACCTCAGATAATGTCTTTTCCCGAAGGATGGGACCTCCAACATTGCAGCATGCCCCGAGACCAGTATTGGAATGTCAGCCTAGACTATGAGTTTATCTCTTGACCAAAGTGCTACCAACTGAGTCAAGGTAAACCGAACAGATGCACTTCTAGCAGGGGTTCGTTCCTGAGAGATGCTGGAGAGCAGCAACCCTGAATGAGTGGGATTAGCGATGTTTGATCAGTTGAATGTGTAACTCTTATCAAAGAACATGATAGAAGTTTTTTTTTCTTGGTCAGTCAGGAGCTGACAGGTAAGGAAACCCATCACTGTGTTTAAAGAGTATCCAAACCAGACGGAGAGATGTGAAGGTTTCCCTGTCTGGGTGTATATTGATGTGGTGTGAAGCATGTATATTAAAACACACTTTTTCTCACAGGATTCAGGAAACATCCCAGAAGCTATTGCTTCCTACAGGACTGCCCTAAAGCTGAAACCAGACTTTCCAGATGCCTATTGTAACTTGGCACACTGTTTGCAGGTACGGGCCCTAGCCAGTATAGTATTGGTTTTGCCTGTATAATACTTTGTTTCTGATTAATTGTATTTTTAAAAGACTTTGAGATGTTTACTTTTATATGAAAGGTGCTATGTAAATAGAAGGTGTTGGGAACAGTTAAAGGGAGAATTTAATATATTTGTGCTGTAGTATCAAGTAGGCCTAGGCACATTGCCTGCTTCCATTCCTACCTCACACCAAACTTTTGACAAAATCCTCATCCACCCCTTTGTCACTTACTAAAAGTTGTTGTAGATATTTGGTGAATAGTTCAATCGAGGGGAGCTGGAGTCGGGTTGGACTATTTATTTTAAAAAAAAATTGGCACATGCCAGACAGACAGTCTACAATGTTCTTTCCTGGTTGGGTATGTTTTCCTCTGTTCCTGGTTATTCCTGTCCATTGGAACTAAATTGCCAAGTAAAGCATCAATATCTCAGAAAATGAGTCCTAGAAGTGAGAAGATTTGAGCATCTCAGTGTTGGCATCAATTTGTGCAATAAAGTGAAGGCAGGAATCAGCATCTTAAAAAATGTATGCCAAAAGCTGCTGTAGTTGTTGATCGCAAACGTAAGCGTAGAAATGGACTCGGTTCCAATTCTTGGCTGGAGCAGTGCAACTTCATCCAGGAAAGCATTTGGCAAAATTCCAAGCACTTTGCTTCAAGAGAGAATTCCAAAGGCACGCCACACATGGGTGGGGTTTGATGCACGTTAACATTCCAGCACTTTACTTTATGAAACATTGCACTTTGAGAATTTTTTAATTTTTGAGTGAGTTGTCAACCATTGGCTTTTTCATGCTCTGTACATGAAAAACGACATTAAATTTCAAAATCTGTGTAGTTTGCTTAAAACATTGTTGTGCTATGAAGTGTCAGAATGTGGGCAATAGATTTAGCCACAGCGGTTGGACATCACTTCCTGTTCACTTCCTCTGTGCTTGCACTTGGTGAAGGAAGTGATGTCGGTGGCGGGTCTTGTACATGGCGTGTAGGCTCAGTGTACAGGAAGTGATGTCGGTGGCTCCGAGTGCATATTGATGACTTGGTAGCGGTACCAGCAGCTCATTAACCCTCCAAATTACATTGTTTAATTTAACGTTAGGCAGGATCTCAAAATACAATAAGTTGCGAGTACATCATCTATAACAGTAACCGTGTTCTGCTCGTAGATTGTTTGTGACTGGACCGACTATGATGAGCGAATGAAGAAACTGGTCAGTATTGTGTCCGACCAACTAGAGAAAAACCGACTTCCCTCAGTGCATCCACACCACAGCATGTTGTACCCACTGTCTCATGCCTTCCGCAAAGCCATTGCTGAGCGCCATGGCAACCTCTGCCTTGATAAGGTAAAGTTCTCTGCCAGTATCTTACTAGCTCGTGGAGGTGTTTGAACGTGAAGATGAGGAACTTGAATTCAATCTCCTGGAGAATAAGTGTGCCAGTGTAGCCAAGCAAGGATGGGTTGGTCATCTCATGGAGTCTGGTATGAGAGAGGACATGAGTTGCAGAGTTCTGAACCTTCTCCAGTTTGTATAGGGAGGTGCTAGGGAATCCTTTGAACAAGGCGTTGGAATAATCTAGCCTGGAGGTAATGAAGGCATCATGAGAGTGTCAGTACCTGGGAGGGGGTAGTGCAGTGGAGGTGGGCGATGTTGCAGAGGTAGGGAAAGCTGAGTTAGTGAGAGCCTGGATTTGGAGCTGGAAGGACAGGTGGGGTTCTGCAGCGGCTCCGTGTGGTGGAATGAACATCTGTGCAGGTCAGTGTGGTCACTGCCTGGGGTGAGGGAGTTCAATGTCGTCAGTGCCTGGGGTGAGAGGGGTCAATGTGGTCAGTGTCTGAAGTGAGGGGTTAATATGGTCAGTGCCTGAGGGGTGCGGGGTCAGTGGTCAGTGCCTGAGGTGAGAGGGCTGAGTGTAGCCAAGCAGGAGAGTCTTGCTCCTCCTGACTTGAAAGGCGCTATACAAATGTAGTATTGTTGTTGTTGGGACATCCTCCTAACTACAAATGTAATTTGTTATTGATATTCAATCTGTCAGAAGTGCATTGGTTTTGGAATTAATAATAATAATAATTCTTGCATCTGATATAACGGCTTATCACGTCTTCAAGACTTCTTAAATCGCTTCACAGAATAATAATAATAATAATCCTTGCATTTGATATAGCGCTTTTCACGTCGGGAGGACGTCCCAAAGCGCTTCACAGAACACACTGTAAAGTGAATTGACTGTATATTTGTGGGTGAACGCGGCAGCCAATTGTGCACAGCAGCGTCCCACAAACAGTCATGAATTGAGTGACCAATTTTTAAAAAAAATCTGTTTTAACTGATTGTTATTCCTGGAAAGCGATCTGTGAATCGACTAACAACCGGGTTCTTACTTACTGTTAGGTAAACACAGATGTGTGGAGTAAGGAAACTTGCTCAATATTTCACCCTGTTGAATTGAGGGAAAGGGCAGAGAGGAACAGTTGGGTGTCATCTGCATATATAACATGTAGGAGCAGGAGTAGGCCATTCGGCCCTTCGAGCCTCTGCCCCACCATTCAATCATGGCTGATCTTCTAATCTAACTCCAGCTAATAACCTAACCCTGCCTTATCCCCATATCCCTTAATCTCTTTTGCAATACGAAATCTATCTATCTCAGTCTTGAATATGTTCAAGGAGTGGACCTCATTCCAGCGGATGATGTCGCCAAGAAACTGTATATAGATGGTGAAACGGAGAGGACCAAGGCTAGAGCCTCAGGAACGCCGCATGTGATTGTGGGGGTGGGAAGAGAATCTGTTGGAAGGGACTAAGTTTAAAACATTGGAATGGAAGATAACCTTTTACATTATTTTACATTCTTAATTTAAATCATTCCTCTACCATAAAGAATAATAATTAAATAGTATAACAACTTGCATTTATATAGCGCCCTTCAGTTAGAAAAACGTATTGGAGCGCTTTAAGCCTAGTCTACTCAGCCTTTGGTAGCAATGCCACATAAATGTGTGTAACATGACATTAGAAATGAACAGAGTTTAATTTCTAGCCATATAAACGTGAGGTGAATGTAACCACAAGATGAGTATGAAAATGTGAAGAAGCTGGAACAGTCATATCTATATTTACTCTATATTTGTTGCAGATTAATGTTCTTCACAAGCCACCATACGAACACCCAAAAGACCTGAAAAGTAGTAATGGGCGTCTAAGAGTTGGTTACGTGAGCTCAGATTTTGGTAACCATCCGACTTCTCACCTAATGCAGTCAATCCCTGGGATGCACAACTCTGAGAAATTTGAGGTAACTGAGAACTAAAGTTGTCATCAAACATAGTTTTAATGATGGTTTAAGCTCTTGGTGATGCAGTTTCTCTCTGCCAGCCGCACTGTTACATTGCACAGTTGATTGTCCCCATTGGGAGCCAGAACACTCACAACATAAACTTACCTTCCCAGAATGCTTGTTCTACTTCCTGCTCGTATGTCATTGGTGATTCTCTAATTATCCATTTACTGTTAAAGGGATATCTAACCAAAAAAACCCAAATATTTGCCTTTTATTTATCAGAATTTATTTTTGAGGTTACAGATGTTGCATAAATTGGTGAATCCATTAGGTCAGTCTGAAAACAATTGTCATGATTGTTTTACACTTTGAATATCTCCAACAATTCTGTTAGTTTGAGTATCGCAACATCAGCTTGGGGCTGTTTAGCGTAGAATTCAGGGCTCGGAGCCAGATGCCCCTCTGACTTCCTGAGCCTGCGCATCTCCTCATAGGTGCTTCAGTGATTGGCAGGTTGGGTATAATTGCATTCACGGTTGTTAGGATCAATGTGATCAGGTAATTGGAAACCGTGACTTTATACCCACAAACACCATGATGTAGCTACCTCAGATGGAAACCTGGAAAGCAGGGAATTTTACAGCCGAACATTGACATTAGCTGGTGAATGAGGTGTGTGGTGTTGTGCAATGAGTATAAACCATTTGTTCTAATGCCTGCTGTGTTTTTTTTTCTGTGCCATTGATTTGGCAGGTTTTCTGCTACGCCCTGAGCGCTGACGATGGCACAAACTTTCGCGTAAAGGTGGTTGCTGAAGCGAATCATTTTGTGGACCTGTCCCAGGTAATGTCCCGTGGATTATGTTCTTTGAGCAGTTAATCTTATACAATTTTCAGACAGGAATACTCTTGCTAATTAATCACATATTTACAAGGCTACCCGATCAATACTGTTATAGTAGAAGACAGCATACAATGGGTCAATCAGGTCTCATTAACAGTTGACACATGGCTTTCTGCAGCCCTACAAAGCCAATATATCTGAACACCATGCTCCTGGGACTCTGCAACTGAAGAATCACTTCCTTATTTTTGTTGAGCATTGGTTTGTGGGAGATACCTGTAGCACATGCCTCATGTTTGGTTTCTGCACAGATCCCATGCAATGGCAAGGCAGCAGATCGCATTCACCAGGATGGAATCCACATTCTTGTCAACATGAATGGATATACAAAGGGAGCGCGGAATGAACTCTTTGCTCTGCGTCCAGCTCCTATTCAGGTCTGTAGCGACCTGTATTCCTGCTATGTGGCCGTAAGCACGGTCCAGGGGGAAGGTTTTCAGGCGGGGCTTGAAAAAGGGGAGAGGGGGCAAGGCGGAGAGATTGAGGGAGAATGTTCCAGAGTTTTGGGGCGTAGTGGCTGAAAGCCCGTCCTCCAATGGTGGGGTGGAGGGTGCGAGGGATGAGCAGGAGCCAGTGTCAATGGAGCGGAGGTGCCAGGTGGGGGGTGAGGAGGTCAGAGAGGTAGGGAGGTGTCAGAGAGTGAATGGATTTGAACACGAGAGTGAGGATCTTGGAAGTTGATCCGTTCGGTGATAGGGAGCCAGTGGAGCCTGGTCAGAACTGGTGAGATGTGGGTCCAGGTCAGTATGCTGGCAGCGGAATTCAAGTACTTGCTTTCACATGTCCATAGTCTGCCGCTTCCCCCACCATCTCTCTAACCTCGTGTAACTACTGCCGTGGCCACTCTTTGTGCTTAGTCAGTAGGGGACTGCTTCATGTCCCATGTCCGATCTGAAGTACAAATGGTGGATGTGCTTCTGATCCTAACTCAGCAATTGAGATAAGCCATTTGAGGTCTTGACATTGGTCGTGCTGTACGGAAGGAAATGCAAGGAGATAGTATGGGGCATCACACGATATTGCTCACTAGCTGGGATTGACTTGCTACACAAATGTAATCTTGTTGTATTAAGGCTGCGGCTTAATACATGAGAACGTTGTGACTGATTGTGGATATTAAAGTTGTTTGGTTCTACAGGCTATGTGGCTTGGTTATCCTGGAACAAGTGGGGCTCCATTCATGGATTACATTATTACTGACAAGGAAACGTCGCCACTTGATCTGGCAGAGCAGTATTCTGAAAAACTGGCGTACATGCCAAACACCTTCTTCATTGGAGACCATGCCAACATGTTCCCACATCTAAAGGTATTTAGTTCTTGTATTTTATGCAGCACTTTTCACGGAGGGAAGACATCTCAAAGTGCTTCACAGGATTTACTAAAATATATAGTATTTAAGTAACTACTGTCCCATCTCCAACCTCCCCTTCCTCTCCAAGGTCCTGGAACGAGTTGTTGCTTCTCAGCTTCGCTCCTTCCTCTCCCGCCACTCTCTTCTTGAACCCCTCCAATCGGGCTTCCGTGCCGCCCACAGCACAAAAACCGCCCTGGTCAAAGTGACAAATGACATTCTGTCCCATCTGTGACCAGGGCTCCCTCTGCCTCCTCGTCCTCCTTGACCTTTCTGCTGCTTTCGACACCATTGACCACTCTCCTGGTGGAGTCCTGTAGCTCAGTGGTTAGAGCACTCACCTTGCTGGTTCAACTCCAGGCAGGGCGAAACCTTGGGCAAGTTTCCTTACTCCACACGCCTAATAATCCCTCCAAAAAAAAAACCAATAATAAATTGGTCATTTTCAATCCACAACTGTTTGTGAGACACTCGCTGCTATGCGCAATTGGCTGCCGCGTTTCGCCCACAAATATACGGTCAATTCACTTTACAGCATATTCTGCGAAGCGCTTTGAAACATCCAGAAGATGTGAAAAGCGCTGTATCAAATGCAAGGATTATTATTATTATTATCCTCATCCACCGTCTCGCTTCAACCTCCACGGCACTGTCCTTGATTGGTTCAGATCATACCTCTCACACCCCCTGCACTTCATCTCCTCAAACGGCTTCTCCTCCAGCCCCCGGACTGTCGTGCGGCGTTCCTCAGGGTTCTGTCCTTGGTCCCCTCCTCTTCAACATCTATATGTTCCCTCTTGGTGATATCATCCGCAGACATGGGGTCAACTTCCACATGTATGCGGATGACACCCAGCTCTACCTCTCTGCCTCCCCCCTCGACTCCAGGACCCACTGCTGTCCTGACAGATTGCCTGTCAGACATCAAATCCTGGATGAAAGCGAACTTTCTTCAGTTGAATGTCAACAAGACTGAGGCTCCTGATTGGCTCCCGTCAGCGCCTCCACACCTCAGGCGCCGACAGCATCACCATCCGTGGATGCACACTCCACCTCACTGAGCCAGTCCAGAACCTTGGGGTCTTGTTTGACCCTCAACTATCCTTTCTACCCCAAATCTGCTCCATGATCCGCTCTGCCTTTCCTCACCTCCGCAACGTCGCCCGGCTCCGATGCTCACACCACAGGCTGCCAAAACCCTCATACATGCCTTCATTACATCAAGGCTCGACTATGCAAATTCCTTGCTTGTCGGTCTCCCCAACTCCTCCCTCCACAGGCTACAGATCATCTAGAACTCTGTAGCCCGTGTCCTCTCCTGTACAAGGCTCCGTGACCCTGTCACCCCCATCCTCACCTGACTCTACTGGCTTCCCATCACACAGAGGATACAGTTCAGGATCCTGGTCCTCACCTTCAAAGCCCTCCATGGTCTTGCTCCCCCCTACCTCTCCGACCTCCTAACCCCCTACCACCCTATTTGCTCCCTTCGCTCAGCGGGCTCTGGCCTGCTTCACGTCCCCCGCCTTGCTTGCCCCACTATCGGCAGGCAGGCCTTCCCTCTGGAACTCCACCCCCCAGTCCCTCCTTCTCACCCCCTCCCTCACCCCTTCAAGACCCACCTCAAGACCCTCCTCTTTGACCGTGCTTTTGATCTCCCTGCTTCCCCCCCCTGCCCTCCCCCCTCTCAGACCCCGACCCCAGCTTGGGTCCGTAAATGTCCAGTGACTCGGGACGTCCTCCCGACGTGAAAGGCGCTATACAAATATAATTTTGTTGTTGTATATGCAAACACGGACACATATTTGCACATAATTCACTTTGTACACACAATGAAGGTTTACCCACTGGTTGAGTGGGTAAATGACCTACTGCATCTTCCTCTTGTGCTGCCGTTAAACTAGGTTGTAGAGGTAAGTGTACAAGTGCCAAATCGACCCATAGATTTTCTTTCCTTTCTTCCTCTTGCCCCCCCCCCCCCATCAGTAAGGTAGCTGAGAACAAGAATGTGTAAGAAGATGTATGTGCAATTGTGTTTTAATGCACTGTGCAGTTAGGTATACTCTTGAAGGTTCTTTGTTCATTTTTTAATCATGTAAAGATAGATTTTCAATAATCTTAAGAAATTAAAAATGGTTCTGGAAGAGCATCTGAACACTGTGTATGTTATTGGATTTCCGCCTGTGCTTGTGGCCCAACTGAATCGGAAGCCAGTCTCGAGATTTTTGGTGGGAGGGGTCCTGGGTGAAACTTTTCATACTCTGCAATGTGTATATGGTTAGTATATTTTTTCACTCATTCGTTGAGTAGTGTTGTGTTGAAACCATTTTCATAAAGAGTGTGATTCTGATTTTTTTAAAAAAAACTCTGCCTTTTAAACTCTTGTTATGTGTAAACTAATGGTAGTGTTTTTACCCCCATTTAGAAAAAAGCAGTGATTGACTTCAAGTCAAATGGACATATTTATGACAACAGGATTGTTCTGAATGGCATCGACCTGAAGGCGTTCCTGGACAGTTTGCCTGATGTCAAAGTGGTGAAGGTAAATAAATTGGTTCCCCAAGTATGTGACATGCAGAAGTCATTGGACCCACCAGTTATGTTCAGGTGTCTCCAAATCAGTGGTTTGGGGTTTCACATAATCGTGGAAAATTCTGTTTACCTGGAATGGAGTCCACATTATGGAGCTGCCTAGTTCAGGAACTAGATTGCCACAGAGGATTGAGTCAGTTCTGATTGAGACCAGTTGTACTGGGCAAACTTAGAGTCTAAGCTATTAAGAACCACTTGAAATGATGGGAGTTGATTAAAGACAATCAGCATGGATTTCCTAAAGGCAAGAGCCTTGCTTGACAAATCCAAAATAACCAAGAAAGTGCATGAAGGTAACAACAACTTGCATTTATACAGCGCCCTCCCGCCGGGAGGCATCCCAGAGCTTAACAATGGCGGAGCCTGAGGCCGAGCCAGGGGAAAGGGGAATGTGACCATAGGCACAGTCGAAGAGGAAAGTCTTCGGGCGCAACCTGAAAATGGGGAAAGGGGGGCAAGGTGAAGGGATTGGGGGAGGGAGTTCCATAGCTTTGGGGGGTAGTGGCTGAAGGCACAGCCGCCGATGGTGGAGCGGAGGATTCGCGGAACAGGAGGCGGCCGGAGCCAGTAAAGCGGAGGCAGCGGATAGTGCTATGGGGAGTGAAGAGATTGGAGATAGGTGGGTGCCAAGGTGTGGGGGGATTTAAACACTAGAGTGAGGATCTTGAAGTTGATCTGCTCTGACAGGGAGCCAGTGTAGCTTGGCAGGGACTGGGGTAATCGGGGTGCAGAGTTTAATGCGGGTGAGGTAATGCTTTGGATGTGGTTCATATGAATTTTCAGAAGTTTTAGATAAGATCCTGTAGAGGAGACCTGTTTTTTTTAAAAAAAATGGGATGAATGGAAAGTTAGCAGTGTGGGTAGAAAGTTGATGGAAGAAAAGAAAAACTGGGCTGGGAGAAGAGGTTGTTATTTGGAATGGAGAAATATATAAATAATGGTGTCTCCCAAGGGCTCTATGTTAAGACCACTTTTCTCTATTTATATAAGTGATTTGGATTCTGGGATAAGGGGCACAATTTCCACATTTGCAGGTGACACAAAGAGGAGTGCAGCTAACATGCAGCTTCAGATGAAACCAGTGAACTTGGCATTGGATGGGGATTCAAACCAGCAAGTTCTCAGTCTATAAGCTGCAGTTCTATCTGCTGCACCATTGGTTGTAAATTAATAACAAAACAGTTACACCATACACAATCTTTCTCACACACCCCATTCTGACCTGGAGTATCAGCTTAGACTTTGAGCTCAAAATTCTGACACAGTGTTTGAACCCACTGCCTTGTGACCTAGAGCTGATAGTGCTGTTGACTGAGCCAAGCTGACGCTACTTTGCTTGCTATAAGCAACTTATTACTAAATACTATAGGGTTTCTGTGCATAATAGTCAATTGTTCTCACCAGTTCTTTGTTGCATTTACAGCTGAAGTGCCCAGATGGTGGAGACAACTCGGATACAAACTCTACCCTGTCAATGCCCGTGGTTCCCATGAACACTGCAGCTGAAGCCATTATCAACATGATTAACCAGGGACAGATTCAGGTCACAATTAATGGCTTCACAGTTAGTAATGGGCTGGCAACCACACAGGTAAATGGAGAAAATGAGGGTCTGAGAATTGGTGCAAGATTGGGATGTGTAATGGAGTTGTGTGGATAGAGAGAAAGAAGAGCCTTGATCGATGAGGGAGAGGGGAGAAGTGGCAATCATGAATAAGGAAATTAAACAAGGAGCGATTTTCAATCTGTTGGGAGAGGTTATAACGACACAATTGAAAGAAGCAAGTTCTTGTTCTGTGCTAATGTTTGGAAAAGTTGACAGATATGATTATGACAGGTTGAGAAATGACCTTGCAATGGCTGAAGGGAGGAGAGGAACGCACCTAACCCAAGCAGCTTAACCAAGAGAGGGTCCTTGATTGGGTGGGGTGGCGGGGGGGTGTTAACCCACCCAGAGTAATGCTGTCTCATGTCTGATTTCTTCCGATCTTTGACCAGATTAATAACAAAGCAGCGACTGGAGAGGAAGTTCCACGAACAATCATTGTAACAACACGGTCACAGTATGGACTTCCGGAAGATGCTATTGTCTACTGCAACTTTAACCAGCTGTATAAGATTGATCCACCCACTCTGCAGATGTGGACCAGTGTAAGTTTTGTCTTTGGCAAAGATTAAAAGGAATATTCTGCAGTTGAATTGGAATTAATTCCATTCTGATTCTAAGTGCTCACTGTCAAATTGTTGACTTGTGGAACATCGTCATGACTATCCCCAAGTATCTCCATCTGCCAAAGGTTTTGAGATTGCCTTTAGTTACAGACTCACAGTAGTGGGTGGACCTTGTTTTAATCCTGGTCGGGATAATCATATCTCACTCTTCCATAGAGTGTCATGTCACAGAGGTTTTTAAGATAAGGGCATGACTAGGTATATTGTGAGCAACCTTTTCCGTGATGATGAGAGTCACAGTCAGAGGGTTGTGAGCAAAAGAAGTACGGGAGAGGTTGGAATTCCATCCCTCATTAGCGTGCGGGTTACCATGGATGGCTGCATCAATACAATCATTAAAAGGAGAACTAGATAAGGATTTGAACAGTAAAAATATTAAGCGATCTGGGATTATTAATGAGTGGTAATAGACCTGATGTTCTGAATCGCCTTGTGTACTGATCATTTCTTTGTTTATATGCAGCATGTGAAATCAGTTAGCCACAATATTACCATATGTTCGGAGCTCACTACTGTATTGCTGTAAACTTGCAGGTCACTGTATTGTTTGCTTGTGGCTCACTCTGGTTCAGGCTTGCCAGTAAACTACTGCTACAGGCTCTGGGGTGTTATTCACAAGATGTTACACTGGCACATGTTTGTGGGCACCGCGGTGACTGGGTAGGATTTGCTCTTGTTAAACAGTGTGCTCTTGTTCTGCAGATACTGAAGCGGGTTCCAAACAGTGTGTTGTGGCTCCTTCGATTCCCTGCAGTTGGAGAACCCAACATTCAACAATACGCTCAGAGCATGGGCCTGCCTCCCAATCGCATAATCTTCTCACCTGTTGCCCCAAAAGAGGAGCATGTGAGGCGGGGACAGCTGGCAGATGTATGTCTGGACACTCCTCTCTGTAACGGACACACCACTGGAATGGATGTCCTTTGGGCAGGAACACCAATGGTTACTATGCCAGGTAAGGTAGCTAATAGTGGTTCTATTCGCTGGGTGTAACTTTTTTTTGGGTTAGCTCAGTGTCTGACACATGCAGAAACCCATCACCTGTTCAAGAGGAGCCAAACTAGATTGTATAACTAAGTTGGTGACTGGTACCAGGAACTCTCTTGAGTTTCCTGGATGGGCAACTCAGCTCAGCATGAAATGTGTGAGCGCATTGCCACCATTCTCCTGCTCACAGCATACAAACCCATAAATCATTCTAGTTTTAATAAAGTAATAAATCAGTTACAAAATACAAATTGCTAGTGTTTCTGCGGGCCCACGTGTAGCCAACGCTGTGCTGAGCAGTCACTGACGATCTGCCCACTGAACAGGGTGTCACTTCATTGACGGGGCTAAAAAAGAGTGGCCACTGGTTGCGTTAGACAGGTGGTTGCTGAATAGAGACGGTTTATTATGGAAAATTGGTCACGACTGTTCCAGGGTGATGGGGGACAGCGGGTGGTTGCTGAATAGAAGTGGTGGCTTTAACAGGTTTGACTGTAAGCTACTGTATCTCCCACGAGGAAGCAGATTTGAAATGCTTTGAGCACGTAGTGATGATTACCCTCCTTATATACATATCATGTGACTGGTAACTTGTATATGTTTCACATGACCTGTAACTTGCATTTGCTTCTGCTGCAGTGACCTTTCCACAGCGTGAGGAGAACCACAACTGTTCGAGTAAGTGATCTGCCTTTTGTCTTGAATATATACTGTTTGCCTCCACTGCAGCACATGAATAGTTGTCTCTTTTGTGACAGTGTGCAGTCGGTCTGTAATGTGTCTGTTGAGAAAGGACTGTTAATCCTGACCAATAGTAGCACATAATAATTGTGGGTTCAAGTCCCACATCAGGGACTTTGTGCACATAGTCCAGGCTGACACTCCAATGCAGTGTTGGGGAAACTGTTGCTGGAGGTGTCAGCCCAGCCCAATTGGTAGCATCTCATCTCTTGAGCTGAACCAACGTGGGTTCAAACGCAACTCACATGCTTGGCTTACACTCCAATGCAGTGCTGCATTGTCGGATGAGGTGTTAATCCAAGGCTCCATCTGCTTGTTCAGTGGAAGTTAAAGATCCCATGACATAATTCGAAAAAGAGAAGGGAGTTTCTCCCGGTATCCTGGCCAATAATCCCCGAAATAAAATTAGCCACTCGCTTCATTGGCTGTTGTGCACAAATTGTCTACCACATTTGACTACAAATACAGTCGCTTCATTCAAAAGTATAATCCCGTGGGTAGCTTTGAAATGTTTCAATGATGCAATAAAGGTGTTCTATCAAGTACAACATTTTTGTATTATCTGTTCAGGTGAGACGTTAAATCGAGGCCCCATCTGCCTTGTTGGTGAATGTTAAAGAAGGAATGACATTATTCAAAAAGAATATTGTCTTTGCTTCTCTAACATTCACTGGAAATAAGAGAATGACGTTTCTCTAGTTAATCCTTCAGTTAAATTGGTCATTGCTGTGTGCAAACTGGCGTCTGTTTTGGCCTACAGATACACTGTAGTGTATTTATGTAGTTCACTTAACCAAATGCAAGAATTAATTAATATGAAATCCTGTGAGATAAAGTGCAATATCAAATGCAAGTATTATTACAACAACTTGTATTTATACACCTAGGATAACATCTTGGACTGTTTATTACTTTTTATGGTATTCTAGGAAATCTAGTATCAAGACTGATTGATGTGAGTGTTTGTCACAGTGGATCTGTACTCTGTGTGGTTGTATCTTGCGTACATGAAGACTGATGTTCACTGCAATATTTCCTGTATACAGAATGCTGTGTCTGGAATTCTGTGCTGCACTTCGGGTTTTGTGTATGGTACAATAAATGTATGCATTGCTTTGTGGTGCCATGTACTAAATGGATTTATTTACATCTACAGGAGAGACACTGGCGTCCCGTGTTGCTGCTTCACAGCTCACATGTTTAGGCTGTTCTGAACTGATAGCAAAGAACAGACAAGACTATGAGGACATTGCTGTAATGTTGGGAACAGACATGGAATAGTATGTCATTACTTCATCCTGTTTACTACTTTTACCTTGTATTGTTGGTCTCTGAATTGAAAGCTGTTGAAGTGATGATTTACTTTACTCATTCTTTGATCCCAGAACATCTTAGGTTAATTTTCTCAGATTTGGATTGTCACAATTGCTCTATGCTTGGAACTCTAAATTGAACAAATGAAATTATGTGGTAACATTAGGGTTGACAATAAGTTTATCTGATTCATTCTTGCTTTGAAGAAAACTACAATAGTTCATTCCATTTGATAAAACTTATGAAGTTATGAATGCTGGGTGTCAGAGGGGTTTGTGGGGAGGTAGGGAAGGCTCAATTTTTGCATTTTAAACTGCGGGCTTCTGATGTAATTCCTTATCCTTTGCACAGCCTCAAGAAGATCCGAGGGAAAGTGTGGAAGCAGAGAGTGAGCAGCCCACTATTCAATACTAAACAGTACACTATGGATCTGGAACGCCTCTACCTGCAGATGTGGGAGCATTACTCTGCAGGCAACAAACCAGAGCATCTCATCAAGCCACTGAAATCTATGGAGACATCTGAAACTGCCTAAGACCCCAGTGTGGCCTTTGAACCGAGAATACTGAGTTACAGGCTGTCCTATACCTGCCACGCATCAGTTATTTGGGTTTTTTTTTAAAAAGAAAAGCCATAAACTCCGGAAATAAATAATTTCGTACCAGACCAGTCTTCAAAGAATAGGAACCTTATCGTGAAAATCTGGTTGATGTTGAAGTTAAATGAGGCTGAAATTGGTGCCCAGAACACATTGGTGTAGAAATGAATTGATTAAATTGCGATGGTTTGTGCAGGATCAATATGAAACATTTGTAATATCGTTATTGATCTAGAATTCATACTAGTCAATCATTAAATCTCCATCTTATTGCTACACAAATGTTAAGGGCTTTCTGCTGAATTTCTGAAGACCTAGCAAGTTGATTAAGACCTCTCTTTAAGGCTTTGTTTTGTCTCCCTGTCAAATTATTTTTATAAACTATAGGGGTTCTTTCCTAGGAGTCTTCTGAGTAACTGCACTTCATCTGAAAATGAATTCTACCAAACATTTAGAATTTTGTTGATTACTCCATGAGCAAAGCAGAAATCCAGAGTTGTCCCATTTGAATGATACAATGGGACATGAATACTTGTGCCTGTCATTTTCACATGCACCTGTAGTTGCACAAACAACAATGCAACATGTCTAATTGAGCTCTAGAATTAGCTTCTGGGGATTGATCACTGCAGAACTAGTCTGGAGGTTGGTTTTCTTCCTTCTTGGCCGACTGACTACTCAGGATTGTTTATTGTGGAGGGGTAGTCAGAAATCCTATTGCCCCCAGTTAAGTATCTACTCAGTTGGAAATACTGTGTACAGTTAGCAACTTTGTGCAGTTTATAACCATCAAGTGGTCACTTTTCCACTACACTTGCCAGTAGAAGTTTTTGTTTTGTGCTCTCCCCAGCCCCCCCCCATAATTCAAACCATCTATTTGCTTGAGTGCAGAGTTCTAAATTTCTATTCTCAGGTTTCAAGAATCACTTAAACTTGGCCTAATGTCTGGTCTGCTGTGTCAGTGGAGCCAGTGTAGTTGTAAATAGATTGTTGCTTCCCTGCCCTGAACAAACTCCTCTGGACCGGTATTCTGCTGATGTTTGTTTTCCACATCTGTTTCTTTAATTAATGCTATTTCATTGCTAATAAAATTCCATGTGTACCCGGGAAAGGAATAGTTTCTGGATCATGGTATCGATTGGATTAATAATTATTTTTTTTATTTAAAGAAATTGCAGTTTGTGTAAAAAAAAAGCAATGAGGGGACGATGTGAACTCGAGGTGACTCAGATGAGTTGGTGGTAGTGAAGACTGAAGCTGTTCTGAAAAATGTCATTTAGTCGGTATGATTGGTGACCCATCAGTAGCCCTTTCTGCTTTAGATTTATTTTGGTTCAAAATTTGTTTCATTCCTGTTTAGCTTGTGATGGCAATTCTAACGACAAGTTCAGCAGTGCAAATGCTTTTGCATTGTGTGGATTCAGACCATTTTAAATATGAAGCTGCAAAATAGATGTGAATGAGAATTTGTAACTTTCTGTCTCCTCAAAACCACTATTAAAAGCAGAAAAACTCCTGGTGTTTCTTGTGAAATTTCATCAGAGCCTGAAACGGTCATAGACTTTAACTCACCTATGTAGCTCCTGCTGACCCCTGCTGACCTGCTGACCTCCTGCTGACCTGTTGGCTAATGATTTCCGGCCGGGATGCACCATGTTGGGGGCGGGGCTTTGCGCAGGCGCAGTTGGTTGTGGCGGACAACATCCGGGGTTTCAGTAAAAATAATCGTTTTAGGGTCAACGTCACCGCGAGTGTTTAACCGGAAGTGGTCAGCCCTGAAATGTGTCACGTGTCCTTACATCGCCGGAAATACAATTTACCCCGGAGTTGCGCGGGAAGTTTCAAACGAAATCGGTGCGGGGAGAGGCCGGAGACCGCGGCCTCTGCTGAGGGGAGAGGCCGGAGACCGCGGCCTCTGGTGAGGGGAGAGGCCGGAGACCGCGGCCTCTGGTGAGGGGAGAGGCCGGAGACCGCGGCGTCTCGTGAGGGGAGAGGCCGGAGACCGATGCGAGGCCCGCACTCACAGGCCTGGAGCTCCGACCAGCCATCGCGGTTGCGGTACCCGCAGGTCTTTACCTTAACAAGTTGCCACTTGGGCAACTATAGGCTCGAGTGTGTTTGCACAGATGTCATTACCTCCACCGTAACCCTCCAAATCTTCGTGCCTTTTCCTCTTCAATGCTGGAGTGTGTTTGCTTCTCCGCTTCAGTGCGTCCTCTCTCAGCGCTTCCTCCAAACTGTAACACTTTGCTATAATAAACCAAACTCCACTGTCTGCCCTCTATCTCCAATGTTTACCTACTTTTTTTCCATCAAAGCAAGAAGCTTTTTTTAAAATGAGTTTCAGGGTCCTGGCATTAACATTGTGGTAACCTGTTCTAGTTTTTAATTATCCTGTGGGTAAAGAAATATTTCTTGGGTGTTTGGGCTGAAATTGTCCTTTGTAACTGTAAACCTGTGTAATAATGATAATAATCCTTGCATTTGACATAGTGCTTTTCACATCTTCTCGACGTCTCAAAACACTTCACAGAATATACTGTAAATGAATTGACTGTATATTTTGTGGGCAAAACAAGGCAGCCAATTGCCACAGCAGTGTCCCACAAACAGTCGTGGATTGAAGTGACAAATTTATTAATGTTTTTTTTCTTGAGGGATTATTATCCGGCGTGTGGAGTAAGGAAACTTGTCCATTTTTGCCCCTCCCGGGAATCGAACCCAACTCTTTCGCTTGCAAGGTGTACACTGGTCTCAGTGCTTCTGTAAGTTTTGAACTGAGTTTACTTTCTCAATTCCATTTAAAATCTTACATACCTCAATTAGGTCCCCCCCAAGATATAATTTTAAGACTGAAGAACAGTTTATTATGTAAACATTGCTCATAGCTCATTCCTCAAACTCTGTGGCTGATCCTTGTTATTCTCCTATGGACTGGTTCTAGCACCAGGCACCGATTTGCTGTGCTTTCATGTTCTAGGTAATACAGTGAAGCAGGATGGATGAGGGAACTCGGAGCCAGTTTCAGCGCTTAGCTGATCAACTAGGTTGGTTACAGCACAAAGATCTGAATGCCATTGAAGAAAAGGTAAAATTAACAATTTATAAAACGAAATCTATGTAGGGCTTGTTCTGGTGTTTTTTTACAGCATCCCTGTGACATAAGCTGCGAACTGTAAGCAATGGTATTGACTGTCATTTATTTATTATGTTAATAATAATCCTTGCATTTGATATAGTGCTGTAAGGAAGCTACTTTTATTTTATAATGTATTAGTGGGCACACAATTTGGATGTTAAAGAATTGTTTTCTTTATTATAATTTCAACAGTCAACAATAATAATAAGCTTGCATTTACATCTTCGAGACATTAGGGATTCATTCGGCTACCTCTGCCCCATCCACCACTACTCCCTCGCCACCTCCTCCTCACGCCCCAGCCCCCACCCATTCATCGCTTTGCACCTTCAACCCTGTCTCCCAATCTTCCCTCACCTCCATCATTTCAAAAATGAAGCCCACCACCTGCTCCCTTGACCCCATCCCCACCCCACTCCTCCCAGCTCCACCTCCTGGCTCCTCTTTTAACCAACATTATCAACCTCTCCTTATCCAGTGGCACTGATTCCACCCCCCCTAAAAACAGCTGTCATCACCCCTATCCTCAAAAAATCTTTCCTGGATCCATCCCTACTCTCTAGTTATCGTCATCTCCAACTGCCCTTTCCTCTCCAACGCCCTGGAACGAGTTGTCGAGTCCCAGGTTCACTCTTTCCTCTCCTGTCTTTCCCTCTGAACCCCTCCAATTGGGTTTCCATGCTGCCCACAGCACAGAAACAACCCTGGTCAAAGTCACTAACGACATTCTGAACTTCTGCGACCAGGGCTCTCTGCCTCCTTGTCCTCCTCGACTTCTCTGCTGCCTTCGACACTGTCAACCACTCTATCCTCCTACACTGCCTCGCCTCTCAGCTCAATCTTCGTGAACCTCGACAATCATCGCCACTTTGTCGCCACGAACAGCTTCTCCTCTAGCCCCCGCACCGTCACTTGTGGCAACCCTCAGGGCTCTGTCCTTGGACCCCTCCTTTTCAATATCTATATACTCCCCCTTGGTGATATCATCCACAGACATGTATGCAGATGACACCCAACCATACCTCTCTGCCTCGACTCGAGGACCACTACTGTCCTCACAGACTGCTTTTTGGACATCAAGTCCTGGATGAGAGCTAACTTCTTGCAGTTGAATGTCAACAAGACCAAGGCTCTCCTGCTTGGCACCCGTCAGTGCCTCCTTATCTCGGGCATTGACATCATCTCCCTCCATAGATACACTCTACATCTCTTCAACCCTCAACTGTACTTCATACCCAAATCTGTGACATGACCCGCTCCGCCTTTCCCCATCTCCGCAACATCACTTGGCTCTGCCACTGTCTCACACTGCAAGCTGCCGAGACCCTCATACACGCCTTCATATACATCCAGGCTCGACTACGCAAACTCCCTGCTCGTCGGCCTCCAACTCCTCCCTCTGTAGGCTGCAGATGTTCCAGAACTCTGCAGTCCTCTCCCACACCAGGCTCCGCGAACCTATCACCCCGCGACCCTATCACACCCCTCGCCCACACTACTGGCATCGCATCACACAGAGGATATAGTTCAGGATCCTGGTCCTCACTTTCAAAGCCCTCTATAGCCTTGCTCCCATCTACCTCTGTGACCTTCTAACCCCCTACCAATCTGTCCACTCCCTCCGCTCAGTGGGCTCTGGCCTGCTTCATGTCCCCCGCCTCACCCACCCCACCATTGGTGGGCCTTCTGCCACTCTGCCCCCACCCTCTAGAACTCTATTCTGCAGTCCCTCCGCCTCACCTCCTTCAAGATCCATCTTAAGACCCTCCTCTTCGACTGTGCCTTCGATCACCCTCCTTCCCCCCCCCCACCCCCGCTCTGCACCCTCCCCAATCCCGAACCCACTTCGGGTCGAAAACACTGATTGTTCAGCGCCTTGAGATGTCCTCCCAACATGAAAGGCGCTAAACAAATGTAATTTTATTGTCTCAAAGCACCTCACAGGATATTGACTGTATATTTTGTGGGCAATTGCGCATAGTGTCCCACAAACCGTTGTGGATCAAGTGACCAAATTAATATTAATATTATTTTTAAGTGATAATTATCCCGGGAAAAGCGATCTGCAAATCGACTAACAACCAGGTTCACACTTACTGCTGGGTGAACAGAGGCTTGTGGAGTAAAGAAACTTGCCCAACATTTCGCCCTGCCCGGGAATCGAACCCAGATCCTCTTATTGGCGAGTGTTCTAACCACTAAACTACAGGATTCCAAAATTATATGAAGATTATACAAATTTGCCCAATCTCTCCACCACTTCACTTTTCACACACGGTTTCTGTCACATTCTTAGTTATTGTGCTCACGGGGAATGGTGATAAGTATGAAGAATATCTTTTTCTGTAGATAAGATTTTCATGGTTCCTACTCACTGTATAAACTGCTTAAATCCAGAGTAGAAACTGTTGTATTCTATGGAATATTTGATCATCTTGTATTACCTTATCACCTTCATTTGTTGTTTTCTTTCCAGCTTCACCAAAGTGTTGTGAGGTCTAGGAGGCCACCATCTGACTCTTGTAAACATCCAGCATTGTCGCTGCAGCTAAACTCCAGTGGGAGTCCCAGCGACTGCCACTCGTGTGCACAGGAACTGGTGCTGACCAGCTCCGAAGATGAGTCTGAATTGAGACAGGAGGAAAGTAAAACAGAGGCAATGAAAGGGAAATCGGATTGGGATCTACAGAATCCTGATGGGATCGTGACCATCTCAGACTCCAGTGATGATGAAAGCTTTGAAATCTGTAAGTACCAGGTTTAATCACTATGAATTATTAACACCATTGACGTGTATATATATCGCTGACTTCACACTGTAGTGTTATTTATAGTTATAGGGGACATGTATATCCCAGTGATGTAATGAATGTTGATCTGTTAGCACTGCTCCAAATCATCATCACTTTAGGGAAGTAATGGTTCAGATTTCTCATTGTACAATCTTTCTGATGATAATTTAGTTGAGTGTATTTCGCTTTAAATTGTGTCAGAATTTAGACTATAACCTTTACTTCTTGCATAATTGAAATAACATTAGTTATATTCAGGGCTTTGTTTACAATTTGTTTCCTGGTTTCTGGTTCAGTTCTGAATCAGATGAAGACACCCAAGTCAGGAGCAACTGCCAGGATTTGCCAGAAAACTCCAAGGTCCAAAAGGTGAGTGGGGGGCAGCAAAGGGTTCTTACAATAGTGAATAGATCTGGTTATATGCTGCAACCTTTCTCAATGTAAATGCTGTTCAGTATTTACACACAATTGGGGTGCAGAGTTTGGTATGGGTGAGGATATGGGTGTCAAGAGTTTGCATCAATTGGACTTTGAGTGGTGGAGCTGGGGAGACCAGCAGGGAGAAATCAAGGTGGGTGGTGATGAAAAGCATCGATAATGGTTTCAACAGCATTAGGTGAGCTAGACTAGGAAGGTGTGTGATGTGGCAGAGGTTAACAGGAGCCAAGTGGGAAGAATCCTTGTCGCTTGTGAATGGTCTGGCCCTCCAAGTCATTCTAGTGAACCAGGTTGGCTGGTCTGTCAGCAACAAAGCCTTGTAGTCCTGTGGATTAGCCTGGCTCAGGAACCAGACTACTGAGACTTCAAGAGGGTCAACTTGATTCCAACAGTTTAGTGCATGTGTGACTAACATGAGAAAGGGGTATTTTATGTGTTCTGATATCTTTCTCTACATTCTCGATAGTGTACCTGAGATCATCTCAGATTCCAGTGGGGATGAAGAGTTTGAGAAGTGTAAGTATTGTCATAAATAAGGTTGTGTAGCTTCTTATACTGTTTGGGTGAGAGATACTTGCTTGAGAGTAGAACTAGGTCAGGTATAGCACAGCTTAGGTACAGAGTAAAACTACACTGGCCCTGTTGGCCTGGATTGTAACACCTAGTGACCTGCTATCTAGTGGGAGTTTTAAGATAACATTTAATCTTTTTCCCAGAGGAAATTATTCCTCCTGTTTGCAGAGTGGAAGTAAGCAGATTGCCTCCCGCCGTCTTACTCCCCACCCACATGATCCATCATGTATGGTGTAGTCTATTACATTGTTATTGATGGGAATGCCATTGCGTTAGGTGGTGCAAACTCCCATTTTCTAGACGTGAATTAAATTGCTAGAGTCCTGAACCAGGTAACTCTTGTGTGCTGGTACATTCTGTGAAGTTTAGTACCAATGGTTAGCTCGTTGCGCTTTGTTAAATGGTTACTGTGAGATCTGTGGGAGATGCAGATCTATAACAGTGACAACCGTTTCCCTTTGGATCCTGCATGGAAAGGATCTGATTTTAATCCAGTTTGTAAAATGGGGCAGTTATAGTACTGGGAGTTTGGCTGATATTGTTTTAGGATTTTCACTGGTAAAATGTAGATAATATGCATGGGAGTTGGAAAGGATTTGGACTATGTAATCAGATTTAATGTGGACATCTTTTTTCTGTAGTTCTGATTCAGGCAAAGACCCCACGCGGCCGGGCACATTATTTCAATGTTCAGAAGAAGGATAACAGGTGGGTGAGTGGCTTATGAGTCAGTTGATCATTGGAGATGGTCAGTCAAAATCCAGAAATTGCAACTCAGTGCCTGCTCAGAAATCTCATTTAACAAAAAAATAAAATCTTGACAGCTGGAGGAGAAATTATGGTATTTTAAAAGAACAGAAACAGGCCACCCAGCCCATACTTCTCCCGAGCCTTTTCCCCTTCCTAATCCCCTCTAACATTCATGGTGGTTACAATTTAATGACCAACACAGTGAGTCAATGTATTGTGCTGCCATTAATATACTTGTTTGCACTCCGAATACAAAAATAAATTGGTCGTTCATTTCACGGCTGTCTGTGGTACATTGCTGTGCTCAATTGGGCCGTTGCGTTCATCAATAAATGCAAATTATTGGTGAATTTCTACATATGGTAACATGCTTTTTCTGTGCAGTCTTAAGGATTTTATAGTGAGTGATGACGTGTTGCTGGATGGTTCAGATGGAGCTGATAGTGGGAATGATGGAAAGAAGCACAATACTGCCTGCCGTGAGTAATCTGGAGAAACTGAGGGGAGAAAGATATTTATTAGTTAAAAAACAGCCCTCTGATATTTGAAATATCGAGTCTCAGAAAGTATTACTGATTTCCTAGAACTAACCATTTCATGCAGGGAGTTGTGGATGTTCTGTGGTTGTGGGTGAATTATTGTCTTGAATCATCAGTCTGTGAAAAGAGAAAGGAATCCTGCTACAAACACAATGAAGGGAGATCAGAGGTCAAAACTGCTCACAACTCTTCAAATAATTTTCCTCTTTGAAATAACAACGAAAATACCTGAATTCTTCAGTAGCGTGCTGTGCACCTGTGAACTCAGGTTTTCAGTAGTCTTACTAAATGTTTTTCAGATATTTTATGGGACAGAATTGAGATAGAGTGGACTCTTTCGGTTTGTGCTCTGGTGACTCTCAGGATACTTGCTCATTTTTATTCTCTTTTTCTGCCTTTAGAACAACCTGATTGCAGCAAAAAGGGACACAAGTTGACATATAACTTTTCTGTGGAAACTGCCTGCTCGAGCAACCCCTCAGTGGAGAGATTAGAGTTGTCAAATGATAGTGATGATGGTTTTATCGCAAGCACATGGAGAGACCAGGTGCTGGAAAAGAGGCTGCGTAAGAAGGGTGATGAGAAGCAGTGTGCTCATGATCAGCCCAAGTCAGGGTCAATTTCTTTTGCGGTGTCAGAAGACTCCTACAGTTCTAGCAAGTGGAACGCAGAAGATACTCGGCAGCCGAGACCGTTGGTTGATACTGCTGATTCCTCAAGCGATGAGTTTGAGTCACTATTGGAAAGAATAAAAAATAAAATCAAAATTACATCAACTCCGGCTTCAATTTTGAGCCACTCCAGCATAAAGAAAACCACTTCCACTGGTAGGCATCAACATTCAGGGTGTCAGTAGCCGGCTGTGCCAGCTTTTCTCCATTTGACTTCTAATTGGTTTAAGATTATATCAACCTTTATCTCTAATATTCTTACTGCTCAAGAACTTATCTACATCTATGGCCTTCTGTAGCACTGCATTGTTTTTGTGATCTTTTGTGTGAATATATATTTTCTGTAATGATTTCTAACTGATTTAAGATTATATCTATCTTTATAAATTTCCCTACTGGAAGGAAGAATAATGTTTGTTAATAGCTGGATCACAACCAATTTAACCAGCTTCAGACGCTCTCTGGAACTCCACCCTGGAGTCCCTCCACCCGTTTCTCCCTCCCCATTTTTAAAGGCTTTAAGACGTGTCTCTGACTGAGCTTTTGGTCATTTTTCTCTTCTTGTCCCCTCCCCCCATCTCAGGTGCACAGCAAAGTGCTTTGAAATATTCTCTTGACTTGAAAGGTACTACATTGAATGCAAATTGTATTGTACTCTTTATTCTATTATGCAAGTGTGACTATATAAATGAAAGTAGTCATCCATTTTCAAATTGTTATTTTTCTAAATAGCGCCAGTGGAAAGGAAACCCTCTAATAAAATATTGGGAGTCTTGCAAAGGCCTAGAGGCAGAAAGAACTCTTCTCCAAATTCCATCCAGCTATCTGTACCAATAAGAGAAGTTCTGTCTGAGCTCACTCCAAGCCAAGTTGCAGGGCCTAAACTTCCAAGTCTCTCGGATCCACGAGGCCAACATGAAGTGTACAATCAGTAAGTATTGCTGTGCATAGTAACATAGAAATCTACAATGTAGAAAGAGCCCATTCGGACCATCGACTCCGCACTGGCTCACAGAGCTGTTTTTGTGGCTATTATAACTATGCCCCCTAGTCACTGACACAATAAATACATAAATGTTTTGGCAATTTGTGGAATTAGTTTTGTTGGAAATCTTTTACTGTGAATAGAATCTGTCTTCTATTTTTTAACCTGCTGTACAGATTTCCCACATGCCATATTCCTGGCTGTTTCCTTCAAGACCTGACTCTGAGCTCATCAAAGTATGTAAAGAAATTTAAACAAAATCAGGAAGAGCTGATCCAAAAACTCTACACTTTATACAACTGGAGCGTTTTTGAGCAGAAGGTAAAACCTGACCTGAATCATAATAATAATAATAATAATAATAATAATCCTTGCATTTGATATAGCGCTTTTCACGTCGGGAGGACGTCCCAAAGCGCTTCACAGAACATACTGTAAAGTGAATTGACTGTATATTTGTGGGCGAACGCGGCAGCCAATTGCGCACAGCAATGTCCCACAAACAGTCGTAGATTGTAAATGACCAATTTATTATTGTTTTTGGTTTTGGAGGGATTATTATTAGGCTCTGTGTGGAGTAAGGAAACTTGCCCAAGGTTTCGCCCTCTGCCTGGAATTGAACTCCGGTCTCTCACTTGCAAAGCGAGTGCTCTAACCACTGAGCTACAGGACTCCATAAGGTGGACAAGAACCATTGAAAACTGTTGGCAGGAAATGATTGGCTGTCTTGTGTGATCCACAGCTTCCAGAGAAGATGGAGATAAATTGGAATAAGAAAATGCGGAAAACAGCTGGTTATTGTGTTACTGGACAGAAACGAGAGAATGGTCTTCATCGCTATGCTAGAGTTGAGTTGTCAGAGAAAGTGTGCGATTCTGCTGGTGAGAACATAATCCACCTGTGTCAGTTCATTAACGGTATTGAAGTGGCTCTTATTTGTAACCCTTGATTAACCCAGTCATGGCCACTCAGGCACTCAAGTTCTGTTCATAAAGGGGAAGGGAGAGAGCAGAAATTGACCCAACTGTCCAGCGCCTTGGGACCTCCTCCCAACGTGAAAGGTGCTCTATAAATGAAATCTTGTTGTTATGTCAGAGGTGCAATGTGTAGGTTCTTGTATGTGTGGGAAAATCTAATTCTGTGCTATATTATTTTTACTATTTGAATTATGTAGATAAACATTACTCAAGTAGGCAAAGTTGCATTGGATTAAACAGCTTGACTGAATCTAAGTGAACATATCTTTTTACTTTAGAGCGCCTGCGGGACACCTTGATTCACGAGCTGTGCCATGCTGCCACCTGGCTTATTAATGGTGTTCGTGATGGACATGGTCGTTTCTGGCAGTTGTACGCCAAGAAATCTATTGTGGTTCATCCTGAATTACCTATGGTTACACGCTGTCACACCTATAAAATAAACTACAAGTACACATACCAGTGTAGCAAGTGCAAAAACATGTGAGTATACGGAATGGATGAAACATTCCCTTCGAACTATTTTAGTAGTTTTTATTTGCACTATCGTGTTAATGGTGGACTCACCTGGGAACCCTGTATGCTCTACTCTCCATCTGGAGCAACAAGTAGTATTACAATGATCCTAATAATAATAATCCTTGCATTTGATATAATGTCTTATCACGTCATTCAAAGCACTTGAATGAGAACTCCAATGTCCTCCATTTGCCACATCTACCTTGCATTTCTTACCGAGGTTCATGGTTCTGTAGTTTTAGAATTGCAAAATATGCAACAATACCTCTCTACGCTGCCTCTCAAGCAGTTGTACAAGGCACGAGGCAGCACGGAGTGACAGGATGAGAGGTGAAGAAGTCAAAATGGATCATGGCCTGGATTAAATCATCCCCTCAGCCAGATGTGGCCCACAGTTCGCCAGTTGGACCATCCTGATATTTCAAAGCAAGTCGGTTATCTGCTCATTTGGGATTGGCTTCATTGCAAATAAGCTAATGATGCAGATAATTGCGAACATTTTTCCATCAGGAGTTATATGATCACTGTCATAATGCACTGTGCTGATCACTAGAAAATTACAGAAATATTTGGCGAAAATTGTGGGGAAAATTGACAAGTTTTGTGGAATTGAGAGGCACAGTTTACTGCTAACCTACATTTTTACACTTTATTGATAAAACTGAACATGAAGAAATAACACATCATAAATTGTTGCAACCCCCACCCCCAATTTCTTAATGGTTTCAGCTGTGGGAAGGCCTCCTTGGGAGTTTTATCCTTTCTGTGGATCACTACCAAGCCTCTGCTGGTCAGACACAAGTTCAAACTGTTCCTGAATGCACTCCTCCACCCTTCTTCAGTCTTTTTCATTTTTTTCAAAACACACATACAGTCACCAGCCCGTGCGTGGGCTGAGGTAACATTTTTTCAGTCCCTCAACTGAGATGCTGATTGTTTGGGGGAGGCCAGGAGCGAAACCCCGAGCCTGGGAGAGGAATGAAAGCCGAGTTAAGTATTTTTGTGGAGAATGTTGAATTGCGTGAAAAAAATCCTGACATGTAAGGTGTTATATCAGATGCAAGGATTATTATTATATTTGCTTATTTTTAAAAACTTCAATGCAACAGCATTTCTTTGGGAATTCCAAGTGATATTGTGCAATTGTGATATCTGCTGTTGAGAATTCTGTGTTGTGATTTACTGTGTGAATTTCTTTGCAGGATCGGCCGGCATTCCAAGTCTCTGGACACACAGCGCTTTGCTTGTGCTCTGTGCACAGGGGTTTTAGTGCTCTTGCCTGCTATGAAGAAAGATGGTACACCTGCAAAAAAGGAACTAACTCCATTTGCTAAGTTTGTGAAAGAAAACTATGGTTCAGCCAAGAAGGATCTTGCCCACACAAGGCTCACGCATGCTGAGGTCATGAGGAAACTAAGTGCAGATTTTACTTCAAAAGCCAAAGTTGTTGACTTTTAAATTTGGCCTCAAATTTTATTGTGATGCGAGGAGTTTCCTTTTATTCTCCTGTGTGTGGGATTACAAGACATTAACACAGAAATGTTTTCTATTGATATTCTTGGTGATAATTTGCTGTTCCATTTTTTGTTTAGTTTCTGTGTGATCAAATTTATTAAGTGTTTTGTTGAAACCTAAGTGTCCTTGAGTGCGAGTTATACTGGTTTTGACTTTGTCATTTGAGAATTCACTTTTCAGCGTTCCCCCATATTTCCAGGAACAATATAAATTGTAAACTCTTAATTTTAAATTAGGTGAACAGTGGATTACTTTTCAAATTTCTGTACCTACGAAGGAAATGTTTAATATAAATCATACTCTTCCCTTTACATAACATGTGAGGTGGTTCAGGTGGCCGTGCAGTCATTCAACTTTGTTTCATGCATAACACATAGTGTTATTGCAACCTGAACCACCCACACATTATGTAAAGGGAAGAATATGATTTATATTAAACATTTATGGTGTTGGCCTGGCTCAATTGACAGTACTCTCGCCTTTTCAGTCTAAAGGATAAGAGTTGATGCCCCACATCAAGAATTTGAAATTATGTGACATTACAATACAATTTTGGAGAAGTGTTATAATGTCTCATCTTGTATGTTCTTGTTCCAAGTCCGGCCACGTGAACCTACAAAATAGTCAGCACACTGTACAGTAGATCCTGTGAAGCAATTTGAGAAGTTTTGATGTGATAAGGAATTATATATCCATTGGATATTATAGTTCGGCTTGATCATATTGTTTTACTGGATCCACATTCTGATACTTTTTCTTTTAAAAGAGTTTCTGACCTTTTATTATCGTATTTCGTTTTGTGACCTGGATCAAACCTGTGAATGTTTTTCACTGTTGATTGGTGTGAAGATCAAGACACTTGAAGCTGGGAATAGGGTGTGAAGTCCATCTTTTTTCTGGACGAGATGGTGCCGCGATTATTAGTTTGACACAATCAATATTTACAACAGACTTGAATGCTTTTTGCAGAAGGCGTCAGGGTCAGCGCCGGGGGGTCAGCGCCGGGGGGTCAGGGTCAGGGTCAGCGCCGGGGGGTCAGGGTCAGGGTCAGCGCCGGGGGGTCAGGGTCGGGGTCAGCGCCGGGGGGTCAGCGCCGGGGGGTCGGGGTCAGCGCCGGGGATTCTGGTGATATTTTATTCAGATAAAGGGCTTCAGGGCAGTCGGTGTGAATGAGGCGCAAAACCCGCGGTTCTGGTGGTTTCATTCTCGGCGACACAACTCAATCGTTTACAATCTGATCAAATAAAGTTTGTTTTACTTCAAAAGCAGAGCGGCTGTCACTCACCTCTCGGCTCCTCGCGGCACTGACTGACTCGGAGCCGCGGGTCCGGCGTCGCTCGCGGGAAACAGAACTTTCTGGAACGTTCCCCTGCGGACAGCGCATGCGCAGCGATGAAAAGCCCGCGAGCCGCCGCGCGACGGTCAGTGGCCGCTCAGCATCACATGTGCGTTCGCGCCTTTCACGTGAGAAGCGCGTCCCGAGGCGCTGAATGGTCTGCGCTGATTCCGTGCACCATCGGCAATGGCAAACGTCAGGGGCTGAGGGAGGGGGGAAGGTTACCCACATGTTCAGTAAACCTCAGGGCAAGGCCTGGGCGGGGGTGGGGGGCCTGGGCGGGGGTGTGGGGGGCCTGGGCGGGGTGGGGGGCCTGGGCGGGGTGTTGGCTGGGGGTGGGGGGCCTGGGCGGGGTGGGGGCCTGGGCGGGGTGTTGGCCGGGGGTGGGGGGCCTGGGCGGGGTGTTGGCCGGGGGTGGGGGGCCTGGGCGGGGTGTTGGCCGGGGGTGGGGGGCCTGGGCGGGGTGTTGGCCGGGGGTGGGGGGCCTGGGCGGGGTGTTGGCCGGGGGTGGGGGGCCTGGGCGGGGGTGTTGGGCGATGCTATCATCTTGGATATGAAAAGAGGGGAAACGATGCATCTCAGTTGAATGAGCTGAAGCCGCCTCTGCCTCTCACTTCACACGTCATACGATCAGTCATCAGTGATGTGTTGGCTGAAGATTGAGATTGTTTTCAACAACAACAACAAGATTCCATTTATAGAGCACCTTTCACGTCGGGAGGACGTCCCAAGGCGCTGGACAGTTGGGTCAGGACCCGAGCAGTGGGGGGGAAATGGTCAGGGGGAGGGAAGGGAGGGAGCGAGGAGGGGGGAAATGGTCAGGGTGAGGGGAGGGAAGGGAGGGAGCGAGGAGGCGCTAGAGAGTCGAGAGGGGAGCTGAAGGCACGGTTGAAAAGAACTGATTTTAACTACGTATATTTTAATTTTAGAGCAATGGATGTAACTTTGGCCTTTTCAGAGATAAAAGGTAAGATACCTTCATGTCTGGCTGGTATCAGACACTTGTGCTGCGATTTTGTGAAATTTGCGCTTGCATGGCCTGCAGTTACTCCCCAATCAGTTTGTTTTACTAAGCAGAAAATGCAAATTAATAATAATCATAATACATTTGATATAGCTCCTTTTGCATCAGGAGGATCCTCAAAGTTCTTTACAGAATATACTGTAAAGTACAATAACTAAATCAAAGGAGTTGAGTATAATAATAATAATCCTTGCATTTGATATAGCGCTTTTCACGTCTTCTAGACGTCTCAAAGCGCTTCACAGAATATGTATGCATTCTCTAATCTTAAATTCAAATTTGATAATATATGCATGTTTTAATTGTAAAAATTGAACAGATAAACATGCAGTATCATGTATTTCATACATTTATTAACAGGTTAACATTTTATTATTTACTGTATTCTAAAATGTGTGTACTAATCAATTACTTTTACTTTGGAAGAACTTGCTGAAGAGCTATGGCAAAACAAATCCCCTGGAAATGTAGAGGAAGTGATTGAAAAATTGTTCAATAAAGTTACAACTCTGGATGAAATCGAGGGAAGCAATGCTAAAGACTTTCAGGTATAATATTGCTATTATATGGAGAGAGGGCGGAAAGATGGAATTGAGTCGCAGATCGACCATGGATCTTGGAAAATGGTGGGACAGACTTGATGGCCGAATGGTCTACTCCTGTTCCTAAGTTTGCTCTGGTGTTTTTCTCCACTTTGCCCCACCAGTGTTTTGGAACAGAGATCTGACATGCTGACTGTGACTTGCTACTAGTGAATGCCATGATTCCCCATTAGCAACTCTGAAGATTTAAGGAGATGTGGTCTGTATCACTGTCAGAACAACTGAGTGCTGGCCTGCCTATAACTACCAGCTGAGTTTTGCTATGGTTCTATACCAGGGATGCTGAGAAGAAAAAAAATAGAGATTAAAGAGTTCTGATCTAGCATTGTTTTCTTTTTTAAAGGTTGAGGAATCTGCCATTAATCTGTGGAACTGGGCAGTAACCAAGAGACAAGAATTACAAATTGATGATCAACAGCGAACAAAATGTGAGTAATTACAAATATTTATCAGATCAGAAACCTTATTCAAAATGAAAGGGTAGTCTTAAAAGAGACTATCTTGTGCTATTGGTATCTCATTTTAGTGTAAAAAACACTAACGTATTCAAAATAAATCTGATTCTGCTAACTTTAGGAAAATGGCCCTTGTGTCTGACTGAAGGTTGCTGGAGATTTTTTGTGGTCAGCCAAGTGTCTGACACATATGGATACCCACCACCATGCTTAAGGGTATTCAAACCACTCAAAATTCCACATATGTATCACCTTCACATAAAAATGTCACTATGTTTGGAATTTAATATGTACTCTCCCTGGAGGGACTTATCTTGCTTACCGAATTCTGGAGAGTATTGTTGCAGATTGACAAAAGCTAAAGCTTGGGCTACTGCTCGTGTTTAATCAGCTAACTTACACATGTGCATCGGTGATTCAGTGATAGATTTCTTGCTTGCCACGTGGAAGGCCTGGGTTTGACTCGTGGCTGATGCAAATTATTTAGCATTCCTATGGAGTGTAATCACTGGAGTTGGGCTGAATGGCCTGTTTCCATGCTGTACAGTCGATGTAAATGCACTTAGGTTGTTATTGAAAGCACAGACTGGCAAACTTGCCGATGCTTGTATAGTTAGGACTACCCTACCCTTAGGGTTTTGGTTTTCAGGGTTAGCAGGAGCTGAATGGGAAGATGCTGAGGGGGAAATGGTCAGAGTGAGGGGAGGGAAGGGAGGGAGCGAGGAAGTTTCTCATGGTGACCTGTCCAACATTCCAGTTAAAGTAATAATTGGTTTCATGGCTGTGTGTAGGACGTTATTGTGTTTAGATTGGGAGCCATGTATGCCTGCAAATACTCATTTATAACACTTTACAGTAAATTGTGTGAATTTGCTTTTGGATGATGTGATAAAAATCCTATATTAAAAACAAAGATTAATATTATTTATTTGATGACCCAGAAGTTGGCCATCTTTTAGTGTTTGGTGCATCGAAGCTCTGACAGTGATCGCACCCATTATAACTCTGGATGGGATTTTATGGACTGTACCGTACTTCATCAACTTTTTTCTTTTTGACTTTCAGTACGTCATGTGGCCTGCAAACTGGTCTGTCTGAGCAGCTGCACTAATTTGACTGAGGTGATGCTGCGACGGCAGGTCCTGGTGAGTACAAAGGACTGACTGCATGCTTATTTACGCAGAACCCTTACCAATTAGGGCTCAGTATAGTCCAACAGGACATTCCTGCTTGCTTTAATTCTTTGTAAATTATTTGGCTGCTTTTCCTTTCTATATTAGGGATGTCATAGAATATACTCAGCCTCTCCAAGATACCATTCCCCAGTGGAGAGGTCAGGCCTTCTACCAGTGTTGTTTTTAAGATGGACACTGAGGTGACCCTCTATCTATTCTCTTGTTCCTGAGGGAACTGCACTGTGCAATTCTGATGTTTGTCTCTCTTATTTCTTGGCAGCTCTAATTGGGTACCACTTTTGCCTCACTCCCTCACTTGCCTCCTTCAAGGCTCATCTCAAATCCTTCCTCATTGGTCGTGCTTTCAGCCACCCTCCCACCTCACCTACCCTCTTGATTCCAACCCCCAGCTCGGGTGCAAACCCCTAACTGTCTAGCGCCTTGGGATGTCCTTCTGACGTGAAAGGCACTGTATAAATGTAATATTGCTGTTGTTGAAAAGGGATATATTGTATGCCTGGTTTATACTTTCTTTTTCACATCACTTCAAATCACTTCCCATTGTAGACCTTTTTTAAAAAATTGAATGAGCTATTATTGTTGGAATTTAATAAACTGACCCATGTAAGGAGGTCAGCTACGTGACATGGTGCTGCTGAAGTGGAGTTGATGACTTAGTGCAGGTAGATATGATTTTGTGAATGTGGAGCACACTGACAGCCATGAATACTTTCTGTTTCAGATGGCCACAAAGACAGGACGGAGCTGGCTGGAATGCAGGAATCCATTACTGGCAGATGGTTTTCTGGACTTGGCTGTGACAGTATTTTACATTTATAATTTTATGAATAGTTTATTAATTAACTACAGCTCTTGTTTTTTTCTGATGGAACAGTGATTGTATTTACAATAATGTTCTCAGCTAATGATCTTGTATACTTGCTGGCAAGCAAACAGTACTCTCAATGGCAAACTATGCAGTTTTAGATACTTTTAAACACAGCAATAGGTTTCTGCGAGTGTGAGACATCCGGCTGACCAAAACAAATTCATTTAGATTTGAATCTGCTAATGATTGAAGCCATCATTGGCTGAATCATACTTTCCTAGATGAACAAATATAATGTAATAATAATGTAAAAATGTAGCTCAGTTAATTAGTTAGTGACTAACTGAGTCTTGCTAACTGGGAAACTCCAACAAGGAGGCTGCTAATGTGTTTCTTTTCTCAGAGTTTGGAAATGCTGTATTCAAGGCTAATTGGTAGAAATGATGCTGAATCAGATATAAGTGTACATAAGAGAGATGTGGAAAAGGACCTTCTCAAACTTCATTCCTATCAGGCTGAATCAGTAGGTGCACTATTTCTAGTTCTTGCACTATTTCTAGTTCTTGCACTATTTCTAGTTCTTGCACTATTGCATTTAAGGTACATGGCTGTGCGATGGAATTGTTACAGAATATACAAGTCAGTTCACTTTACAGTATATTGTGTGAAGCACTTTGAGACGTCTAGAAGACGTGAAAAACGCTATATCAAATGCAAGTATTATTATAGAACCAATTCCCAGTACACCGCAAGAAGTGTGTGTTTTATTGGATCATGTGTATGTTTCTGGGTAAAGGGCACACTATAAAGACATCATCATCAGTGGAGGTGATTTGGTACCTAACAAGGTCACCACTTTGAGATTGTGACTCCTGTTGTCTAATCATATATTGCCACTGATTCTGTAGATTGTGACTTGAGTATTTCAGCATTTCCATCTGCGGGGTTTCTAATTAAAGAGAAAAAATTGGGAGAAAAATGGGAAAAAAGACAAAATGCCAATGTATTCTATTTTGATGTCAACATTCTACTATTGATTCTTTCTCTTTGTTATCAGGCTGTAATTCAGAGTAATCATAAGATTGCAGTGGCTTGTATCCAGCGCTGTAAGGATATGTTGCTTAGAACCCCTAAAGAGGTTAGTTACTGTGCCTTGCTTTGTGTATGTATTTGCGTCACAACGACAATACCAAAATTACATTTGTATAGTGCCTTTCACATCGGGAGGACGTCCCAAGGTGCTGGACAGTCACTTGGGAGTCGGGATCGGGGAGGGTAGAGGGCAAGGGGGAAGGACGGTGATCGAAGACACGGTCGAAAAGTAGGATCTTGAGATGGATCTTGAAGGAGGCAAGGGAGGGGGGCTAGTCGGAGGGCCTGCAGGATGGAGTTCCAGAGGGTGGGGGCAGAATGGCTGAAGGCTCGCCCACCAATGGTGGGATGGGCGAGGCATGGGACATGAAGCAGGCCAGAGTCCGCTGAGTGGAGGGTGCGGGCAGGTTGGTAGGAGGTTAGGAGGTCACAGAGGTAAGGGGGAGCAAGGCCATGGAGGACTTTGAGGTGAGGACCAGGATCTTGAATTTTATCCTCTGTGTGATGGGAAGCCAGTGGAATTGGGCGAGGATGGGGGTGATAGGATCACGGAGCCTGGTGCTGGAGAGGTTGCGGCCTGCAAAGTTCCGGATGATCTGCAGCCTATGGAGGGAGGCGTTGGGGAGGCCGACAAGCAGGGAGTTTGCTAGTCAAGCCTAGATGTTATGAATGCGTGTATGAAGGTTTCCGCAGCCTACGTTGTGAGGAACCAGGCGATGTTGCAGAGATGGGGGAAGGCAAAGCGGGTCATGGCTCAGATGTGGGGTAGAAAGGATAGTTGATGGTCAAACAAGACCCCAAGGTTCCGGACTGGCTTAGTAAGGTGGAGTGCATCCTTGGATGGTGATGCTGTCAGCACCTGAGGTGTGGAGGCGCTGACCGGAGCCAATCAGAAGGGGCTCAGTCTTAATGACGTTCAACTGAAGAAAGTTAGCTCTCATCCAGGACTTCCATGTGTAACAGACATTCTGTCAGGACAGCAGTCACCAAGAGGGAGCATATAGATACTGAAGAGGAGGGGACCAAAATAGATCTCGGAGGAACGCCCCACAAGACAGTGCAGGGGCTAGAGGAGAAACCATTTGTGGAGATGAAGTGGAGAAGGTGTGAGAGGTACGATCTGAGCCATTCAAGGACAGAACCATGAAGGTTGAGATGAGAGGAGAGGCGGTGGAGGAGGATAGAGTGGTCAACTGTATCGAAGGCACCAGAGGGGTCACTGAGAAATATGTGGAGTATATGACCTGTGATGATCTGGCAGTGGGTTAGTCTTGATCCAGCAGTGAATAGGAAAGTGCTGACCTGGGCGGACAAAATTGTGAACAATTGCAACACTGGTTGGGATTTCATGAACACAAACTACTGTGTTATAATGAGGCTCGACGAGGAGTTGTTCATAAGGGTGGTTTGAATGAAGAAGGCCCTTTCCAGGATACCCACTCTACTCTCTTACCATCACAACAGTAAGCTGTTCTTTAAAAGGTTTCAGTGTCCTGGCTTCAACCACCCTTCCTGATAACCTGTTTCAACTATTAATTACCTTCTGGATAAAGAAATACATCCCGGTGTTTGTCCTGAAACTGTCCTTGCAACTCCAAACTTATATTTTCCTGGTTGTGTATCCTAAAGTATTATTCTAAATTTACTTTCTCAATTGCATTTGAAATCTTATAAACCTCCCAAAATCCCTTCAAAGACATATTTTTTTCAAGACTGAAGACCCCCCATTTGTACCAAAAGGTGGTCTTGATTACCGCAGTCCTTGCCAGACTGCATTGGCTCCCTGTCCCAGAGAGGATTGATTTCAAGATCCTCACCCTTGTCTTCGAATCCCTCCATTCCTCCGCACCCCCTGATCTCTCTGACCTCTCTCCTCAAAACAGTGCCTGTTGTCTTTGTTCCTCTGGGTCTGGCCTCCTCCTTGTCCCCAGAGTCCTCCGCTCCACCCTCGGCGGCCGTGCCTTCAGCCACTATGCCCCGAGGCTCTGGAACTCCCTTCCTCACTCCCTTCGCCTCGCCCCCTCTCCTCCTATTTTCGGGTCTCTGCTGAAGACCTTTCTTTTTGACGGCGCCTTTGGTCACCTTCCTCCCCCTCCCCCTGACTCGGCCCCGGGATCCGTTACTGTGAAGCTCTGAGACGCCGTACGGCGTGGAGGGTGCTATATAAATCCAAGTTGTTGTTGTCTGCAGTCAATAGCACAATTAGTTCAAACGGTAACTCAATGCATTTTGAGGCAAAGAGGATTGAGAGATATGGTGAGATAAGCATGGTGCATTTTAGATCAATGCGAAGGAGCAAGCTTGTAACCAATGTATTTTTCCTGTTTTAGACAGGTTACTTATCTTTATTGTGCTATAATTTTGGAGTAGAGACCTATCAACAGAAGAAATATGAAGAAAGTGTTTTCTGGCTGAGGTAGGGCTGACTCGTTTTAGAAAGTTTAAGGAATTCACCAAAAGATGTTATCTAAAGAATATTGCATTTAATTGTAGTTTTTTGTAGGTCTTCCTTTTCCAATTTTATTCCTCTCCTGTATATAATGGTAATGATAATATATTATAAATCATACCCAGCATGAGTCCTGTAAGCATGGACTCTTGCTGGGTACTCTTTCATGGTGTCAGTGGCCCTTCACTACTTCACCCTAAAAAGTGATCCTTTAAAGTGAAACCATGTGAAACACACTAACCTCGATGTACAATCGATTGAGTTGTTTGAACAGTACAAAATAAATATTTGGGAAGTAAACTTTTTAAAGGACATGGAGAAAGAGTGGCGAATACAATTCCAATATAATTTAATAAAATGATGGAGCACTTTCAATGGGCCAAATGGTGACTCTTGCCATGTATGTGATGGGTGCTAAGTAAATGCAAGTTATTTTGTTGTTGTGTTTTATCAACAACAGCAACAAGATTACATTTGTATAGCGCCTTTCATATCGGGAGGACTCCCAAGACGCTGGACAGTGTACAGCATTTCAGACCCGAGCAGGGATCAGGGGGGGAGAAGGGAGGGGAGGGGAAGGGAGGGGAAGGGGGGTGCCGATGGCACGGTCGAAGAGGAGGGTCTTGAGGCGGGATTTGAAGAAGGCTAAGGAGGGGGCGAGGCGGAGTGATTGGGGAATGGAATTCCAGAGGTTGGGGGCAGAGTGGCTGAAGGCTCTCCCACCAATGGTGGGGCGGGTGGGTCGGGGGACGTGGAGCAAGCCGCAGCCGGCTGATATCAAGAATATAGAAGGGTCTTCTGAGTGGATGATGTGTTACTGCACTTATCGCTCTGTGTGTTTTGTTATCAGTCAGAGCTATGACATTGGGAAAACCAATAGGAGACATTCCCCAAGCCCAACTGTGCAGGTGAGTGAGGAGTTGATTGTGTGTATGTATATTGTACAGATTTATGGAAATAATACATTGTTTATGCAGTATTGTATAGATATATAGGGACCATACAGCATGTATTTGTCATCTTTTAGATGTGTAGGGACCATATACAGTAGAACCCCATTATAAGGCACGCCCTTATGCTGCGAGAGATTGGATATAAATGGGACTTTTTATAATTGCAGAGCATTGATAAATGGTATCCCCAGAGCTCGATGCTGCAATCACAGCTTTTCACCCTGTATATCCTTAATCTGGATACAGAAGTAGAGGGGGCTAAGATAGGAGATGCTGTAAATGATGAAGAGATAAACATAGAGATCTAATACATATGTGATGAAAGAATAACAGTTGGGAATATGTTCTAAATGGGAAAGCACTAGAGAGGTGAGATCTAAGCCCTTCAACTCCATAGATCATTGATATTTAGTTTGCAAGTACAGTCAGCATTCAGTAACGCAAATGGAATGTCAACCTTTATAATGAGAGGTGTAGAATATAAAAGTAAGGAGCTGCTTCTCCAGTGATATAGAGTGCTGTTTATTTGGAATACAGTGTTATGTTCAGTTTGGGTGCCGAAACTTGGGAAACAGGGTGTCCAGCAAGGTTCACTAGATTAATGTCTAGGTTGAAGGGTTTATCTATGATGAAAGACAATGTAGTCTGGGGCTACATTCTTTGGAACAGAGAAGATTAAGGGGTGATTTTATTGAAGTATCTAAAGTTATGAAAGGAATTGACAGGTTAAAATGTGGGTGTCTTTTTCCTCTGGTAGAGATTCCTTACAAGGGAGCATAACCTTAAATCAGAACAAAGACAGTTAGAACCAAGGTCAGGAAGCATTTCTTCAAACATAGGATTGTGAGGATATGGAATGCTCTGACCCAGAAAGCTGTAAGGGTGGAATTAGTAGAGATGTTTAAAAGAGAGGAAGGCAGATACTTACACAGATAGAGGTGTTAAGGGGTGTGGCAAAAAAGTGATAAACAGGCTGGAGTAAGGAATGGCCTCATTTTTGGGGTTCCTATGTTTCTATAGTATATCATGTAGTAATTGTTTGAAATAGACATTTACAGCACGGAACAAGACAATTTGTCCCATCGAGTCTACACTAATTCTCAGAGCAAGATGTTGATTGAATCCCACTGCCCTGCCTCCTTCAAAGCTTCATATACCTGTTTTCTTTCCTCTTGAAATCTACATGGACTCTGCCTATACGATCTTACTTTACAGCTCGATGCACATCCCAACAACTCTATGAGTGAAAGAATTCCGTCTAAGCTGGCCATTGACTCTTTTTATGACAATCTTATAATTGTGGCCCCTCGTCTGCTTGTGCATTTAATTTTAGAAAATAATATTACATTATAAATTAGACATTTAAAAGTTATATTACTGATATTTATAAGTGCATAGAAAAAAGTTACAAAACTTACCGAAAGGAACAGAATGGGGTTCAACCACGTAACAAGCAGATCAGCGCCAATGTAAAAGAGGTGTGCAGTAAAGAGATATAGGCCAGGTAGGATTTTACAACTGAGATTATTGTGTTTTAGGCAAAGGTTTTACGTTTACTGGCCAATGTCTATCTAGAATGGGACAGTAACCGGTACCAGGAGAAAGCTTTGAGTGCTGTCATCCTAGCTAATGAAGTAAGCCATATTATTTATAAACAATAATTCATATCATCTTGCATTTTACAATGTTGGAGCTATTTCAAAGCATAATTCTTCAAGCTAGGCAAACTATTTCAACTTTATATACATATTATGGTAGCATCTCTTATGAGTAACCCTAATTTTTTTACCATGTCAACAAATTGCTTGACCTGCTAATTAAAATTGATCTTTACATGATAAAATATGCAGTAGGCGCCTGTGGAGAATGTGCATTCTGGGAGATACATAACTCCTCTGCAGCCACAAAAGTGCACCAAGCTCAACAAATGTTTGGTTGGCTTTTGTGATCCTCATACCATATTACTAATATGATACATATAATACAACAACAACAATAACAAAATTACATTTGTAGAGCGCCTTTCACGTCAGGAGAACGTCCCAAGGTGCTGGGCAGACAGAGTTACGACCTGAGCTGAGGATCAGGGTGGGGGAGGGTGGAGGGCAGGGGGGGAAGCAGAGAGATCGAAAGCACAGTCGAAGAGGAGAGTCTTGAGGTGGGTCTTGAAGGTGGCGAGAGGGGGGGAGGGCGAGACGGTGGGACTGCGGGATGGAGTTCCAGAGGGTGGGTGCAGAGTAGCGGAAGGTCTGCCCTCCGATAATGGGGCTAGCAAGGCGGGGGTACATATGATATGGTTACTAGTAGTAAGTAGGAACCCGGTTATTAGTCATTTGAGGGATCGCTTTTCCGGGGATAATAATTAATTCCAATTTTTTTAAAAAAATTAAATTGGTCACTCAATCCGCGACTGTTTGTAGGACACTACTGTGTGGAATTGGCTGCCGAGTTTCGCTCACAAAATATACAGTCAACTCACTTTACAGTGTATTCTGTGAAGGGCTTTGAGACGTCTCAAAGACATGATAAGGTGCTATATCAAATGCAAAGATTGTTGTTATATCGGCTTGGTTTGACTGGCTTCCATTGACCTAAATGCTGTCTCAGCTACATATATAATTGAACATTTCTTGGAACAACATCGACTATTTGATAAGCTGGGAGAGATGATGAGAGACAGGCACGTGGGCTTTGTAATGTAAAGAGGGAGGGGACCCAATGTAAGGACTTCTACAGGCGAAGCAGTAAAGCTGGTGGCTTTTAAAGATTCTACAGTTCTGTAATGCGTGACTTTGTTTGATTTGACAGGAGAATCCCCATCCTGCAGGCTTGTTTTTGAAGATTAAAATTATTTTAAAATGTGTTAGTCCTGATGAGGCTGTTCGTACAGGTAGGAGGCAAAGGATAGACTGGGCCCAACATGATGTGAACCAGGCTGAGCCAGAGTTGTTGAAGCAGTGAACTCAGTGTGAAACAGACTTCCAGTACTGATGGTCAAAAAACAAAAGGTTTCAAAAAGGAACAAAAGGCAAACCCTAATCCTGGAAATTAGAAGGTTTATTAGATAGAAGCACTGAAGGAATGTTTTTGGATGTTGTTTGCGGCTATCTGATACATGCAAAAACCCATCACCGTGGTTAAGAGTCTCCAAACCTGAGAGTTTTCCATATGTATGGTTTCTGTTTTTGTGGGATGTAGTGCATGTGCTTGCTCTCCCAGAAAGGTACACTGTATTTATCTTATTGATGTGATCTTAAATTAGAATTAAAATAGTTAGAAGTGAGACTAGCAGACATTTCTTCACACAGAGTTATGAAAGCGTAGTATGCACTTCCTCAGATGCAGAATCATTGCTTTGGTTAACCTGTGAACATAACATGAGTAGCAATGTTTAAACCAATTTAGGAGAAAAAAACTCACCTTATATTCTGAAGAAATACAATATTTCTGGAATGCTGTAGCTCAGTGGTTAGAGCACTCTCTTGGCAAGCGAGAGACCTGAGTTCAATTCCCGGCGAAACCTTGGGCAAGTTTCCTTACTCCACACAGAGCCTAATAATAATCCCTCCAAAACAAAAAACAATAATAAATTGGTCATTTTCAATCTACGACTGTTTGTGGGACATTGCTGTGCGCAATTGGCTGCCGCGTTCGCCCACAAATATACAGTCAATTCACTTTACAGTGTGTTCTGTGAAGCGCTTTGGGATGTCCTCCCGACGTGAAAAGCGCTATATCAAATGCAAGGATTATTATTATTATTGTTACTTTGGAAGTAAGAAAAATAAAGGATATATGGAAAAGGTGGGAAAATAGAATTTGAAGGTCTGCAAAATACACAGCCAATCTACTTTACAGTATATCATGTGAAAGGCTCTGAGACATCTTGAAGAAGTGATAAGTGGCTGTATCAAATGTCAGGATTATTTATTAATAAACTGGCAAGGTAGGGCTGAATGACCTCCTCCCATTCCTGTGAGTTCTAGGTTACCTAGATGAGCAACTTTTTTTTTAGTTCTTTCAGCATTACAGCAAGTACTTTGAGATATCCTCCTGACTTGAAAGGTGCTATATAAATATAAATTGTATAATATTGTGTTACGATAACATTAATGTTACTATTACCATAATTAATCAACTTAAAACCAGAAGTTGTTTACCTCGAAATTACTATAACTTGAATAACAAAAAAAAATATTTATTCTAGTTTTAATATATTTGTATCATGAATAAAATACTGAAACACTTTATTTACATGGCATTATATCACCATACTATTTTGGAAGCGGGAGAAAATATGGCTCAAATTAAACTAACGATTGACTTGCTCATAGCATGTGTCATTATAGCTTTTAATCTCAAATATTTGTGAACAAGATTTACAAGGTTTGAAAGTGCACTTGATGGTTTCAAATTGTTATCTTCATTTTATTCTTAATTTTCAGCAATTAGTGATCTCCTCGGAAAAGTATCTCTCGATGTCTGTCTTGAGGCTGCAAAACTATTGATGGAACACGGCAGGTCAGTGAAATGTCTTCACAGGGATTTGTGAAGAATGGTTTGTGTTGGATGTAGAATCATCCTGCGCTGCATCATATCTGAAATTAACATGTGAGCAACTTGTTAGGGAGACAATCTTTGACAGTGCATAATTCCATTGCCAACTGGTCACAAGAAGATGGGAGTGTTTAGAACTGGAATAGGATATTTTAAGTGGCCAGTCCCAAAGCAGACTGTATGTAAAAGTATTATTTACTCTAAGTGTTAACTCCATGTACTGAAGCATTGAAAATTGAATCTTCAAGTAATAATAGTAATAATAATAACAATAATAATCCTTGCATTTGATATAGCGCTTTTCATGTCTTCTAGATGTCTAAAGCGCTTCACAGAATAGACTGTAAAGTGAATTGACTGTATATTTGTGGGTGAAACGCGGCAGCCAATTGCGCACAGCAGCGTCCCACAAACAGTCGTGGATTGAAATGACCAATTTATTATTGTTTTGTTTTGGAGGGATTATTATTAGGCTCTGTGTGGAGTAAGGAAACTTGCCCAAGGTTTCGCCCTGACGGGAATTGAACCCAGGTGTCTCACTTGCAAGGCGAGTGCTCTAACCACTGAGCTACAGGACAGATAGTTATCCAAGTGCCATTCTTAGGCAGTGAGTGCTGGCAGGCTACATGGCCGTGATACATGGCCTTTTCCCACCCATCCATACATATGTACTTGGCACCAGGGCACACAGAACCTCCCCATTCTCTGACACTGAGTCTAATTTTTCTGCCAACTCTTTCCCACTGTAGCTGTACACTAACTCAGCAAAAATCATGGATGAAACCTGAACCGTCCACAGGTGGATATAACAATTGCATGACACCAGACCGCAGATTCGCACTCCTTCACTTAGCTCACAATTACCAAAGTAAATTCTTAAAAGGCTGTAAAACAAAAATATTCCTCTGCCTCTATTATTTTTTAAATGCATTGTTACTTTAATTATTAATGTAGTGATTATTTCCTAATTAATTCAATGGCCTTCAACAGGGATGCTCTGTCCTTTGACTTTCTGACAACTCTGTCCAAGCAGTTTGAAACTTCTCATGATATTGGGAAGATCCTTTTAATACACCTGTTGCAGCTGCTGCAGAGTGGCCAGAAGCTTGCTGCCAAGCACAAACTGGAGGATATCATTGAAGGTAGGAAATGTGTTGGCATATCTCAGTGTGGCAATAATTTGGTAGCATGTTTAAGCTACGTGTCTTTTTTTTATTCCGTCTTATCCTGGAGACCACTTCCTTCCATCCTTTCTCTCAGTGGGACAGCAGGAACGTGTAACATGTATTGGTACTTAATAACCTCATTGTCTGCAGGTCATTACGCAGGGAAGAGGATTTCACCTGAGATTCTGATTCAATTTCATATTGTTCTGTGGGGAAGAGCTGCAAAGAATTTTGAGGTAAGGCTTTAAATTCTGAAACTGAAAACTCTGCAAGAAAAAGCCATTTATAAAGTGATTTTCCCTCTTATCGTTCAGAACTCATCACACTCTAGAACCACACATTACTCTAGAACCGATTCTCCGGAACACTGCCTCACTCTAACTTTTGACTCTGAGACATCTGAAAGTGGCATTAATATTTTAAGGTCAACTGGTCACCAGCTACCAAACAGTAACCATATTTGATTTCTGTTTTGCAGGCACAGAACTATGCTGAGGCTCTCCAATGGTACAATTATTCTTTAAGTTTTTATCCTGCTGGACAAATGGACCAGAACTTGGCCAAACTGCAGAGAAATAGGGCATCCTGCTACCTGCACCTAAAACAGCTGGGAAAGGTAATGTTACAATAATGTTTGCTTTGAATAGAGATGAGAAAATTATACATATCACCACATATACAGCTGGGAAAGGCACTTCATGTCAGTGCCACAGAAATTGGTCAGAATTGCAGGGGTTTAAATTCACAGGTAGAGATATAGGGTGATTTGGAAGTACACCCCATGCCTATGGGTGTTGTCACTAATAGGGAGCACACAGATGGTGAAGAGGAGTGTACTTAGGATAGAGCCCTGAGGAATGCCACACTTTACAAGGATGGGACATGAGCCATTAGAAGAGTTATATTAAAGTTCCTGGATGAGATAAGACTGAAACCAGAGGACAGAGGCATGAAGTTGCAGCAGGGAGGAGAGACAGTGGAAAAGGATGGAGTGGTCAATGATGTTGAGGAGAACAAGGAGGCGATGGGAGTCCTGGTTGAGATAACGTTGTTAATGACTTTGACCAGGGCAGTGTCGGTGATGTGAGCAGGGTAGAAGCTGGATTGAAGGGGCTCAGAGAGAGTGGTGGAAGACGAAGGAGTCAAAGTTGGAGGTGATGATTTGGTCCAGCACCTTAAAGGACGGACACATTGAAAATGGTTCAGGAGCCAGAGAGCACGGAAGGTCCAGTGAAGGTTTCTTGAGTGGGAGGTTGATGATACCAAAGGTAGGGGAGTGGATTAAGAAGGGTGGAAGCTCATATGCATTATGTACAGTTGCACAGACTGGTTGGATCGAATGGCCTGTTTTGGTGCAGTACAGTAATTCTATATTGGTTAATGAGACTTTTCCAAACTTTGTATCTAGGCTAAAGAGTCTGTAAAAGAAGCAGAGCGATGTGATTCAGACAGCATCTTCACCCAGTTCAGTGTTTACAAGATTGCCATTTTGGAAAATGACATTGAAAAAGGTAGATGCTAAATACAAGTAGATTAACTTGTGGGTTAAAGGATCTATAGGAATCCAAGTCTACATTTCACATACAACAACTACTTGCATGTATATAGTGCGCTTCACGTAGGATAATGTTTTGGAGCACTTTACAATGGCAGAGATTGATGACGAGCTCAAAGGAAGGAGAGAGCTAAACAGATTTATTCACAGAGTTAGGTTCTGTGTCCGTGGGCGCATAGCAATATTTTTGTGTTTCCAGAAACAAACTGTCAGAATCATTTAGAATCCTATGTTTTAAATTGTGTAACTGTATTACTTAATTTCACTATATTTTAATTACAATACACTTTAAATGTAAAAATTCATACATATTTAAAACATAATACAACCAGAAATGTATGTCTTTCTGTATCTATGTGTGTCTCTGTGTTTGTGTCTGTGTGTGTGTGTGTGTGTGAATGTTTATGCGTGTTTCTGTATCTGTCTATCTGCGTATGTTTCTGTATCTCTCTTTGTTTCTCTGTATCTCTCTCTCTCTCGCTGAAAGCGGGGTCTCTTTGGAGCTGAACTGGCTCCAAGGTGACAATGAAATGTCGGAATCGAGACAGCCCTCTGGCTGTGTCGGTAGTCCACAGTATTCCAGGGCACTCACTCTAATAGCAGCCCAGCCTGGCTCGTTAGCAGGACCTACCAGGGCCGACCAGTCACTGGTGGCAGGGAATCCTCCCACTTAGCTCCTGTTAACCCGGTAAGCCAAAACCCTAACAGATAGCGTGGGCGCAGCTGGACAAGCAGGAAAGCCTAGACTATGAACTCAAAAGTCCTTACAGGGGCCTTTAACTTCTGACTCAGAGGCAAGCATTCTACTTACTGAGCCAGACTGATGCATCTTAGTCCTCATCAGGAGGAATATTGACATCACTATTTCATTGTGTAAGGATAGAGATGTGGGCGAGTTTGAATATGTAAAGGATGTACTTTCATGCTTTGCAGCTGTGCAAGCGGTGATAGCTATGGGTCAGCTTGCAGAGAGGCCTGTGCAGTGTGTGAATAAGGTCCTAGTGGGTCATGTCTCTGCCACCGATTTCCTGAGCCTGGCAGCACAGATTGCTTTAGAGGTAAAGTGCAGAATATACATTCATCATTACTATCGTATTACATTGTTTCCTTCCTTATTATCGCCAGAAGCTTACAAATTGTGTGAGGGTCAAGTGGGAAAATGTGAGCCAACAGCTGGCATTGATGCAGCCATTGCAGAAGAACAAAGGCTCACCTACATCTATCTGTACCTGTGTTTGTAGAGACCAACTTTTGTGATGTTTCTCTAATGTTCAGGTAAATTGAGATGTTGAAGACTGGGACAGTGGAGACCTCCATTTCTATTCAAACTCCCCAATGTTTTGTGTGTCAGTGGGTCTAGGGAGTTTCATATATGAGCTGACAAGTTCTGTGTTTTATTACACTTTTAACACATTGTAATGTTGAAAAGATACTCAAAACAACAGAAATATTTTAGTATTAACCCTGGTGAAATATTTCCACTATATATATTTTAGAATAACCAGGAGGAGGCCGCCAGAAAAGCATTTGAATATTTGTGTCAGCATTCCCAATATTGTAACCAAGTCTTTACAGCTCTCAGGTAAGATGCCTCGGGTGTTGAGGTGCGCTATATGCATGTTATTGAAGACAGATATTCTGTCAACCGAAATCTGAAGGATTTATAACACAGTATTTGAGATCCATAAAATTGCAACCCACATTATAATAAGGTGCCATGTGATGTTGCTAGCATCATAATAACCTGGAAGTTGGCCTTTATATTAAGCTAAAATGTTAGAGATGTGACCCCCAGCACCTTGTTCTTATACTGTATATGTGTCTGTGACCTAACCCATAGCAATCATTGTTTGCACAGCTGCAAGGCAAGAAAATATATCCTTACCTATTCGAACTCCCCAATGTCTCTATCCTTACACAATGAGTCAGAAAGTTGTGGTTTCAAGCCCCACGTCGGGACTTGGAATCATATAGTTTAAGCTACACTCCAATGCAGCGCTGGGAGTGTCCTTCGGATGAGATGTCAAAATCAAGGTCCATCTGCCTGTTTGCTATAGGCGAATAGGTGGCTTGACCTATAAGAGAAGGGAGTTTCTCCCAGTGTGCTGGCCAAAAATCCCTCAAATAAAATTGGTCACTCACTGCGTGGGTTTTTGTGGGGCATTGCTGTGTACAAGTTAGCTGCCGTGTCGGCCGCAAAAAAATACAGTCAATCCACTTTACTGTATATCCAGCAAAGTGCTTTGAGATGTCTCGATGACATGATAAGGCACAATATCAAATGCAAGTAGTATTATTTGGGAGGGAGAAGGGATTGCTCTTTCAGACCAACCTAGCACAGATACGATGGGCTTAATGACTTTCTTCTGTGCTGTAAATTTCCATGGTTCTATGACAGTGAAGGTGTATCTTGAAATTGTTGAACTGTTTGTTTGCAAGTATTACAGTGTAACTACAAGTTTATCACCTGATTTATCCTAAACAGATGTTTGATTCGCCTTGTGCCCTCTGTTACAGACAACGATGATAAAGAAATCAGGTAACTTTGGCCGGTTCCACCTGCTGTACTGCACCTCCCTGATCCCCAATGGCCGGGGAGGGGGCAGAGGGAGGGGGAAAGGAGAAGACAATTTCTGATTAATTTAACATCAGTGGCCAGTCACAAATCTCTGTCATCATGTTTAGGGTAATCCTGTGCTGTATTCAGGACAATTTTCTTTTGAAGAATAAGGAAAGTCAAACTGAAAGCAGATAATTTGACTTTTTTCCAATCAAAATGTGTGCTTTTCTTTAGAGTTGACAATCCCTCAGCGAGATAATGTTGTTCTTGAATATATTGAAGAACGCTTGGATTGCAGCATAGGCAGTGATGAGGCCAACTGATCACAAGGTTAAATTAATCAGGTTGATGATTCAGTGGGGCAGCTCCCACAATCCTAGAAGAAGAGCCAAGCTTCCACCTCCAATGTTTTTTTGGGGGGCAGGGGGAGAGAGAAAGATCGGAGACATGGCTGACCTTCAGCTGCAACCTGAGCTAGTGGTTGGAAAAGCCCTTCCTCTCCCTTGGAGCAATCAAGGATTCCCTGCAGAAAAGATTACGAGATTCTTCTGGATGAAGAAGGCCCATCGATCCATCCAATTTCATCCTATCTGTCATCCCCTCATTACTGCATCAAGCTGCTTTTTAAATGAATGGTATAGGTTAGGGAAGAGCTAGTGGTTGATTTAAAGGGTGCTCCCTTTTTTGCCAAAGTGAGTCAGGAGAGAAGCAGCTTTTACGCTTTCAGCACATGTTTAGCTGTAGTTGTTAAATAAAATTTGGTTGAACGTCATATCTGCTCTCAATTACTATTACTCCAATATCCAACAGTCGCTGAACACATATAGGAATAACTAAAATTCTACAAATAGTCAATAATTATTTTAGGAGTAATATGAACTCATTAATGATACCTTTATTGTCTCTTTGGCTCTAAATGCCTTTAACTGTTTGTGGGACATTGCTGTGCGCAATTGGCTGCCGCGTTCGCCCACAAATATACAGTCAATTCACTTTACAATGTGTTCTGTGAAGCGCTTTGGGACGTCCTCCTGACGTGAAAAGCGCTATATCAAATGCAAGGATTATTATTATTATTATTAACTGTTGTTCTTTGCAGATATGAACGACTGGACCGTCTCCTCACTTACTTGAATACTGGTATGTGCAAAATGAGGATTTGGTGTGTACAAAATGAGGATTTTAAGTTCCATATTCTAAAAGGTAGAAAGACTGAACCTCAATAAATATATTTGTAACATGATCACAAAATATAAGCTCAGAAGATACTGTTTTATTTTACTCAGATGGTATTTAATGACTATATTAGAACAGGTCGCCAGAGAGGCCAGAATACTGGATATTAAAAAGCAGCTTGATGCTGTGATTGGAGGTGGTAGAGTGGGTTTTCTAGATGGATAAAATCCGATGAAATCCATCTGATTTTATCCATCCAGAAAACCCACTCTACCACCTCCAATCACAGCATCAAGCTGCTTTTTAATATCCAGTTTTGTGATCTTGTGATTCCATGACCTTTGCCAATGATGCCCATTCCTTTGTGCCATTACTGTGTGAAACCTATAGTTACCGTGTAAAAGGTTTTGTGTTTTTGCAGCTCATAAGAAATTGACTGTGCATCTCACTGGGGAGAACCTGTCTCTGGAATTGAAAAACAGTGAAGCCAATTGGTTTAGGAAGATAGGTAAGGAATGAATAGTCCATACTAAAGCTCCATCACCTCTTTTAAGGTGGAAATTCCACTACTGGAACTCCATCACACAATCCCTTCGCCTCGCTTCCTCCCTTGCCTCCTTCAAGGCCGGTCTCAAGACCCTTCTCTTCGATCGTGCCTTTGGTCTCCCTCCCACCTCTTTGCCTTCCCTCACCCCTACACCACCTCTCCCCCATGCTCGGGCCCCAACATCTGAATGTTCAGCGCTTTGGGATGTTCTCCCGACGTGAAAGGCACTCTATAAATGTTATTTTGTTCTTCTTGTTGTACTCACAAAGTCTGAAACCTGCTCTTCAAAACTTCAAACGAATTCCAGAAAAAGTCCTTGTTACTTTATAACATTGGAACATTAAAATTCTGCCATGAGAGTAGATCATGGGACTCCGCACACTGGATAATAATAATCCTTACATTTGGTACAGTGCCTTATCAAGTCGTCGAGACGTCTCAAAGTGCTTCACAGTATTTACTGTAAAGTTGATTGGCTGTATTTCTTTGTGGGCGGGCGAATATGAGCGCCAGTTTGCACATAGCAATGTCCCACAGAAAGCTTTGGAGTGAGTGACCAATTTTATTTGGGGGATTGTTGCCATGATACTGGGGGATCTTTAATGCCCACCTGAAACATGCATACACATCCTCAGTTTTAACATCTGATCCAAACGATGGCACCTCCGACAATGCAACACCACCTCCAGCACTGCATTGAAGTGTCAGCTTTTGTGAGTTCAAGTCGCGATGTGAGGCTTGAATCCATAATCTGACTCAGAGGACGGAATGCTATCACTGACCTAGGCTGAGCTTGAATAAGTAAACATTGTGGATAATTAGATAGCACACAAAATACAAATTGCCTCAGTACTAACAAAAATATTGTTCCATCAAGAATTATACTGTCACTATAGTGCCACACTGTGTCAGTTATTTTCTCTCTCTATCACTCACCCGCGTTCGCCCACAAATATAGTCAATTCACTTTACAGTGTGTTCTGTGAAGCGCTTTGGGAGGTCCTCCCGACGTGAAAAGCACTATATCAAATGCAAAGATTATTATTATTATTCCTTTCTCACTGACTGACTCTTCCTTTGCCTTTTGTTCCGTCTCTTTCTGTTTTTCCTTTCTCTTTTACAAGTGTGAATGGAGACTGGATTTTCACTGGAAAATAGAATGTTGAGGGGAGACTTGATAGAGGTTCTATTTAAGTTAACATAGGGAGAGGATGGGAGCAATCATCCAGGGAATTGTTAGGATGTGGAATTCCCTGTTGGTCAGCCAGAATCCATTGACTTTTAAGAATGAACTCGATAGATGGCTAAGAATAAATAATTTTCAGGGGTATGGGGAATATTTTTAGTTTGGCTGAGAGTTTGATGTGTAGAAACCCATCACCGTGCTTAAAAGTATCTTAACAGGACTGAAAGTTTCATGTATGTATAAAAATTGTAATAATCCTTGCATTTGATATAGCGCCTTTTATATTAAAAACATTAACCATTAATCAGCTAATTCTCTGCATTTCTTTTTAAGCTTGGAATTCAGCTCTGCAGTGTGAGGACTGTCCGAGTAGAATGAGAGAATTCTTCATGCTTTCCTACCAGGTGCGTTTCTTGCTGTTTTCCTATTTGTTACTAAATGGAGGTGGGATGTTAATTAAGTTTCATTTATAGTAACCATATGTTAAGTTGTATTATACATTGTATAAGACATTCAGCAAATAAAATCAAGAGAGAAGGCCAGTTGCATTCAGCCAGTGGCATATATATCTTATAAGAATTTAATCACATATGCAATAAGAATTCAAAGACAACAGCTTGTATTTATAATGTGTCGTTTATGTAAGAAAACATAATAATAAAATAATAATCCTTGCATTTGGGGTGATAGGAGAGAGGTGACCAAAGGCATAGTTAAGAAGCTAGATTTGTTGATGGGTATTGAAAGCCGAGAAGTAGGGATTTAGGGAGAGAATTTCAGGGAGCATGGGAAAATAGCTGAAAGCACCAATATCTCTGAGCGTTTTAACAGTGGGGGAGCTGATTCCAAGCCAGATAGAGTGGGGAGGTGACTGTAATTGATTTGTGATTTAGGTCACAGAGTAAGCTCTTCCAAGTGTGATCTAAAGATGAACAATGAGGTGACGGGGTGGAGACTTTGAGGCAGAATGTTCCAGTCTCTGGCTTAGGGCAGAGGTGGGTTAGTCGACATTTGGTTGGGGTGGTGGATATTCATACGGATGATAATGGTTGTGAGGGACAAGGGAGAAATGGGGGCAAAGAGTGTAGGGTGGGGGGCAGTAGCAATTGTGGGGGTGTAGAAGACATAGGGGGAAGACTGGGGCACAGTGGGGGAGGATTCAGCCAAGTGGATGTTGTCTATTTTAGATACAATGATGTTCAGGAACTTTTCACACTTGCCGTTGGAGGTGAGGATCAAGGAAGCTTGAAGGGATGCTCAGGTGAGCTGATGTACGGTGAGAACAGGAGTTTGGGATTATTTTTGTCCTAAAGGAAAGATGAGGGTTGAACAAAATGCTGATATTGCACTCTGGTTCTGTGAGCTGACGTGAGCAGCTGGGGGGAGGTTTTAATTCATCCTAAATAAGAAGTCTAGTTCTTTTTGCTTTTAATCTGCTTTTCTCCTATCCAATCTCTTCACCTCATCACATCTCACTGAGATAACTGGCTTCCAGCTGCCGCAAACATGACCTGCTCTTCATGTGTTGGACAGTGAATGACAGTGCAGTTGTCACAGCTAAGCTGAGAGCGGAGCTGGACTCAATCTGACCAGATCTTCAGCCAAACACCTTTGTCCTTCAACTAGCATCTCCGGTATTGTGGCCCAGGGCTAGAGGTGTGAACGTGGTTGTCTTCAATAACTCTTCTAATGAAATCATGTCTTCAGCTCTCACAGATGCACCCAGTTGACAAAGGTGTTCTGATTGGACAGAAGACTTGCTTACTAATGGCAGCAGCAGCCAGTCTTGAGATGGGTCGAAAAGCACCAAATACGTCTGAGCAGGTAGGTCAGCTCCAACTAGCTACGGTGAATCAAAAGCAAGTAATTACCAGTGAGTTTGTGTCAGGTAAATACAGTGAACTGATTATAAAACTGGCTTATATCACCAAACTGTCAATATCAATATCTCAGCCACTTCCCATTGCAAAGTGAATCTCATCACTCCGCTTATAACATTGAAGTCACATTCTACACATCCCCTTAAGTAAAATATTGGATATATCATCGAAGCAAACGTACCTGTTACCGTGGAAAAATGTCTCTGAGCCACTCAGCCTGCTGCACTGGGTCCCCGAAGTTAACTAATTATTCAATATCAACCAATTACTAGTGAATTAGTATTGACTAAGTACTGTTGAGTTTGTGACAGTGGTTTCCTTCAAGTTAGCAATTTCCAGCCAGAGGGATTAATAACTGCATTATAAGCGCATTTCTCTGGAATGCTCCCTGTAGGCACCACACTGGCTTGCACTGACTGAGGTAAACCTCCACAATGCTTTATTCACCTAAAGTCAATAAACCAGAAATATTTATGCTGGACTTGGTTTCATGTAACAAAATGATCATTTTACACTTTTAGATTGAGCGTCTCACTCAGGCACAGGAGCACATTGAGGTTTGTTGGGAAGTTTGGAGGACACTGAAATCCACAGCAGCAGGTCAGTGGTTACAGTAGCCTGAAGTAAATATCCTGGGATATGTTATGTCAGACAGTGAATACGCGTGTAAGTGTTTGGGATACAAGGCTGAGGAATTGAGGGCTGGGCTGCTGGAAGCCCAGACTTGCCAGCAATTCCAGTAATTCTGTTACTTCCCGACCCCCTGCTCACTCAGGTCCTAATCCCTAATCCCTGACAGTTCAGCTCCATGGGACGTTCTCCCAACGTGAAAGACGCTTTACAAATGTAATTTTGTATTGTATTTGTATTGTACATGTCTTTCAAACTCTGGAAACACCTGAAAAGTATTTAAAGACCTAGAGAGGGGGTGAGACTGAGGTGTAAAAGGAAGGATTTCCAGAGGTTGGGAGTGTAGCAGCTGAAGGCTTGGCTGTTGATGAAAGAGTGACGGGGGGCAGGACAGAACATAAGTCTTGTGAGGAGTTTGTGGGGCAAAACATAGCTTTGTATAATATCGTGGAATGTCATTAAGCACAGAGGAAATCCACCTACACCTGCAGTTGATGATTCTTGCATTTGATATAGTGCCTTATCACTTCTTTGAGACATCTCAAAGTGCTTTACAGAATATACTGTAAAGTGAATTACCTGTATATTTTTGTGGGCGAAACAAGGCAACCAATTGCACACAGCAGTGTCCTACAAACAGTCGTGGATTGAAGTGACCAATTTATTATTTTTTTAAGTAATTATTACCCCCAGAAAAGCGATCCACCAATCACTAACAACCAGTTCCTACTTAATGCTGGGTAAACAGAGGAGTGTGGTTTAAAGAACCTTGCCCAACAATTTGCCCTGCCGGGAAGCAAACCCAGGTCTCCTTCTAGCGAGGGGAGTGCTCTAACCACTGAGCTACAGGACTCCAGTTACCATTTCACTAAGGTTTTCAATGTAATGTTTCATGAATCCCTCATGAAGAAGATATGGAATTATGCGGCCAAATCTTAGGTTTTATCAGGATATGTAATCCATCTCCAAAATCCATGTGAAAAGTGTTTCGAAACTCACCAAGCCCTTTCAAAAGAAGGGTACAACAAGAACAACAACTTGCATTTATATAGCACCCTTCATGCATGATAGTGGCACGGAGTGCTGAGGTAAAGATGGAGGACAAAGCAAAGTTGTCCATTGTCATCTACCTCATTTGATGTATTTATCAACGATGTATTAAATTGCACAGAGACAATGGATTTGGAGTGTTTGTTCCTGGCATTTCCGATAGAATTATTGCTCTTTTTATGGTTCATGACGTCTTATAATAATCACTGCTTTATCTTATTAGGTGATATCTCTAAAGACCCCACAGAGACTCTGTTGTTGCTGTATGAGTTTGAAGCCAGGGCGAAGCTGAATGACTCGGATATAGATCACGTGTTGGAGCGAGTTTTGCAGCTTCAACAAATAGAGCCTAAAACACTGGAAACGCTGGCCTGTAAGTGTTCCCTTGTAAGGTCTCATCCTTCAGGTATAAACTGAATGTGATAATGGCTTTAATCTGTCAACTGGACGATCAAATGGCTACAGTCTGGCTACTAGTCAGCGAGTAAGTGAAATGTTTGGCAAGAGTTTTCGAATCTTAAGGAACAAATAGCTACACCTTCAGTATGCAAAGAAAGCCTTCCCTGCTGGTTGATGCTGCCTTTGTGTACAGATGTGAACGACTAAGATGATTCCAGATATCAGGAATTTAAGCTATAAAGGTTAAAGTAGATTTTCCAAAGAAGTCACTTATTTTTGTGTAGATTATAAGGGGAATTTGACAGTGTTAATACGGAGAGATTGTTCACTGATATATGTTCAAAACACTGGGGGAGTAAGAAGGGAGTCTAGGTGAAGTGGGCTTCCACAAAGGATAATATGTGGAATAAATTACCAGAGAAGCTCACTGAACCCGACAGGCTAAATGTATCAAAAGGCAACTAGTTGCCAAGCATGTCATCTTGGAGCCAGGTCAGCTCCAAAGACACCCTGCTTACATACCCCCCATGTGAGGTTGAGGATATGTGAGAGCAAGTAGTCCCATCTACTGTATAATAGTCTTTTATCTTCTTACACACGAAAGCTTTATCCATGGAAGCTCCTGCTCACTACCCGTCAGTCTGCAGGAAGGCCCTGAAGATTGCACTGTCCCTTCAAAAGAAGCAGCCTGATGTTGATGTAACACGGTGCAGGTCAGTAACCACTGAAGCAATATTGATGCTGCATTTGTATTGCCTTTTCATACTGCAGTTGGAATAAGTATCTTTATTTTCTTTCATAGCAAATGTCTGCACAGCCTTATCCAGCTATCACTGCCCACTGGAGTGTCTGACATTGAATCTCAGATCTTGGAGGAAGTGTGGTCTTACTGTGAGGAAGCACTGATCATTATAGATAGCACGGTGGGTAAAAGAAGAAATGAGAATAATAATAATAATAATCCTTGCACTTGATATAGCACTTTTCACATCTTCTTGACATCTCAAAGCACTTCACAGAATAGACTGTAAGGTGAATTGACTGTGTATTTGTGGGCGACACGCGACGCCAATTGCACACAGCAGTGTCCCACAAACAGCCGTGGATTGAAATGACCAATTTATTATTGTTTTGTTTTGGAGGGATTAATATCAGACGTGTGGAGTAAGGAAACTTGCCCAAGGTTTCGCCCTCTGTCTGGAATTGAACTCAGGTCTCTCGCTTGCAAAGCGAGTGCTCTAACCACTGAGCTACAGGACTCCAAAAGGAGAGAGGGTGAAGGGAATGTATGCAGCTTTTGGCCGTGTGCATGTACACATAAACCATTAAGCCATTTTTAACATCTATTTTCACCTAAATTACTATATCTTTTTGAACCCTGTTTGTAGTTTCTTGTCAAATTGTCCTGTAACAAGTTGAAAGACCTTTGCCTCAGAATGACTTGCAGTTAGTGTGTCTGTCTCCGCAGGCAGGTTGCTGTTCCTTTGATATTAGATAGGTCTCTTGTATCATGGCAACCTCACGTCCCACAATCTACTCTTTCCCTTTAGATTAGACTTTAATGCAGTTATTATGTTCAATTATACACTATAATCGTATTCTGGAAAATTGTTATTTTCCTGGCGAATTGTGTTCCATGTAGCAGGAAGAGTATCCAGAGGTGGAAATCCTATGGTTGATGACTCGAGCTTGGAACACTGGTGTTTCTTTGTACAGTTTGGGGAAGTACTCTGAGGCAGAACGTTGGTGTGGACTTGGAATGCGCTTCCTTAAATATCTGGGATCGCTGAAGAACAGCTATGAAGCTCAGGTAAGAAATGTCTCACAGCGGTCCTGAGTCAATGGGGATGTTACACATTTCCTTCCTATTCACTATCTTCTACATTTCACTATTCCAATATAATAATAGAAAAGGGATCTTTAACGCATTTCAAAGTCATGATTCAGCTCCTCTCCGCCTCCTGTTTGGTTCTTTGATCAGAACTAAATATCAAGTGTTGATATAAAACCACAAGAGTTTATAGGCAAGAATATAGCTTTTTAACCTTCATTATTTTTAAGATAATCTGCAATGCGCCATGTGGTGGAAACTTAGATTGGGCAAATCTCAGTGTAATAATCATTGTTCACGTATCACAAGTAAAATAACATTTGAATCTGATTCCATCAAATTTAACCGAGTAATTACAACAACAACTTGGATTTATATAGCGCCCTCCACACCGGACGGGGTCTCAGAGCGCAAATTTCCTACTTCCCCCAATTCTCTGACACAAAAAATAGACTTCAAAATTTCCCCAAATACCTGAGTTATTTTGTGTTTTTTAAAAAAAGATTTTAATGGTCTTAGCTCATTAATGATGACAAATATAAATTGATTCTGTTTATAGATGATGGGACTCTACACAGATGTTTTGGACAGAATGGATAGCGAAAAAAGGGCACTTCCTATTGAAGAGTGAGTGACCCAGGAGCTGGGCGTTGTATCTCTGCAGCTTAGCAACAGTGGCTCACCAGTCAGCATTTATTATAAATTATTCATTTACATCTGTAATTTGAGTCGCCAAATTCACATTGATTTTACTGCCAATTGTGTGGAGGGAATGTCTGAGAAGATCTGAGATTGCTCACAGGTTTAAAAGCTGCAGGTGCAACATGGGCTGATATATGTAACAGATGGTTTGGTTAGAATGGCTCATCATATTTGGCACAACAACTGGGACATTTGCAATTAATTTTTTTTCAAATCATACTGTAAGGAAATGTTTGGAAGTTATTTTAACAAATTTGGGGTCAAAAAATTTTCAGCTGCTTGTTTTCTCACTGCCTTTTTTGACTTGTTTACATAGGCAAATGTTCTGTTCAGCGCTTTGGGACGTCCTCCCGATGTGAAAGGCGCTCTATGAATGTAATTTTGTTGACCTCTGTTGCATTTGCAATATTTGAAATAAAGTCAAACCTTTCATTTAACAAATAACTTTCATGTTGATTTGTAAAAGCATTGTTGCTATTATGTCAGTCTGGCTCTTGCCTTTGAGCCAACAGTTTGCTGGTTTGAGCCCTGTATCCAGGCTCATATTGCAGGAGTGCTGCATTGTCTGAGGTGCTGTACTTTGGATGAGATGTTGATCTGAGGTCCCATGTCCTGGTTTAAGTGGACTTTAAAGATCACTTGGCACTTCTTAAAAAGAGGGCGATACCTGGTGTCGTGGACAAGTTTCTCAAAATAAAATTGTTCATTAATGGCTGTTTGTAGAATATTGTGGGTGTTGGCTCAGCTGCCACAAGAAACCAGTCTCATGGAATGTTACAGAACATTGAGGTGGTGATGTAGATTAATGATCTCAGGATTTCTAAACTACATTTAGATGTAAATAATCACTAACAAGGTTCATGCTACAAATTTTTGTTACATTGATAAACTGAAGGAGAACCACAAAAGGTTCCATTTTTTGTGTTCATGTATTTTAGCCACTTGATGAATACTATTTACCATTTAAGTGTTTTTTCAACCAGTTCTTGGTTTCCTGGTAAATTAAATGGAAGCTGCCACAATCAAACTCAGATTTATTTAAAACAGGTTTTTTTTTAATGTTCAGAGCTGATTTTTTTTTAAATAAACAGGAATAAAATATCAGTTCTCCTCCCAATATTCTAGCACTTGGAATCCCAAACCTGATCCACAGAAAATTGAATCTGAAGTGATGAAGGGCAAGTAACACAAAACATGAAATATCTGTCAGCAGCGGGAATTCCTCTGCAGTTCCAGGTTTGGAGACGATCAGCCCCCAATTATCAGGCTAAGAAAGGCCTTAACGTTTGTTCCTGTGTTGCTGCAGACGTAGGAAACAAATGGCATCAGGGTAAGTCATGTACTGCAGGCAGTATCACAGCTACATCATTGGTATAAAGCTGGTGCTGAAACTCCAGGTAGGAGTTGGGGGGAAGAAGACATAAAACAATTGATACAGCAGCAAGTGACCAACATCCCCAAGCAAATCAAGATTTATTCAGCCACTTTTCCCAATCACTGGTGGAACACGGTAACCACGCACATGGGAACATACCCAAACAGAAGTTGGTAAAGCATATCTGTAGTATTGGATTGTTGTACAGTAAATGCAGGTGTGAGCAGATATGTGCAATGTACTAAATTATTATTGAATTAACTCAAGTACACAATACCAAAGAAGTGAAAACAAATGTTTTGAACAGAGTTGATTGCCAATTTATAATAACAGTAGCTAAGATACAGCTACATCATTGCTACAGGTCTTTGTTGGGCCTTGGTTCTTGTTGGCATACAATAGTGAAAAGCATGAATAAAGAATATGTTCCTATGAGTTTTCTCTCTTGTTATCTCAGTAGCAGATAATCCGTGCTAACAAGGGTCTGGGAGCAGATACCTTCTCAAACCATGACCAGGATGCTTCTCGTAACCAGAGACTGCAGTGACTTTAGCTCCTGACACTCACACATATAAAAGAAGCTGTGATTGAATTGTACAGAATTGATTTTTTTTACCCCCATCACTGTACCCACAATAGTATTTGAGAATCTGGTTCATAGATGCATCGATTGCAGAATATAGCTCTATAAAATATTCCCATCAGTTTGAAGTACTGGATGCTGTGCCCCAAAACATGCATTGAATGAAGACATCAGTTACCATGCCATTTACTTTACATATTCTAGTCACTTAATTTCCGTGTATTTTGAAGCGTTCATTGCTGTGTGTGCTGGGCTGGCTGAAGATTTGCTCCTTAACCCATGTGGTATCTGCCTTTGAACTGAAAACATTTTGAGATTGATGCAAAAATAAGAAAATTATTTGATATGGCGCCTTATCAAGTCTTCGAGAAACTCAAAGCACTTCACAGAATATATTGTGAAATGAATTGACTATTTTGTGGGTGAAACGCGGCAGCCAATTGCACACAGCAATGTCCCACAAACAGCCATGACTTGAGTGAATTTATTATTTTTTAAAGGAATTATTTATTACCCCTGGAAACATGATCCGCCAATCAACTAACAACCAGGTTCCTACTGACTGCTGCTAAACAGAGGCGTGTGGAGTAAGGAAACTTGCCCAATGTTTCGCCCTGCAGTGCAAGTACACAGAAAGTATGAAAACCCAAACAACATGAGGCGGGGAAAGACCACCAACAGTGGATTCAGTAAATCCTAATCTTTGCAGCACAGTTACAAAAATCTGCAAAGAGATACCCAACAGTAAGATAGTGTAAGTATGTAAGTCACCATGTTGTAGGGATCCTTTACTTGTGTACAAATGCTACACCCAAGACTATTTGAAAATAAATGAAACAAAACAAATAAGATTATGAAATTAAAAACATTATAATGGATTGGCAATCTTATTGAAGTCTGAAAGAAACTGCATGGAATTAACATAATCAGTGTGAACGTCTTCACTGTCAACCTGTGTTCCAAACCTAGAGGTCACGCCTTCAAATTGTAGAGAAATCACTACAGGCTGCATTCCTGTGCCTGGATCAGTGTCATCTGGAGTTGTCTTCCAGGTAATCCTGTTTGTGCAAATAGCATCCACTGTTCAAGAGAAATCTAGACAGTTTAAGGAAGAGAGGATTAGAAGCTACAGACTGAACCTTAATTGCTGTGTTTCAATAGGAATGTGCAAGGGAATATTAAATAATGCACACGTTGGTGGAGCCTTAACTCTTCTGGAATTTGCTTGCTCAGAAGTCAGGGACAAAATATTCTCACTATGAACTGCAATGATTAGAGTACCTGAAGAACCTTGTTTTATCCTTCACCTTCAGTACAGCTCTTTTCAACTGGTCTCAACAGCAAAGACCACCAGCCCATTGACTATGTGGCTCTTGGTCTATTAATACATCTGTTGTAATGAATAGATAGCCAGTTCAATTTTAAAAAGTCAATTGACTCAGTATTAATTGCTTTATCTGGAATCTAATCCATAGATCCAATACTTTGACGGCTTGTGAGATATTGTGACACAATATTTATGTTCTGAAAAAACTACAAACAGCACTAAAGGTTACTAACAACAGTGGAATGGCACACTGTAGTTATAATCACCCCTCCCTTTTCTCTCACAATCCCTCAAATGCCAGTGTGGATCGAAACAAATGTAAAATACACAATTGAAACTAACAGTGGGAAAACACCCACAAATCCCATTCCATATCAGAAATATTTACTGTTATTTGGTCAAATACTAAAATTGTTTCATTCTAAGCCCTGAGGATTTAAAATATTTACTTGAAAATCAGAGCTTGAAACACAAGTACCCTGAAATCACGGCTATCAACAGAACCAAACCCAGCCATAATCTGCTGCAGAAGGAAAGTAAATGCAAAATAATATAGGATTAATTGAAAGATTCAGTGCATCTCAGACTGTTCATTATACAAAAGCAGAACTGAAGAAGAGGCTTTGTACCAATTTATTCCAATCAGTCAGGCTGCTCCACTCAGCTGTGTGTTGTGGCACCACATTTGTCAGAGTAACTTTATATAGTGTGATGGAAAATAGTAGCTTTGTCAGTATGAAAAGCCAATGGGAAGTTCACTTGCCAACTATTGGCACAGACACCTTGTGAGGATAGAATTAAATAAAGAACTTTGTCAAAAGGGTTCCATTAATACCGATATGAGCATAATGCTTGATTTTATATTTGATTATGTCATAAAGCACAACAATAATTAATAATAATAAACATAAAACCAGGCTCAGAATTGGGTAACAGGCAATAATAGAGGCAGTTCCCAAGTCCAGCAGTGCCTGGGAGATTGTCCCTGCTGTGTTCCCTGAACTTCCTTTCTCTATTTCACTCCATTTACAGAAACATAACCTATTCTAAACAGTGCCTGGGGAACATACTCTGCCAAAGTACCAACAAAAAACCCTCCACTTTCTCAATGTTTATTTATAATCCTATAAAGAGTGCACACACGCTTACAACCTTGCTGCCTATTTTAAGCATTGGTTGCATATTTTTTTTAAAGATCACTTACATGCTGCAGACCAGCCTTCAACCCCTCTTCTTCAGATAAATCGTTATCTGGTTCAATGGCTAACACGGCACACAGTGAATTTCAAGGTCATCATATAAATCTTACACTTGTCACATTCTGATCAGATCTGAGAAATTTTAACTTCTATCTCCTACAAGGTTCAACCACCAGCTTTGTTCCTCTACCCGGAAACAATATTGTGTGGAAATGGCAAAATGCAGATATCCTGAGAACTGTAAATTAAATCCAATTCTAAAAAGCACAATGATTAATATCAATAAATGAGGGGGAGGGGCTTTTAATAAAACAAAACTTGTAAATTGTCAGTGATGCTACATGTGAATTGTATCAGTCTATGTTTCAGATCTTCTTTCACCCATTTTGCTGCTCCACCTCTCACTTAAATCACATTAAGAACACCAAAGAAAATGTAGCATGTCCATGCAGAGACTGTGTTTTGATGTGTAAAACAATGTACAATTTAATACGCTGGAAATTATCATTCTTTTCTCTGCAGTAACACAATCACGGATTTAAATTCTTATTTTCATTCTCCTCCTGAGATGAAGAATGTTGATTGGATAAAAGCACGATTTGCGTGTAATCACAGAGAAGTAACATGGATTTTCTTCGTACCCATCTGCATTAGGATATTTTAAAAAGATCCTTTTTAAAAGATCGGTACCATCGGAATCCTCCGTAGACATCAATTTTTCTATAAAACCATCTCTTTGTCCAGAACACCAAACTCTCACAGTTGATCTTATGATAATAGAAACGTACAAAGTTATTACCAATCCTGGTCCTGTTCCCTGATGATGTTCTTTACAATAATCTGAGCGTATTTCCATTGTCTTTGATGGAATTCCATAAAAAACCATGCAGTATGGAAACAGCCACAGCAACAGTGAGGATTCAGAACAACATAATTAGAACAATAAAACGCGATATGCAACATATCTTAAAAGGAGCATTTTCCTCAACAATTTCTTCTCATTAAAGTTGGGCAAATTTAGAGTTTTTCAGATGATGGGACCCAGATGTAGGGACCGGACTGTTCTTCAATGACCAGTTTAATTTTGTTGTAGATCTCCTCTAATGAGTCTCCCTGTACAATGGCTGTGGAAAACAGAATTATTAGTAGCGATCCGAGTTCAGATCAGGACAGTAGTACTTAATCCAATGGTTGGTACCCAAATAAAACCTTAAAATAAGTTGATTAAAAACCTGCAAAAAAGAATAGTCACAAGTGGCTAAGACCGCAATGTATCCAATCCACCTCCGTTTGAAGGATAGATGGTCTACCAGGACTGATCTTTGCCCACATTGGGTTAGAGACCAATACTACACTTAAAGATTTCAATTGTTTGCCCCCCTCCCAGGATTCAATTTTTCTATCAGAGTTTGAAACTTGTTTGTCATCTACTTAGCTGCGATATTCTGCCAGTCAGTAAATTTGTACAATGTCTTTACATATAGCAGCAACTGGAATATCCACCCCCGATTCCTGAGTAAAAACTGCTTTTCACAGTTTGCTTTGATCATCTACATTAAGAAATTCTTAATAGAAAAATAATTAAAATTTGAATTTCACTAGGTGCCTCAGTCTACCTAACCTGTGTTATTCTAGGCATTATAGAGTGAACAATACAGAATATGTCTACCTGTGAAAAACTCGGCAAATTCCTGCTCCAATTTCATTGCTTTATCAAAGGTTTTAGCTGCCTGTTCATCAGTTTGTCGTTTATTCATCTCCCTAAAAATAAAAAACAGAAGTCGTTCACAATCTAGATTTACCTCACTCCAAACTGAGTCTAATTCCATTTCGGAATTGATATGGAACTAGCTTGGAATGAGCCCAGAGTCTGGAGCAGTCACTGCAAACTACAATGCAATAATAATGACATATTAAATACATATTTTTACTGAACCCTAACCCAAGTGATGCTCCTCCTACCTTTGGGATACCTGCAGAGTACATCAGGACTCGTCTTAATGTACTCGTCCTGTCCCCCACCCTTTCCTCATTTCTCAGTGGCTCAAGCCCTACCTCTTGGCCAGCGCTTTTGGTCATCTTTCGCCTCCCCATCCACCCCTCAGCTTCCACCCCCAGCTTGGGTGCCAAGCCAGATCTGTTAAGTGCCTTGGGAGGTCCTCCTGACATGAAAAGCGCTATATAAATATAAATTTATATTGTATCTACATCTTCCCTCTTGGCAACACTGTCTGCAGACACAGGATTAACTTCCACATATATATGGATGACACACAAATCTACTTTCCCGCTTGCACTCTTGATTCCACTTGCCTGTCCGACATCATGCCTGGATGAGCTACAATTCTTGCAACTCAATATGGAAGACTGAAAGCCATTCTCGGCTTCCACCGACATCTCACTTCTGAATTGCTTTTCTTCACTTCCGTCCCTAAAACCCTCTTTGTTACCTCTCAACTGTGGTTTTCAAATGTACTTCTTGCTGGTCTCCCCAGCTGAGGCTATCAATAAACTCCAAATTATGGGCATTCTCATCCAACAAAACTCGCCAAGCTCGACTACTTCCCAGCTGATTGATGTCAAGGTCCTCAGGTTTATCTATAAATCTCATAATGCCCAGCATCTCTCGGTCTCTGATCGTCTCTAACTCCTTTACTTGCCGTCTTCCCTTTCGACAGGCTAAATTGAACTTCCTGGGTATCCCTGATCTCTCTCTGCCACAATCAGTCTTCAGGTTCTCTATACCCTCCACCTCACCCCTTTCTATCTGTCTTAATAACCTACTTTTTTGACCGTATCTCTGATCACTTTGCATCCTTAACCCCTCTTTTCTGGATATTCCAGGGGGAATTTCTACCAATGTATTCAGTTAGGCTTGTTAATCTGCTGATAGAAGATACCAGGTTAACAAGAAAAAAACACAAGTAAATAGAATTCCAATATCAGAGGGCATTGCACTTACATAAGAGACTGCACAGATCTGGGTTTGATGAAGATGGCGATTGGGTAGAGCATTGCAAGCTGTAACCTCTTGATGGCGTTACCAGACACATCCAGGATGCAATGCTTTCCCTGGGAGGAAGGAAGCAAGAACCTTAATACTAATCGAAAATAATTATTTGTTTGATCCAGTGCCTTCCCACAATGCAGCAACTCAAAATGTTTTAAACAAAGAGTTACTGTGAAGTGGCATATAGAGGCAAATCCAGTGCTAATTGGCAGCATTTAGAGTGAGGTGGGGGCACAGCCGGGCAAATTGGTGAAAGTGAAGAAAAGCATCTTAGTCAGAGATTGGATGTGAGGGAGAAAGGAGAGCCAAGGTTGTGCACTGGTTCAAGCGTTTGAGGCCTGGGAGGTTAAGGTCAGAACCAGAAGTGGAGACGTTGGCAGCAGTAAGGGAGGATGGCTTCCATCTAGTCCTTTTTAGTTGCAGAAAATTTCAGCTCATCTAGGCTTTGATGTCTGACAAGCAAAGGTGATAGAACATCTGTGGATCTGGATCAAGAATGGAAGTCAACCAGCTTCCTCGTATCAATGGCTTGGTACCACACAATGAGTACAGTGAATCGCCAATCAACAACAGTACTTATTCATCCTTTAGCTTTTCTTTAACCAGATAGATTATTGTTTTTAACTATTACGTAATTACCCTCTCAGCGACAGCCCGAACAGACTGAATGCTGGTGCCATACAAATTATCATTATATTGACCAGCTTCGATAAACTTGTTGTCCTGAATGTCCTTCTCCATCTGCTCCCGAGATGTCACAAAGTGGTAGTCCTGTCCATCAACTTCAACTTCACGTCTCAACCTGGTAGTGTCTGTAACAGAAACAGTGAAACCCACAATCTCTGGCAGTACAAACAGCAGCAAGACTTGCTCACATTCACCAACAAGCATCAGGAAATTGATTGCAGGTGGAATCAATAACGAAAATTAATGACCACATAAAATAACGGAGGGAAGAGAAAGGCTTGCAGAGGGTGGAGATTTCTCTTTTCAGCTGGTGCTTAACATAGGCAGTAACCCTTCCCAAATCAAGCTACTGAGAGTTCCACACATGAATGGTTTAGGCTTGTCTGTGCACACTCTCTTCCCAGGGTGGAGATTTGGTTTCTGGAAGCATCTGTTCTTCAGAATGTTACTAGCTTATATAAGTGAGAGGGAACTTTCTCAGACTTTACTTAATTATGGCTTTGGATTCCAAGCTGAGATCAGATATTACTTACGTGGTACGCAAGAGCCAAACTTGTTGGGGAACTCGGATATTAAATCATCGTTTACTCTGTCCTTCGCTGGTCCCAGAATTATTACAGGACGAGAGTAATGAACTGAAACAGAAGTGAGAGATAAAAGGAACAGAACACATGAGATACACAGTGATCAGAAAGTGTGGCTTCATTCAGATTGGGAGCAGGTATGGGCTACACTTTGCACCTTTTGTCTGCCACATTTTACAGGACAGACTTTATGATCCCGTCGGTGATCGGTGCCATTCAGCAGTTACCACTCAACAGGTGCCATTCAGTTACAAGGTGGTTGAATAAAGTGCATAAAAAGCTGATGATTTTTGCTTCTTCAGGTCAGTAGTAACTACCTTGTTTACTCACCTATCTGCCTCATCACCAGAGGCCAGGAGATGTAGCAATGTCCCCAACCAATAGCAGGTCAGAGGGTCGTAGCTGGACAGGGACATGTAGCCTGCCAACATAAGCTGCACATCCCAAGGCCCCTCTCTTGGCCCCTCTTTATATACCTTTAAGCCTGCGGTCCCCACCCCTTCCTCCCTTGTCTGCCATCAAAGCTCGTCACTATACAATAATCCAGAAACATTATCCTGCGCAAAAGGCGCTATGTAAATGCAAGTCATTGTCATTGTGTGGATGCTGCACAGTTTCTGTTCCCATTACTAAATTCATAAGTAAATTAATACTAATACTGAGCTACACTGTTGTCCAGAGCCAATACATGGCAACATTTAGATTAAGCTACACAATCTGTGTACGAGTGAGACTCAAGCCTTTAACTTACTCTCCTGGCGTGTCACTGCTTCGTATGACAGCACGGTATCCTCCTGACCCTCTGTTAGGTGAAAATGCAAACAGTAAGTGACGGCAAGACCAAAATATCACACAAAAATGCAATAATATTTCACCCACAAATATACGGTCAATTCACTTTACAGTTTATTCTGTGAAGCGCTTTGAGACGTCTAGAAGACGTGAAAAGCTCTGGATCAAATGCAAAGATTGTTATTATTATAATAAAGTGATGGCAAGCTAGAGAAATGCACTACAGCTAGTGAGCCTGAGGCCTGAATGCATACTGCAACAATCAGTGTACTGCAGGAGTGCAGCTGAAGCAATCACTGCACACTGTGCCAATGAGCTCGCAAAGTGCCTGATCCTAGCTCTGTCTTTCAGAAGTGCAAAGCCAATCCCGACTAACTCAGTTGAAAAGTGGTTCATCTTAAAAGTGAAAAGCATGTGATGAGAATATCCATTGCATCACCAATGGGGTAAGTGTAAGGGTCAGAGGTCAGTCATGCTCTCGCCCAGTTACAACGTGAAGGTCAGTGTTATTGATACACGGTTTCGGGGGGGGGGGGTTGCAAGCAAGAAGGAGGCGAGTTACTCACTGGAGCTGCTTTCACTGTCACTGGTGTTGGATGTCATACATTCTGCAAAAGAGAACAAGTACCCAATGGTTCAAGATTAAACCTGAAGTAATCAGGAGCTTCTATTCTGTGTGCACGTTTTCACTACTGCCTTCATTGACCCAAACTACCCCCTTTCAAAATGCCCCCAGTTGCTCCCCACCCATTGCTATTCACACTCAGTTCTTCTCTCCTATCACCCTCCCCACCTTATTTCCCTCCTGGAAGCCTCCCTCTGCTCCAGCCTCGCCATCCTTCTCCACATTCATCGCAGCACTCGTCAATGGTTGTTGCAGAGTAGCCACCCCGACTACCCCAGTAGCCAGTTTCTCCACAAGGTTGCCCCTTCCTCCATCCATATTCTTCTCAATCTCTCCATATTGCCCCTCCTTAACTGTCTTCAAATCACACGTGAAGACCTTTCTCTTCGGCCATGCCTATGTTCACCTCCCCTTGGCTCGGCGTCAAGATCCACCGCTGTTAAGCGATCCAGGACGCTACGCCGTGTGAAGGGCGCTGAATAAACGTAAATTGTTATTGTTCTAACTCTGAACCGTCAGCTGTGGTAGAAAATTATCAAATGTTTGGTGGCCTGGAATCTGAGTCACAGGGGCCAGAATCTCCTCTCCTCCCAAGACAGTGGCTAGATTTCCCCCGCCGAAACCAGGGTTAGTCTCCCCCCCCGAAGAGTTGGACTAGAATTTCTTTCTTCTCTCCCCCCCACCCCCCCTCCAGACTGCAGCCCCACTCTTCTCCCCCGCACACCAAACCAGGGTTGGGCAGAGACCTTTCTGCAGGTCTCTTCTGTAATCATAGGACACATGAGACAATTCCTCATTTTGTGATTCTGAGGTTATGGTGTATTCTGTGGTGCATGAGAACGTGTACATCAATCTGGTTTATTGGAAGAACAAGAATTTGCAGAAATTTCCAAAGGAGAGGACTTTGACCAATAGTATAGCAAAGACTTGAGAATTGCTCAAGTTAGTAATAAAAGAGCAGATACAAGAACAGCAAAGATTTCTGACTTGTACATTCATGAAATGCTGGTCTTACACTTACTCAGACTCTTTGTTCCATAATAGTCGTCATTCAATCCAGGGAACTCCTGGATCCAAGGCAGCAAACAGCAAGAATTTAGAGACAGCAGAGATGAGCGAGAAACAGAGAAGGAAAGGAATGAATTAGCAGCGGAGACTCTCGCACGTTGACAGAGCAGAAGGAAAGCAATCGGAACATCCAGGGATAGCTCTAGGACTCCTAGCAAAAGAATTTCCAACAAGCATTTTTGCCATGGCTGCACTTGAAGCAGGCAATGAGGTCTCAGAGCACATTGTACGCTGTTAATCACAGCTTTATATAAATTGCCACATTGCGAAATTACATTGGCAAAAATAGCTTCTTAAAGGGGAGGGGCCCTTTAGAATCATTTTCTGTGTCAGAAGTCCCCCGTCCCCCACCATCTCATCAGCGGAGAACAGGGTCAAGTATACGGAGGATGCCGAATGAAAAAGACAACTGCCCGGAATTCCATCAGCGAGCCCTGGCCATGCCAATTGCTGTATCCACAAAGGTGATTGGATCAAAAGAGGGTGAGTTAGTTGACCAGTGCACAGTGCTCAGACTCCGTCTCCAACTACTTACGGTCCTGGTAGCTGGCCTGGTCCTGCATAACATTCGCTCTGCTCTTGTAGAAAGGAAACTTGCGCGACAATAGGAAGCTCTTTTTACGCTTGGTTCTGGCTGACTGTGAAGGAGAAGAGGAGGATGGGGCACAAGGGAGGACGAGGGAGCTTGATTTCATGCACATCTTCCTATCAACATGCACATCAACAGTGACGTGTAGCAGAAGCTGAAGCTGTTCACTCCTGATTTATTTCTTAGAAAGTAGATGCTGAGATGTGCTTTCCTTTGCCAGAATCAGAACATCCGCACTTGTGGGGTTTGCTCTCGGACCCTTCCAACACGATACTAATTGACCTGTTCTCAGTTCTCACAATCAACTGTGCGCTCACAATCTCATGCTGTACTTTTAAACAGAGGCTACACCTTGTTATTGTTACACCTCCAACTGAAGGGACACTCATAGGCAGGCAGACCAAAATGATGGATACTATAGTGAAGCTACTTTGTGCAAAAGCTAGTTGTTTATTCAGCCTTATATCCAGAATTAATGTCAAGTTACAATTGTAGACTCTACACGCTATGTAGTTCATCTCTGGAATCTCAGGGGCAAGACTGAGATTAAGATACAGTTCACTGTTTACAAAGCCACATTCAACTCTGGATTCTCTCTCAATCATTAACCACAAGCTCACATTTAGAATGAATGTCTGCAGGCAGGAACGAACAGAAGCTCTGTGGGCCTCAGCTGACCAAGAAAACACAAGCACCAGGCTCCCCCTCACTAATTGCAACACAATTCTCCCACATTGAAACCAATCATCAGATAACCCCAGGATTGATGTAAATTGCATTACTCTAGAAACTAGGAAAATGGCCAGTTGTTGGGTTCCAGATTTCCCAAAACCAGATTCTTCAGTCAGGTCTCCCTGTGTCTCAATAGTCAGGAGATCTGACTCCATAATGAAAAATAGGGAATGGGAGCAACCTGACTCAGTGATTTACTGTGAGTGAACGGGATATCATCATATAAAGCAGGGATTGCGAGCCGATTCTACGCAAGCGTAATGCAGTCCGTATGACCCCCACCTCCAGCATAAAACATCACAATAACATTAAGATTTTAATCAGTTAGATTTTTTTTGCAGGACGTCTAATACTGCAGAGCTGTGTAAAAAACACAGGAGCAATCTCGCTTGTTATCCCAGCCACAGTAAAGTTATTTTTCCACTGTGCAGATCATCCAAAACCTATCCAATGGGAATCACGCAGGTATAGAATGCCAGTTGCTGCAATCTCTGAAAATCCAGAAGCTGTGTAAAGTGACAGATCCTAACTGAGGCTAGAACATAAAGTACGATTACAGTAGAATGTAATGTATGAACAGAAATGCAGTGTTGTAACTGGCGGCTCAGATGCCTGGGCTCTCAGTCAATCACACCTTGGAGCCATGATAAGGTCTGATCTACACCTAACATGGTCTCCTATGGGAATAGAAGAGGAAGATTATTGTGCTGAAAGACTTAAGGAAGAGCCTGTATCCAGGTGCATAAAGCTGCTGCCTGACCTTACACAGGTGGCACGGCTCGCAATACCAGCAATCCTAATCCCGAGGTAAGAGGATTGTGCTCAGTGAGTACGCTGTGAATGCAGCAAAAATGCATCTGCTCCACTTGTTGGGAAAGTGTCACACGTTTTCCAAACAGAATAGGGCAACGTAACTCAGATCTCAAAATCAACCGCAAGTCTTTCCATTAATATTTCTCTCATTCTCTCATCTCAACTGGCAGTTAGCCCAGTGGGACTCCACTCCCACAGGCACCTCCTGTAGATGGGAGCAGAAGCACCCGATCACTGGTGCTCGCTCCAGGCATTGCATGTCCTGCTGCACTTACCCCTTTCATTTCAATCACTCCAGGCCGAGCATGGAATTTCACTGTTTTTAACCTCGCTCGCTCTTTCTTTTCAACTCTGAAAGAGGGAAACATAAAACATCAGAGAAGAGCCTTTCCTGTTTATCTGGCAGTAATTAGTAAACTGGGAGTTAGTGGATTTGCAGATCGCTTTCCAGGGGATAATAATCCCCCCCACCTCCCCCCAAAAATGTGGTCACTCAATCCACGACTGTTTGTGGGACACTACTGTGCGCAATTTGGTGCCACGTTTCTCCCACAGAACCCTCAAAACACTTTACAGTATATATAAAGTGCTCTGGGACACTATATAAATGTAAGTTATTGTTATATTTTGTTATAGCTTTGAGAAGTCTTAATGACATGATAAGGTGCTATATTAAATGCAAGAATTATATTATTATATTGATCCTAGGAACAGACACTTAAGATGAAGTTGAGATGTTTCTGCACAAGCCCAGGCTACAGGGTCCATTACCTTTTCTTGCTGGGGATGACACCGATCTGTTCACTCTCACCGTGAGGAGTCACCAGCCGTGCTTGCCACCATTCGTCATCTGAAGCATTGATGACATGGAGGATGTCACCATATGAGAAGCTCAAACCCTGGCTTGGAAGGCAGCTGTCCTTAGTTCTGTCATAGTCGAAGAGAGCCCTGAAACCCACACACATCTTTGTTAAGAGAAACTTCCAGGAGCCAAAGGATCAATGTCATTGAGTGAGATCTTGTGGAAGCCACATTACCACTGCAGCGTGCAGACACGCCCACAAAAGCAAACTCAACCTTGTGCACACATACCACAAACATGCATGCACACACTTAAAACACACAAATATGCAGACACAATCCCTCTCGCCACCTGCTCATTCCACCACCTCCCTGTTCCCAGATCTGTCGCCACACAATAGGTCTGTTGTAAAGAAAAGTCTCACCGGACATAGAGGGATCGTTTCTCGCTGGTTCTCAGGGAGCCCGAGCCCGAGCTCATGCTGCTGTTCATCATCTGTTCACGAAGGTCATGGATCTTGGACTCAAAGCGGCTGTACTCTGCCAGGAGAGGACAACGATCAGAACTGCTGGCAAGTGTGGCACTGTCAGCACCTGCCCGTTAGCAACCCAATGGGGAAAATGGTGCTCAAGATCCTCACCCTTGTCTTCAAATCCCTCCATTCCTCTGCAACCCCTACCTCTCTGACCTCCTGTCTCCTCACAACAGTACCCGTTGCCTTCGCTCCACCGGGTCTGGCCTGCTCCTTGTCCCCAAAATCCTCTACTCCACCATCGGCGGCCGTGCCTTCAGCCACTATGCCCCGAGACTCTGGAACTGCCTTCCTCACTCCCTTCGTCTCGCCCCCTCTCTTCCTAGTTTCAGGTCGCGGCTGAAGACCTTTCTTTTCGACTGCGCCTTTGGTCACCTTCCTCCCCCTCCCCTAACTTGGCCCCAGGATCCGTTACTGTGAAGCGCTCTGAGACGCCGTCCGGCATGGAGGGCGCTATATAAATCCAAGTTGTTGTTGTTGTGGTGTGTGGGGAAAGTGTGTGTCTGTGTGTGTGGAGGGGAGAGTGTGTGTGTGGAGGGCAGAGTGTGTGTGTGAAGGGGAGAGTGTGTGTGTGTCTGTGCGTGGGGGGGTGTATGTGTGTGGGGGTGTATGTGTGGGGGTGTGGGGGGTGTGTGTGTGTGTGTGTGGGGGTGTGGGGGTGGCGGGGGGGGTGTGTGTGTTTGTTGGGGTGGCGGGGGGGGGGGGTGTGTGTGGGGGGGTGGGTATGTGTGGGGGTGGGGGGGGGTGTATGTGTGTGTGTGTGGGGGTGTATGTGTGGGGGTGGGGGGGGGGGTGGCGGGTGTGTGTGTGTGGGGGGGGTGGGGGTGTGTGTGGGGTGGGGGGGGTGGGGGTGTGTGTGTCTGTGTGTGGGGTGTGGTGTGTGTGCGTGTGGGGTGTGTGCGTGTGGGGGTGTGTGTGTGTGGGGTGTGTGGTGTGGGGTGTGTGGTGTGTGTGTGTGGGGGGGGGGGTGTGTGTGGGGGGTGTGTGTGTGTGTGTGGGGGGGGGGGTGTGTGTGTGGGGGGTGTGTGTGTGTGTGTGTGGGGGGGGGGGGGTGTGTGTGGGGGTGTGTGTGTGTGTGGGGTGTGTGTGTGTGTGTGGGGGGGGGGGTGTGTGTGGGGGGGGTGGTGTGTGTGGGGGGGGGTGTGTGGGGGGGGGTGTGTGGGTGGGGGGGGGTGTGTGTGTGTGGGGGGGGTGGGGGTGTGGGGGGGGTGGGGGTGTGGGGGGGGGTGGGGGGGGGGTGTGTGGGGGGGGGGTGTGTGGGGGGGGTGTGTGGGTGGGGGGTGTGTGGGTGGGTGGGGTGTGTGTGGGGGGGTGGGGGGGCGCTGGTTCTTACCCATTTTCTCACATGTTTTATAACCGTTGTGTCTGTTCTCGGCCCCTCACGGCCCCTCACAGCCCCTCACGGCCCCTCACGGCCCCTCACAGCCCCGGGTCTCGGCCCCTCACAGCCCCTCACGGCCCCTCACAGCCCCTCCGGCCCCTCACGCCCCTCACAGCCCCTCACAGCCCCGGGTCTCGGCCCCTCACAGCCCCTCACAGCCCCTCACAGCCCCGGGTCTCGGCCCCTCACAGCCGCAAACAAAGGCCTGAAGCCCGGAGCCGGAGTAGCAGCAGCTCCGGCCCCGCCCCGCAACCAGTCACTTCCTCCCGCGGCAGCTCACAGCCTGTAAACCCCTGTGCACACCATATACACCCCCTGTACACACATACACAGCCCCTGTACACACCCCCTGTACATACTCCATACCATATACACCCCTGTACACACATATACACCCCCTGTACACATATACACCCCCTGTACACACATATACACCCCCTGTACACACATATACACCCCCTGTACACACATATACACCCCCTGTACACACATATACACCCCCTGTACACACATATACACCCCCTGTACCACATATACACCCCTTACACACATATACACCCCCTGTACACACATATACACCACTATATATCATATGCACTCCCTAATCACACACTATATACCCCTGTACACACACCCCATACCATATGCAGCCTATACACACACTATATATCATATGCACTCCCTATACACACATTATACACCATATGCACTCCCTATACACACACTATATACCATATGCACCCTATACACACACTATATATCATATGCACTCCCTATACACACACTATACACCCTATACACACACTGTATACCATATGCACTCCCTATACACACACTATATACCATATGCACTCCCTATACACACACTATATACCATATGCACTCCCTATACACACACTATATACCATATGCACTCCCTATACAACACTATATACCATATGCACTCCCTTTCCACACACTATATACCATATGCACTCCCTATACACACACTATATACTATATGCACTCCCTATACACACACTGTATACCATATGCACTCCCTATACACACACTATATACCATATGCACTCCCTATACACACACTGTATACCATATGCACTCCCTATACACACACTGTATACCATATGCACTCCCTATACACACACTGTATACCATATGCACTCCCTATACACACACTGTATACCATATGCACTCCCTATACACACACTGTATACCATATGCACCCCCTATGCACACACTGTGTACTATATACACCCGACTCCCTCACCCTGTACACACACAATATACACACCCAAACCCTATACACAGCCTATGTACGCATCCCAACACCTCATACACGCCCTATTCACACACTATACACCCCACAGCATCATAGAATTATACAGCACAGAAGGAGGACATTTGGCCCATTGGTCTGTGCCGGCTCTTTGAAAAGAGTTACCCAAATCAATCCCACTCTCTTCCCATAGCGCTGCAAACTTATCCTCGCCAAATAATCAGCGAGAGATCTGGGTTTGATTCCCGGCGGGGTGGGACCTTGGGCAAGTTTCCTTACTCCACACAGAGCCTAATAATAATCCCTCAAGAAAAAAAGCAATAATAAATTGGTAATTTCAATCCACTATTGTTTGTGGGACATTGCTGTGCGCAATTGGCTGCCGCGTTCGCCCACAAATATACAGTCAATTCACTTTACAGTATATTCTATGAAACGCTTTGAGACGTCTTGAAGACGTGAAAAGCGCTATATCAAATGCAAGGATTATTATTATTGTCTACTTCTCTCTTAAAAGTTGTTATCGAATTGGCTTCCACTTCCCTTTCAGGTATATGCACAATCCAAATCCTAAACACACATTATACACACCCCAAAACCTATCTGATATAATTTTGATACTTAAAATTTACCCAAAATTGATTTACATGTTTATAGTGATTGTATATAAAACTATTAATCAATCTTAAGGCAGAAGTCACCATCCTGAGTGAAAGGCGCTATGTAAATGCAAACTTGTTGTAATGATTGTATGAAGGTGTGGCAACTGGCTATCTTTTTGCCCCTTCCATTCCTGTCCATTTTCACATCCTAACCTTTTACAATTATAACCTTATTGGTTTTTTGTGTCTGTGCAAAATATAAACCTTTGTCTCTTAATCTGTTGCGTTTAATTGGCAACCAACCAGTCAGTAAATTGGTGGTTCATTGCTGCCATCTCAAGGTGGTACATTTACACAACAGGATTTCACACCTGAACCTTTTCCACCCTTAGAAACTGCTGCAAAGTACATTTCCCTTGATTCAGCAATCGTTGTTCAGTATTTTTATAATCATGAGCAGGCATCAGAATCCCACTTATAACCCTTCCTGCACTCCCCCGCCCCACACACACAGCGCCCTCTTGCCAAACCACCCTGGCTATGCTGGAGAGAGACATCAGTCTGACACGAGCAGCCAACAACAGAACATGAACATCAAGTTTCCTCTTCTGAAGCTCACTCAAAGCACAGCCAGCTATCAGCAAAAATCTGGAGATGATTGTGATGCTCTGGGAGGCCTGCACTGGGCCAGTGATTCCCCCCCATCCCACTTCTATGACATGGGGCTGTGATGGGCATGTGATTCCTGTACTGCCCTGCTGGTTGGTGCATTCCTTGAGCATACCCTGCGGAGTAGAAATGGACTGTTGCCAAATGAGATAACTATCTGAGTTGGACTTATCAGACAAAGTCGGAGTACCAGCAATGAGTCAATGGCCGGGTACATGTATAGGTTAGCTCAGATACCCATGAATTTAACACCAAATTAAGTGCCACGGTTAAAAGAAGAAATGGAAGTGGTGAACATCTGAATGACGAGCTTTTCACCAAAGTATCAACTCTACAGTCTCAATGTTTTCTGCAATTCATTCTCATTTATTGTACAAAGGTTACTTGGCACAAGATTTACTCTGTTGGCACACGGTGTTAATGTGTGTGCTATCTTACCTTCTGGCCTGTATTGTGCAATGATGCTCACGGTCTGACCAGCTCTCTTGAGTGCTGCTGCTGCCTGCTCATGTGTAGCACTCCGAAGATTTACACCATTTACCTACACAAACACAGATAATCTTTAAACCACTGAACACACAGAATGAAGTCCCATGCCAGGCTGCACACTGTGGACCAGAAGGTGGCCTATCGAGTGAGGCTGACAACCTCATGGAGATACAAGACTCCACTTCTAAGCATCACATCTTTAGGTCATACAGAACCTACAATTCAACAACAACTTGCATTTATATAATGTCTTAATTTGTGTGGCGAGTAACCAACGGCTCTAGTGGATGGGCTGAAATGGCCTGTTTTTGAACTGTACTTTCTATGAATCCACCCACACAGGGTAATGTCTTGGCGAGCTGTACAGAAGCGCGTCAGATGCTAAGCAGGGGGAGGCGGGGGCATAAACATGGTCAAACAGGTTAGTTTTAAGGCAGGATTTAAAGAAAGCTAGAGAGAGGGTGAGACGGTGGGAGTTCTAGAGGTCAGGGGCCTTGTAGCTGAAGACTGGGTCATTGATGGAGGCACAGATGGAGCAGGACAGAGTATGTTGTTTGTTACATCAGCTGCTGTTGTGTCTCCTGATGAATTACTCACAGACAGAATGCGATCTCCTCTTCGTAGTTCTCCACTCAGGTCTGCCGGTCCACCAGCCAGGATAAATGAGACAAAAATGCCTTCTCCATCCTCCCCACCAACGATGTTGAAGCCCAAGCCAGTAGAGCCCTTGTGCAGAATGATCTTTCTTGGCTCTCTGTAATAATAATAATCCTTACATTTGGTATAGCACCTTTACGTCGGTTGTGCATCCCAAAGAGCTTTACACGATATACTGTATAGTGTAGTGACTGTTTTGTGGGCAAACACTGCAACTAATTAGCACACAGCAATATCCCACAAGCCATGAAGTGAATGATTTTTTTTAATAACACTAATACTCAGTTATATAAATGCAAGTTGTTGTTGTAGTAATAATCCTTGCATTTGATAAGCATCTATAACACGGAAACCTCTCAAAGCATTTCACAGGGAATTGCTTTCCAGTGTAATGCCTGTATTTGTAGGTAAGCATGACACAAATTTGGCCATGTTTGTGCACAAACACCTGTGAAGTACAACCAATTTATCAACAGGATTATTGGCCATGACATTATTTTCAAACAGTGTGTGTACAAACACTGGGAGTTTTATGTCCATCTGAACAAGCAGACAGCAGCTCAGTTTATCACCTCACCTGAAGGTCCCAATGCAAGTCAAGTTTGCAGCATACAAGACCTGTGTGCAAACAGTTCTCCTTTATGGATCTGAGCTCCTGGGGATCCAGCAGAGAGACTTGCTCTGGCCCATTTTCAAAGTCCAGGATCAAGCAGTGATGTGGATTAGAGGCCGCAGGCCGGGAGGGCTCTGGCCTACACTGGAGGCTTTACAGGTAAATGTGCTGAAGGCAGATGTCCATCAGATATCTGATGAGAAAACCTTGAAGCTTCGGGTGACTGCTGCTGGAAGGCTTTACCTGGAGACCAAGTTTGTGACTTGGAATCCATTTTGACTGATTTGCCGAGAGGTAAGTAGCTGCTGCACATTTGCCTATAAAGTTACTACACTTAAAAGAATTTACTGTAACGTGTTTTGAGACCTTTTCATGTGAAAAGGCGTTGTAAAAATGCAAGTTCTTTGTTCTTTCTTATGGTCTTAAAGAAGTTTCTGTGCTGTAATTAGGCAATGGACTATTTTCAGCAATATTTATACTGGAGCAGAGATGTGAACCAATGTTTTCCTCCATCAGACTGCTGACACTGTTTGTACACACACTGAATGTGGTGCCGGATGTGCCACTACTGATAGTTTGATTGTTTAGGCACAAGGTCCTGCTTGTTTCAACATCCGACAGTGGATACGAATGCAACAGATCTTGTAGTTAGGAAGTAGTTGAGATTTTGAATTTCCTGGATTTCACAATGAACAGCTTAGGACAGGAAAGATACAGGAGAAGTAATCTCTGTCTTTTACTACAGAATATCTGCAAAGGTTATGGTAACTGGGTACTGTACAAACAAAGCCTTAAACTCACTTTAAAGATTCCCCACTATTGCTAATAAGGAACCTGCTGTCAACTTCCAGGATTGTGTTCCAGGCAAACTACGTTACAAACGCTGAAAATAACTCTCACTACGTTCGTGTACAATCAGGATAATATTTCACAGCTAATCATAGTTAATATCCAGAGTCAGGCTTTTTCCAATTTTTNCCCTTTCTTACGATATTTTACTCCTTGTTCCTACTAATGGGCTAAGCTTAAAACAGAAACCTTCAGCACAGAGGGCCTTTCAACCCATCGTGCCTGTCTCCAACCACAGCCCCCAGGCACAGTCCCCGCTCACCCTGTCCCCAACCACAGCCCCCGCCCACCTCGTCCCCGGGCACAGCCCCCACCTACCCTGCATCCAGCTAAACCCCTTGGCGACCTTCACACTTACAGAACAAACATCTTCAACAGTCAAAGCGAAGCAGGCTGGAGTTTTGTTACAACAAGAGAGGCAAATTCCATAAACCCAAAACCTGTTTGGGCACTTTTGAACCTAGATGATTCAGCACAGACGCCTGCTGTGTTAGTGTTCAGGGTGCCGCCCGTTCTCTGACTGATGTTTTCAATTTTGAATTTCAGAACTCACAATAAGCAGTGAATAATGGAGGAGGATGGATGAAAATAGTGTATCCAGCGATCTCTGTTTTTGTTTCAGATTTCCAGCATCTGCAGTAGTTTGCACTTATGGATGAATATACTGATGGTTTTAGGGTTAGAGAAAACCCGTACTGAACTATCACCAGGTCATAAATTTGGGCCGTTAAGATATAGGGAAACCTCACGATATTGTGGTCAACTCGGTCCAATGTCTCAGGAGGTGTTATAAGTTGATGTCACTTCTTGGGCATTGCTCGTTTGGTGCAGTATTTACCCGTGAAATTAGTGGCAACTTTTGACGATCCAAAAGTCTAGTGTTTTTTAATTCAGAAAGCTGGCTAGTCACACGAGAAACCAAATATACCTTGCTTCCAGGTAAAGCGTGGGTCTCCCTTCAGCCCATGTTAAGTGAGGCAGCTCCTTATCAAAGGGCCCTATAACACAGGCATTTTCCAGGACCTTGAGGCCTATACCCTCTCAACAATGTTACAAATAAAGCTTCACAGAACCTCAAAGTTTAAAGTTCTGGAATCACATTCAGCTCTCTCCTCTCTCCAAAGAAACATTGTCCTTTCCAAGGCATCGTCTTAAAACTGCTAACAAATGTGGCATTACAAGTTATACGGGATTAAACCAGCATATTTCATTGAGAATCAAAAGCCCTCAAACAGCATTCAGTAGCCAGTTTAAAAAAATGAAAGTATCTGTACAGAGTCTGAAAGGCTAGTCAGTGTCCGTGAAATGCTTGTGTTAGTGTGAATAAGTGGCATGCCGTCTCTTTGCTTGCTGTGTGCCAGTATAATGTGTGCAGTCTCTATGCTTTGTTGTGTGCCTATATAATGTGTGCCAGTACAATGTGTACAGAATCAAATCCTCAAGAAACTGCTCTCTGCTTCATAACCAGGAATTGTAAATTCCCAGGACTCCATTACAACTTTGCTCTATCTACTGCTCACGACTCAAGCTACAAAGCAGATTTATGTAAAACACACAGTACTCACTTAGCTCCATGATGTTGGTTGTCCTGAGCCATGACAGGCCCTGTGTTCCAATCAGACCCTGAGCTCCGTGATTACAACCTTTGTAACCCAGCAGTGGAGTTGCATAATCAGCCACCCCACCCACACACAGACTCTCAACTGTACCGGGACTGAGAGATTAACCTATTCAAATGCATTTGTACAGGTGGGAGCAGCTGCAGAGCAGAAATCCAGATATTCAAACACATCAATGTGTTATTCTGTTCGCAATAATCTCGGGTTACATGCACAAGAAGGGCAGGTCTCTGTTGAAATAGGAAATTCTGTCATAAACCATTCCTGTTGAGCAGACTCGCCCGTGCGATTTAGAATGAAGAGTTAATCACTGCCTGGGAAAAGTCTGAAAGCCATTTGAAAATATACCTTGGGATTTAAATACTAACCGCATCCCAAGTACAGCCACCACAGCCACTGACAGCTTCACTGGTGCCGGGACTGACTCACTGGCCACGCCCGGCACCTTTCTGGCATTTGTACTTAATGAAGCTGCATTCACACTGGGTTAGAGGGGTCTGATTTACTTCGGAGACTCCCAGTGAGTGTGTGTCTAGCTAGGCCCAAACCTAAAGGCTCTGAAACCTGTATGCAACCTGGATGCAGTTACTGACCTTGTGAAATCTTCCTCGCTCATGGCATGCCGGGGCACTGGTGAGTAGCGGCCTGACGTGATGGCTGGCAGTGGGTAGGGGACTTTGTTCTCAGCTCCGCCTATGTAACCCAGGCCAGAGTTCACATGATTATCGGCAACAGCTGAAAATGCTGTGAACCAATGACAGATACATTAGTTAGTGAGGGTTAAGTGGTATCCTGGCATGCGTATCGCACATAGGGTGCAGATGAGCAGTGAGAGGGAGGCAGGGTGAGCAGTTGTGAGGGGGGTGGGGGTTGCACAGTGAGTAGGACAGATCACCATTGTCCCTGGTTTCCAGCACAAGCAGATACAAGTTTGGAAAGCTAAAGAGGAAATCCTAATCTGGAGGGTTAGAGACAGTTATTCTGATGTCGAGCATCAACAATAACAACTTGCATTTATATAGCACCTGTCATACAGGGTAGCATCTCGGATCACTTTGTATTAAAGAGGAGGTTATCCTGGTCTGGAGTGCTAGAGGGCAGGTTATCCTTGTCTGGAGTGCTGGAGAGTGGGTTACCCTGATCTGGGGTGCTAGAGTGGATTATCCTTGTTTTGGCATCTCTGATTATCATACAGACCGTGTTGGTTTGCTTGTACCTGAAGAACTGGGTAACAGGATTATGCCCCAAAGACAATGTTGCTCTCAGGCCAGCAAGGAGCAGCTCAGGCAGTACTTACTGCTGGCGTAATCAGGCGGTGCATACACATCATTGAGGTGACTGCCGCCCGGCTTAGCTACTTTTAGATAAACCATATCTGAAGTATTCTTCAGAGCTGCCACAGCCTCTTCATGACGGACATCCTGCAGACTGATATTGTTGACCTATACAAACACAGAGAAATATCACATCACCTAGATAGCATCACCTTACAAAGAACACAGAGAACAGCACTGCATCAGTCTCCATTCTTTTGCATTGTGACAGTTGTCACAATCCATGTCTGAATGTCCTTTGCATGCTCTACAACAAACTCAGGAGCCTTCAATACACCTATGTGTAAAAGATGTCTCAATAATCTATGAAGGTCTTCAAGATAGTGGAGGGTTATGACAGATTAAACAGTAATAGATTGTTTTACTGGTTGGCAAATCAGTAATTGGAGGGCCCAAATTTAAGATAATCAAAAAGAGTTAAAGGGAAAGTTTTAAAATATTCTTTACTGAGGATGGAATTCTCGGTCATAAACCAATGTTGAGCAAAGTCCATAATTATTTTAATGGGGAAATTAAATAGATACTTGAATAGGAGGAATAATAGTGTATGGGGAGTCGGAGAGTGGGATTAGATTAGATGGCGGCTCATGTGGATAATGTGGATCCCAACAACAACAGCCACTTGCATTCATATAGTGTCCTTCACGTGGGGTAGTATCTCGAGCGCTACCCATTTTCAACAAAGGTGATAAGAGCCTAGTAATCTGATCTCAGAAACAGCAGACCAATGGAATTATTAGAAGAAAATGACAGGCAGAATAACTTCAGAAGCCGTAGCTTTTGTCTCATCAACCTTATAGAATCATGTAAAATTTTAAATGGGATTGAAAAGTAAAGCTAGAACAATACTCAGTGGTTAGAGCTCTCGCCTTGCAAGCGAGAGACCTGGTTTCAATTCCAGGCAGGACAAAACCTTGGGCAAGTTTCCTTACTTCACACGCCTAATAATAACCCTCCAAAACAAAACAATAATAAATTGGTTATTTTCAATCCAGGACTGTGCGCAATTGGCTGTCGCGTTTCACCCACAAATATACAGTCAATTCACTTTACAGTATATTTTGTGAAGCGCTTTGAGACGCCTAGAAGACGTGAAAAGCGCTATATCAAATGCAAGGATTATTATTATTATATTTCTTTCGATTATGCCAAAGCAACAGAACTAGAAGACAGAGGTTCAGGGATGCGAAGGACAATTTCGGACAGATACCAGGAATTGTCTCTTTACCCTAAGGGTAATTAACAACTGGAACGATTGAAAAGTGGTTGAGGCCAGGATGCTGGACTCATTTAAGAAACAAGTTGATGCTGTATTGGGAGGACAACTGGATGAGTATTTGGGAAGGATGAGAGCAAATGGGCCTTCTTCATTTTAGCCTCTCTTGAATTTGTGAAAACCACAAGCACTGACTTCATGTTTCCATGGGAAACATTCTGGTGGTGATATGTTTCTATTTTGAGCCTTGTTACATTAGATTTGAGATTTGCATTCTGAGAGATGAATAAAGAATCAAAGTACAGTATGATTAAGTGAGAAAAGTAACCAAACGGGTATAAAAGATGCTTACAGCAAGCAGACGGTCTCCTGTCTGCAGTCTCCCATCTTTCTGAGCAGCTCCTCCCTCGATGATTTTGGTGATATAAATGCTGTTATCTCCAGGAATATGCTGGTTGCCAATCCCTCCAGCGATACTGAACCCGAGTCCTAAGAGGCAAAGCAATGATTTACTAAGTAACAGAGAAGGAAATGCAGAACAACTAACTGCTGCAAAGCCAGAAGAAACTCTAGTCGAGCTCAGTAGAGGTGCTGATGTGAAAACTGGTTTACATGACCCAAGTTTAAGGATAAATACTAATCAGAGCACCAGTACCTGGTTCCCTCTTTTTTATAGAAACTGTTTAATATTAAGTCAGAGTTTGATAAGGTGAATGTTGATAAGTTGTTTCTACTTATTGTTGAATCAAAAATAAGGGGGCATAATTGGAGATAGCCAGTAGCAGGTCTAAGAGGGATGTTAGGAGGAACCTCTGTGCACAGAGGATTACTGGTGGTGAGAATGTGGAACTCACCCCTGGAAGTTGTGGTTGAAACAAAAAATATCAATGTATTTAAGAGCAAGTTGAAACTAACAGAAGAGTTAGGAGTATTTACTATCAAACATTTTATGGAGGAAGTCATAACACCCCTGGGTGTAACTTAAACTCAACCCATTCAACTCAGCTGAGTTGTGCAGTGCAGAGGAATTTAAACGAGAAGCCTGATTCTGGCAATAGGAAGTGTGCGACTGGCTGTGGTGACATTCCTCCTTCCTTCCCTCCATGCATGTGGCTGTGATTTGATCAGCATTTCCAGGGATGTGGTCATTACACATTTACCTTTCGGTCCTTTAAGAAGATTCACTTCCAGTATTGCCTCTGGTGGTGGCTGTCTTCTTCGGACTAACAGTCGGACAACAGGCCCTGCTTCCTTTAGTGCCTCTACTGCTTTACTGTGAACCACTTCTGAAACATCCACTTCATTCACTCGGAGCACACAATCATTAACCCTGCAATACAAGCGAGGATAAGGGCACCACAGTACAGCAGATCAAATACCAAAGGGAGGACACCAGGAGTGAGGGCAGTGCAGGGAAGGAGCGGGGGTGGGGGGGGGGGCAGAGCAGGAACCAGGAGGAGACAGGAGGAGGGTAACAGGAGTGGGGGCAGGGCAAGTACAAGGAGGAGGCCACTAGCAATGGAGCCACTGTAACCTAGTACTTTATTTACTGTGACTAGATATTGAGCTGATGGTTCATTCATATTAAGGCCCAAATCCCATTGTCTTCAGAAACCAACTAATTCCCTTTTGAAATCTGTATCATTCTTGTCTGCCTTGCTTTCCACTGCCACACATTGTGCTAACAATTTCAATAAGCTACCTACCAGAACCATCCAGATGCTTCTCTTGCGTATGGAACATCTGGGTTATAAGCAACCTTTCCACTTATATTCTGTCTAATTACGTCTGACTATGTCTGTCTGACTGTGTCTCATCACCTTACATTTATTCCTTTTTGGGGATCAGTTGGGCGTCTAACATACATAGTCAAGAAAGATGAGAATGGCCAGAGTGCTCTTTGCTCCTTCTCAGTGCAATACTACATGACAGTGTTCAAGCAAATGTTGGTGCTCACCTCCAGAACAATAACAACTTGCATTTATGTAGTGTCCTTCGCAAGGGGTAGAGTCTCAGAGTGCTGAACAATGGCAGAAGCCAGGGAGAAAGGAGAGGTGATCATAGGCATGGTTGAAAAGGAAAGTTTTTAGCTGCAAACTGAAGACAGGTAAAGAGGGGCCAAGGCAGTGGGATTGAGACAGGAAGTTCTGTATGTTCGGGGCATAGTGTCTGTAGGCACACCTGTTGATAATGGAACAGAGGGGTCAGGGGAAGTGCAGAAGGCCTGAGTCAGCCAAGCAAAAGGGCGGGTAGAAAATTGGGGTGTGAGCAGGTTGGAGATGTAAGGAGGTGCTAGGATGTGAAATAATTTCTGGGTGAGAATCTTGAAATCAATCTGTATGTGACAGGGAAGTTCAACCTCTTAAAAGTAATTTCAAAGCCATTTTCCAGCTTTGGCCCTCAGTTTTCCTTCCAACTGATAGGAACTCATCCAATCGCACAATGCTGCAACTAATAATTTGAGTGTGTTTAACCATCGAAGAGAGTCTAACGAGAAACTTACCCCAGCCGCCCATCCATGGCTGCCGCACCGCCAGGGATGATCTTGGTGATAAAGATGCCAGGATCATCTGGAACATGGGGGTTGTCAATGCCTCCAGCAATGCTGAAGCCCAGACCTGAGTTACCCTGCATCAACAAAAATCACAATGAATTCAACATTTAATTGGCATCATATTAACAATACTTCCCATCAACAAGTACCATGCACTGACTCCAGGAGCTCAATCAGTGGCTGTGGTCATTTCCAAGACTGAAGAGTCCTAGCCCCATTTAAAATCATATACATCTCAAGGCCACTCGGAGGTCTCTGCTTTCAAGACTAAACTCTCGTCTGCCTTGCTTGCCACTACCACATGTTGCGCTAACAATTTCAATGAGCTACCTACCCGTCCACCTTTTTCTAACCCTTGCATAACTGGGTTAAAAAAGAATCAACTGAATGTATCCCTGAAAAAATAGCTAGATTTAATACAAAATCCATCAATTAATATAAATATACTCCACAGCCCTCAAATGAAAATTGAGTTTTAGCCAATCTGCAGTGCGGCTACTGTTACATTTCACTACTGCCTGTAGTGCCACCAGTGTCAGCTGCCACCTCTCAAGTTCTGGTTGCCATGACAGAAGGGAACTGTCCAGGTCCTTGAGGCAGTGAAGAAGGGAGGAACAAGATTGATCCCTTTGTTAGCAAAATTAACTTTGAGGAAAACCTCTGCGGAGCCTTATAGAGATATACAAGATTTTAAATGGGATTGAAAAGAAAACCTGGAGTAAATGGGTTTGGAGATTGTGTGCATTTCATTCCAGACACAGGGAAATTTCCATGTATAGATGATATACATATGTATAACTCTCATTCTGGTTTGGATATTCTTAAGCGTGGTCATGGGTTTCCAATTGTGACAGAAACCTGGCTAACAAAAAAAACACACAAATACAGTACTTTCTGTCATACATGCAAATACCACTTACTATCGCACTCGGGTATTACTCAGTTAAAGTCACCTCATTCATATGCAAGTTACACTCAATATCATCAAGTCCAGGACTGTATCAACTTGGAATGGAATGCACATACTCTCCCTTCTTACCTAATTCCTGGAAGTATCAGGTACAGATTTGCAAGTGCCAAGGTTTGGGGACTCCAGAGTGTGCATTGTGGTAACTGCTGGTGTTTAACAAGCTAAAATTTCATAACTTGCCATTGAGAACACTGTCTGGCAAGCTTCTTGCTGTTTGTCCAGCTCAGATCATCTTACTATGGAACCAAGTGGGAGGAATCTTTGCTCCTTGTGACTAGTTTTCCCCTCCAAGTTCTACTAAGAAACCATGCTAGCTGGTCTGTCATCAGCATTTCCCTGGAGTACTATTGGCTCTATCCCACCAAGACATGGGATACATTCTCCATCTGACACTCGGTTAGAAGGCGATTGAAATTATTAAGAACTTCAACTCCAAGCCTCTTGTCGTAGGAAACATATTTCCTTCACATGGACAATTCACTCACCCGTTCCAGGATTATCTCTTCGTATTTGTACATTGCATCACTCCCATTAGCCTGAAATAAATGTAAACCAATATTGAATTAGTGGACACATGTAACATGAAATGCCTAGCAGCTCACTTGTGACAATTGGTTTTACGTCATTGTCATTCTGTTGTGTATCTTCAACCACTGTTAAGCACAACCTTCTTAAAACACACTGCTCATACATTGATATAAGCTGCCTCTGGCCCTGGCAAGGTGCTGATTAGTGATGAGGACCCACCACTATCCCAATCTCTTTTATAGTTTCCTATTATTTACAAGTAAAAATGTAAACTACTTACATAAGGACCAGAATCTAAGGAGTCCGTGTTCACAATAATGGGAGGAGGGTTTGCCTGTAAAACACAAACATACTACTTTATTGATTTCCATTTTGCAACAGCGGTTTCTAAAACTCTAGTTTATAATTACCCAATGTGCTGAGTCAGGGAGGGTTGGATATGACATTGCATTATGATTCAACAAACAACATCTCGTCGATCTTAACTAGGGTTTGCTGAGCAGTCAGGTCCTCTCTACTGTACCACTCCTGAGCAGTGGCACAAACAATGTTGGCAAATTCCAGTATTTCCTCTCGATACAGAACTCACACAATACAAATATTATTTATACATAAAAAGAATTTAACTACAATGTGACTGTCCTAATGAAGACTTAAAAAGGAAACACTCTTTTCGATGCTGTGATGGGGCACAGTTGGTTATGTGTTCTGAAGGAATGAGATCAGATGGGCCGAAGGGCCTCTTCATCCAAACTAACCTTGAGATCTTGTGTGTCATTCGAAGGATAACGCCTGCAACAATACAGCACAGCCGCAGCTCCGCACTGGAGTATCAGCCTAGCCTCTATGAGTTCAAAGTCCTGGGGCTTTAACCCACAGGCTTCTGACTCTGAGGCTTCCAACTGAGCCACAAATACCCACTAGTACTCACACTATAGTTGTCCTGGTAGTGTGGACAGAGAATGAAGAAGGAGCTGTACTCTGTCTTTAAACTGGGAATGTAGAGAGAGCTTTGAATGAGAGCAACAACAAAATTACATTTGTAAAGCACCTTTCATGTCGGGAGGAAGTTCCAAGGCGCTGGATAGACAGTTTCGGACCCGAGCTAGAGGTCAGGATTGGGGAAGGTGGAGGGCAGGGGGTGAAGCAGGGAGATCGAAAGCACAGTCGAAGAGGAGGGTCTTGAAGGAGGCAAGGGAGTGGGCAAGGCAGAGGGACTGCAGGATGGTGTTCTAGAGGATGGGGGCAGAGTGGCAGAAGGCCCGCCTGCCAATAGTGGGGCGAGCAAGGCGGGGAACATGAAGCAGGTCGGAGCCCGCAGAATGGAGGGAGCGAGCAGGAGGTTAGGGGGTTAGGAGGTCGTGAGGTAGTGGAGAGCAAGACCATGGAGGGCTTTGAAGGTGAGGACCAGGCTCTTGAACTGTATCCTCTGTTTGATGGGAAGCCAGTGGAGTCAGGCGAGGATGGGGGTGACAGGGTCACGAAGCCTGGTGCAGGAGAGGACACGGGCTGCAGAGTTCTGGATGATCTGCATCCTATGGAAGGAGGAGTTGGGGTGGCAGACAAGCAAGGAATTTGTATAGTCAAGCCTCGATGTAATGAAAACGTGTACGAGGGTTTCGGCAGCCTGCAGTGGGAACAATGGCGGAGCCAGGCGATGTTGTGGAGGTGAAGGAAGGTAGAACAGGTCATGGTACAGATGTGGGATAGAAAGGATAGTTAAGGGTCAAACAAGACCCCAAGGTTCTGGACTGGCTCAGTGAGGTGGAGTGTGCAAACATCGAATGGTGATGCTGTCAGCGCCTGAGGTGTGGAGGCGCTGATGGGAGCCAATCAGGAGCCTCAGTCTTGTTGAAGTTCAACTGAAGAAAGTTCGCTTTCATCCAGGATTTGATGTCTAACAGACATTCTGTCAGGACAGCAGTGGGTCCTGGAGTCAAGGGGGGAGGCAGAGTGTTACAGTTGGGTGTCATCCACATACATGTGGAAGTTGACCCCATGTCTGCGGATGATGTCACCAAGAGGGAGCATGTAGATATTGAAGAGGAGGGGACCAAGGACAGAGCCCTGAGGAACGTCGCATTAGACAGTGCGTGGGCTGGAGGAGAAACCGTTTGTGGAGATGAAGTGGAGGCGGTGTGAGAGGTACGACCTGAACTAGTCAAGGACAGAGCCGTGAAGGTTGATGTGAGAGGAGAGGCGGTGGATGAGGATAGAATGGTCGACAGTGTCGAAGGCAGCAGAGAGGTCAGGAAGGACAAGGAGGCAGAGGGAGCCCTGGTCACAGATGGGCAGAATGTCATTTGTCACTATGACCAGGGCTGTTTCTGTACTGTGGGCGGCACGGAAACTCAATTGGAAGGGTTCGTGAAAGGAATGGCAGGAGAGGACGGAGCAAAGCTGGGAAGCACCAACTCATTCCAGGACCTTGGAGAGGAAAGGGAGGTTGGATATGGGGCGGTAGTTTGAGCACTAGATGGTGCATCCCTCCCACTTCCTATGCTTCTACTGCCCCTATTCTAGAGTTGATGATAAATAACCAGTTACATCATCATATATGAAGAGATGCCCAGTTAGCACTGAAATTAATTTGGAGCAGAATCATATCCATGTGAATGATTTTAGAGCACCAAGCTATTGGGGAGCAAGCGTTTGTATCTGCAGTCTGCTCTCAGATACATTCACAAGGTTGGAGCTGATTAGCTAGCGAAATTACAATAGAACAGTAATTGGTTAGGGAGTATGGGTAAGAAGCTCCAAACTCTAGAGATGCTGTTTCACAGATGCAAATTCACAGCATTTGTGACGGTCACAGGGTCGCGTAATTATAGCTTCTGCTTTTCTTTTCAGACTCTCCTGTCATTATACGCTTTTAACGAGACAGACTGAACCTCCTACATCTAACCTTACCTGACATGAGCTGCTAACAGAATGAATTTATTCAAAGCCCCTTGAGTTTAATTAACCCTTCAAATCCTGAATTAAATCCTGTGGTATTTCACAGCTACATTTTCCCAAATGTTCTTACTGTGGTTGACACCAATAGGTGACTGGTTCCAATAGAATATGGGATTGAAAAGGGCATCAGGTAACTTTAGGAAGGATACTTTTTGTCCTGGCAGGCATCCAGCAATGTTCACTAGTCGATACCTGGGGTGAAGCAACAACAACAATTATATTTGTATAGCGTCTTTCACATCGAGAGGATACGAAGGTACTGGACAGTCAAGAGTTTCGGAAGTAGTTTAGCTATGATGAGAGTCTGGATAGGCTTGGATTATAATCCCTAGGATTGAGGAGGTTAAGGGGTGATTTGCTTAAGGCTTTTAAATTACGAGAAGAATTAACAAGATAGATAATGGTTAATTCTTCACTCCCGTACAGGGATCCAAAACAAAGGAATATAAACTTAAAATTAAAGCGAAATTAGTTAGAAGTGAGTTCCGAATCATTGCCACACATTGAACTTCAGCATCGTGTCAAAAGTATAGCACTGTAGTTTTTAAAATTATGTGTTTAAGATTATGAAAGAGTTGATTAAAGGTGGACACAAATAGTCTGTTTCCACTTCTTAACAAGGGGCATAAATATAAAATGAACACTAACAAATCTAAAAGAGTTTAGAAGGACCTTCTTTGCACAAAGGGTGGCTCCACAAGCCTATCAACCCCATTCTTGCCCAGCTCCATTCACTCCCCATCCCCAGAGAATTGAGTTCAAGATCCTCATCCTAACCTTTAAATTCCTCATTAGTCTTGCCCAACCCCATCTTTTACAAACCCTTGCAACCCAGTTGCTCCCAACGCTCAAAGGGCACCGGCCTGCTTCATATCCCTGCCCCAGTTGGCTTTCAGCATATCTGCCCCCACTGGCTGGAACTCCATCCTAGAGTCCCTTCAATTCGTCCCTTCCCTCACTTCCTTCAAGGTTTGCCTCAAGACCTTCTTCTTTGAACTTGTTTTCGGCCACCTTTAACTCCACCCTGTCTCCCCCATCGCCGCTACAATTTTGGCTCTTACAGCCAGCTCAGGTGCAAACCCTGGACTATCCAGCTCCTTGGGACATCCTCCCAAAATGAAAGCTACTATATAAATGGAAATTTGTATTGTGTTCTATTGAGAATGTGGAAATCACTGCCAGAAGCTGTGGTTGCAGCAGAAAGCATTAATGCATCTAAGTAAATTTTATGTACACATAAGGGAGCAGGGAAAAGGGATTAGGGAAACGGGATTACAAGATCACAAGACTAGTTTGGATGAAGAAGGCCCTTTGGCCCATTTGATCTCATCCTTCTTCATGGCAACTCATTCGAGTCCTTAATTCTGGGGAAATAAATCCTTCCTGGTGTATTTATACAAGATGTTTGGAAGTTAGTTTCTTAAAAGAATAAGTTACAATCAGGTTTCAGCCTAGCTCAGTTGATAGCCATCTCATGTCTGAAAGGAGTTTCTCCTGGTAAACAATCTCCCTGTGTCCTTGCCGACAATCCCCCAGATACAATTGATCATTCACTTCATGGTTGTTTGTTGAAAGATGCTGTGCGCAAATTGGATGCTGCATTTGCCTATAAAATATAAAGTGACGACACTTTACAGTAAATCGTGTGAAGTGCTTTGACGTCCTCCTAGGTGCTAAATCAAACTCAGGTTTTTTTTTAATAATGATCTACTTCACTCATATACACATATTCACAAATACAGTCAGTAACATACAAGTCCATTACGTACGGTTTGCTAACACTAGAAAAACTATCACTTCTGTTAGTAGCCAGCGTGCGACCGACACATTCACTCAGTGACAGACATGCACACACCCCACACAAACTCATTCACAAACATGGGCTTACACGCATATGTACGCAGGTAGAGGCCACTCCTTTCCTTTTAACTACTTTATATCAAGTTTATTCTGTTTATTCTGGCACAAACATACAAAAAACATACAAAAAACAGGTCTTTATCAACCTGAGGGCTTGTTTTAAGTCTGAATCTGAATGTTTTGATATTGTTGCCGAATTTCTTTTAGAAATTAAAGATTTCAAAAAATAAAATATGGCAACAGCCCAAGATCGAGAAATTGATTAAAAAATAGCTGAGTGTTCGTAATGTGAAACAAAGAAATATAATCATCCTGTGTGACTTTACAGTATATGCTATGAAATGTTTTGACACTCTCCTAACACAAAAAATCTTTTATCAAATGTAAGCATTATTATTATTATTATAATCAGCTATGTTTTTGCAGTCACTGAAGACTTTTAACACGTAAAATCATTTGTTTTTCTATTGCTTAGAAGCAATGAAAGGCAGGATGTGAATGGCAGCTCCTTAGTAC